GAAATTAAAATTTTCATTAGTTTATACTTTTTAATGAAAATTATTTTACTAATTAGTCGTTTCAATTAGCTAATTATATTTTAAAATTATATATGTGAAAAAGATAATCTTCTAAAGGATTTTCCTCTTATCAATACTTTCTCATATCTTCGAAATAAATTAATTGAAAACAAAAAATAACTTTAATTTTTAATGCGGAACAAAAAATTTCAAATTGAAAATTTTTTTTTTTTAAATAATTCCTCGTAACGAATGAAAGAAATTTTTTCATTTCCTCTTTTAAAAAAAAAAACTCCAATTTTGTGTAATTGACTATATATATCTAATTTGGAAAATTTCACGCGATCCTAATGAGTGTCTTGCTTCGATAAAGATACAAGTCCATGACTCTGCGTTATAGTATACAATATACATGCTGTTGAGGGTTCAACGGCAGGCACATGAGTAAGCAAGATTTTATCCGTCTTAGGATAATTAAGGCTTAAATCTAAAGACGATATAAGCTTCCATGCCCCGGAAATTATTAAAAAGAGGGTTTTTTTTTTTTTAATTTTAAATTAAGCTTTAGAAAATAATTTTTTAGCATTAATTTAAAATTACTTTTGTGTATTTAATGCCCCGACGATTTGAAAATGATATGCGGTAAAATTGGATTTCACGCCTTATGGAAATAGAAATTGCTTTGGGGATTTGAAAGCTTAATCAGAGTATCATAAATGATTGTAAACATTCATTGTCCTTTAAGGATATTCAATGTATGAGGAAAGAGAGGTATGGATAAAGGGAAGATGCAATTGGCCCTAGGGACATGTTCCAGATCATATGCTTCCATAGTCACTGTCTATATATCTATGTATATGTTTATATATACATGTACGTGACACAAATGTCACAAGGTATTGAATTTCAATGTGAATTCACCCATCCAATAATTATCTACCCCGCCTAGCGACAAAATGTTACGAAAATGGTGCGACACTATATATATATATATATATTCAAAATATATATTTTATATATATAGCCATTTCAGCCTCCAGCGAGAACTGTCAAGCCAAATATATATAATGTTTGCTGAATTTCTGCCAAGCACAAAATATGTCGTCAAAACAGCAATATCGAAATCTACTCTTTCCATCCCCCCAATGAAACCATCATTTACTTCAATCTCTGCTAAAAAATTGTACGCATTTCTCAATTTTTATATACGCAAAAATATAACATTTCTTTCCATGGAAAAAAAAATTATCTGGAACAGCGAAATATTTCATTAGAATAGAATTTTTATTAATGATTTTAATTAAATCTTTTACATGTTAGAGAGGAAGAGAATATGTTTTTGAAATTTATATCTCATGTGGAATATATATATATATATAAATTGTCAATGTCAATAAAAAATTGAGAAGAGGAAATAATAAAAAAAGCTTTTAATTTATCATATAACGGAAATATTTTTAAACTATATTTTTATATATTAATAATATAATATTTTCGTGAAAAAGAAATGCATTATATTTTTAATTATATACTAATAACACATCAAGGAGATTTGCAGTCAATTAATTAATTTTTTTTCTGCATCGTGTTATTTTATATATAGAATATATATTAAACAAGCAATTAATATATATCAATTTTTATTTCAATGAATTCTCGATATCTTTTAAATTAGCGAAAATTAATATTATTTCATAACTCATATCCGTCTAGAGTTTAATAGCAATTATTAAATTTTCAGATTAATTGGACATATTTGATGGCACTAATGAGAATATTTTTTTTCCATATATTCTAATTATATTATTTTTGCGTGTGTGTTTTAAATTTTTTCAATTATTAATTATTTTTCATAGAAATATTTTTTAATATCATTTACTGTTAAAATTATTATTATATATACCTTTAATTACTTCTCAAAAAAAAAAAAAAGAAATTGGTTTTTATATTGGAGCTTGAATTAAAATTTTTATTTCTATTTTAGATTACAGTGTGAAATTCAATTTTTTAATTAAATTTAGATATTTAAAAAAAAGGAATATTATGGAGAATCCGAGATTTATTATATAGGTCTATAATATCCGCTTTAGACTTATATTATAAAACAGACATATGTTTAAAAATAACGAATGACCCATTTGTCTGCTCATATAAATGATGTTGAAATTATTTATTATACCATTCAGGGTGACTGACATTTCAGCAAGCATTCATGAAATAGTTTAATAATAAACAGATATTTTCAATCGGCTCTTAAGACTTTAAATATATTAAAAAAAATCTTTGTCTGACCTCAACTTTATTTTACTACTACTAAGTCCGACCGAAATTGATATTTACTACTTATACCAAAATTATTTACAAAAATAAAAAAAGCTCCCGAGTCGAAATTTTTCCCTCTTTTCACCCTCGATTTTCTCAGCCTCTTTTTAGACTGAAATCATGCGCTTATTTCTAAATCTGCATGTTTAAAGGTTGAAAAGAGGTCTTGGAATTTTTTCTTAATTTGAATTTTTCGAAGTTTTATTACTCCTAAAAGTTTTATAGTATTACGACAAAGACCAATAAATATATCTTCAATAGGATCAATAAATAATGTCCATAAGAAAAAAAATCCAATTTTTACATTTTTTTAATTTTATTTTTTCGTTTTTTTTTGTTTTTTTAACCTCTTTTACGCCTCTCTAGTCATCTTTAAAACCTCCTTTCAGCCTCCAATATAGCAGATATTTCCACTTTTGCAAATAAAAGGAGGTTTTTAGAGAACTTATAGAGAGTCTAAATTTTGACTCGGGCTGTCTGACTAAAATTGACCTTTACTACTGATAGTAAATTTTAATAAATACTCTTTCTCTCTCTCTCTCTCTCTCTCTCTCTCTGTACATTTTTTTACTACGGAAAATTTTCTTTTCTTTGAAAATTTCTTTTTTTTAATAATAATTTTAATTCGAAAAATGTCTCTTCTTAAACACTTTTTTTTTTTTTTTTTGATACTTTGAAAACTCTATTTCACAAGGAAAGGCTTTTGGGAAATTCTTGAAAAATACTTGGCCAAACGACTATCATGAAAGCCCTTGACATGCGTTGAAGCCCCCGTTATAGTCGCACTTTGGTAGCTGCAATGTAAAGAAACGACTTTATTGGCGTGGACAATATATAAGAGAGAGTCAGGTCGCAAAAGTATAAGGGTTGGGCGAATATTTCGAGTAGCGTTTCAAGTATAATGTAGACGTGATGTGAGGGTTCATATACAAGGGGATTGAATATATAAATATGTGTGTGTGTGAGGTAACTTTGTGCTAAACATTGTGCACCATATCATACTTTGAAATAATGTAATGTAAATATATGCATATCGTATATATATATATATATATATATATATATATATATATTTGGAAGGATGGATGTCGAGTGTAATCGCAGTTGACAAGCTGCTGTCTACGGAAAACCAGTAGGGCTCGTTCAAACTTTAAACTAATTCCTACTACTCAATGGAACTCCTCACGAATCTATAACTATCGTCGACAAGTACTTGTCTCCATTTCAACAACCGCCGACTGTCAACATTTACACCTATAGAAAAAAAAATAATTAGATCTTAAATTTTCCATTTTTAATCAATTTTAATTTAAAATTTTAAAAAATCCACCGATTAAATAATTTCCGCCAAAAAAAAAAATTCAGAGAAAGAAATTAATTTTTTTAAAAAAACGCCGATTGAATAATTTTTACAATATAAAAATATGAAAAAAGAAATTAATATTTTGGTCAACTTTTTATTTTGAACGAAAATATATAGGGAGGAGAATAAAAGTTATGATAGTCGAAAATGTGACGCGATAGTAAAACTTTTTCTCCCCTTCTTTTTTTTTGGGGGGGGGAGGAACGATAATTAAAAAGGTGTTGCAGGATACACACGTCGTTACAGTCAAACGAGAAAATGAATTCTGAGAGAGAGAAGAATCCTTATCACTATGCGCATACCCAATTATTACGCGATTTCCAACAAAGTCGTTTTGTGAGAAAAAGACTAAAAAAAAAAAATTGTAGAAGCCCTGCTACCACGGCTGTCTGGTCAGTTTTAAAATTTTACTCCTATCTCTGCCATGGTCTTTCTCTAATTAAAATGCGTTTAAAATGGGCACACATTATTAATTGAGAAAGTTGCCCTCTGCAGAATGTGCGCGCTGTCCAACTGAATTTCCGCATTTGCAAAAATTACTAACGCGATAAAAGAGATTTTCTCATCCATATAATGGTAAACAATATGTGTCCTAGATTATTATAAATTATTTTCGAAAAATAATTTTTTAAAAAAATTTCCTTTTCCCCAAAATTAAATTGAAAATTAAATAATTATTTAATAAATATTCAAATGTAGTAAATTAAATTTTCATTAAAATCGAATTATAATGAAAGTAAAGAGAAAGAGAAAGAAAAATGTCTTGAATGAAAATATATATATGAGCCGCAAGGAATGAAAAAAAAATAATTGACACGTGACTCAGCCGGAAGGCTAATGTAAAACTGTCCTTTTAAAATAACAATAGGAACCCCGCCTTTATAACATTACCATATAATGTATTTAATGTACAATTTAAACTCTTGTATATAAAAATAAAATAAAATCAATGTGAGATGATGCATCTCCATTGATGGCAGTTATGATCGTTTCCTGTCGTTTTATCAAATAACAGACATTAATCCTTATGGTATACCTTCACTCATGATTAATATATCCAAAAGATTTTGTTCTCAGATTATTAGATATACAATAGGCTTAAATTATGCATTTATTATTATAAAATGAAATATTGTTAATTTCATGAAATCAAATTTTTCAAAACGTTCTAAAATTAATTATTATTTTATTATTTATTTTATTTAATATTTATATATTTTTTTTTAGAATTTAATTTTTTATATTTAAAAATATTGAGAATTTAATTTTTTGTTATGAAATTGACTAATGAAGTATAAATTTATTTATGTTACAGGTCAGTCCTAGTTAACTCATGGAATGGCATCACGAGGACCCTCGTCGACGGCCCTGCCGGTTGCGATAGCGATGGCGAGTATATTGCTCGCGAGTCTACCAGCATTGTCAAGTGGAATTTGTCCAGCGCGATGTCGATGCAATGACACGGCGCTGATCGCGAGTTGTGTATCAGGTAGTTTGGACGTGGTGCCGATTCAATTGAATCCTGAAATTCGTCATCTCGATCTCTCGGCAAATCGTGTTGTCAGCGTTCATCATACATTTGACTTTTATGGAAATTTAAAAACCCTGAGTCTCGCATCAAATCTCATTCACACACTTGGCTCGCATAATTTCAAATTTCAAGGTAGTCTCGTCACATTAAATCTCAGCAATAATGTCATAAGAAACATTACAAAAAATGCCCTTCGAGGATTAAAATTGCTAAGGGAACTTGATTTATCAGGGAATAATATCACTGAAATGGAAGAATTGGCATTTCACGATACCAACGAATTGGAATATTTGAATTTAAGTGGCAATTCAATGACAAGTTTGCCCGATGATTTATTGAAGAGTTTGCCATGTATTCGAACGTTACTTTTGAGTCGTAACGTATTGCTGGAGGTACCAACGGATAATTTGGCACTAGTGAAACCAACACTTGAAATTCTCGATTTGTCGAGTAATCTCATTGAAGAACTTGTGAGTGGTTCTTTGCCTTCAATGAATGTATTGACGTTTCTCAGTTTGGCGGACAATGGAATATTGAGGATAGCAAACGATGCCTTCGATCAATTGCCGAATTTGAAAATATTAGATTTATCGGGAAATAAATTGACCTCGGTGCCTACGGCTGCGATCTCAAGATTGAATGTACTGATAACGTTGACCCTCAATGGAAATCCATTGGAATCGTTGAATAGCGTGGCCTTTCAAAATTTATTTGAACTTAAGAATTTGGAGTTAAACAATTGCTCGATCGCTGATGTCCATCCAAGGGCATTCGCTGATAACGTTAATCTTGAACGTATCTCAATGGACGGAAATCGTGATCTGAGGGTATTGCCTGCGAGGGTGCTGTATGGAGCTCGATATCTGAGGTGAGCTTTAACTGCTTCTATAGAGTGATTTTCAGAAGTGAGAGAGAGAGAGAGAGAGATGAGGAAAATGGCTATCGCGAATCCTATCTCTGGTTTTGGGGTTTTAGATCGTTTCGCTTCTATTTAACTGCGGGTTCAAACGGGATATTTTATTATCGGGTTTGAGACACCCCAAAGGGGAATTTTCCTTAGCTCTATTTCAAGATTAGAGAAGTTCTATTTATTAAGTTTCAATAAATATGTCATTTTTTTAGAATCAAATTCCAATTTTTTTTTTATTTTATTTAAACTTTTTCATTTCAGACAATTGTCACAGTAATTTAATTTTGAATTATTGAAATTGATCGTGAGGGAAAAAAAAATACATAAATCATGGGAGATATAAAGTCAAGAAGTTTCATTAATCAGAAAAATTTCACAAAACTTGGGAACTTAAAGTTAAATATTGATTTATTAAGCCTTGCATTTATTATCTAACTTTTCTAACGAGAGCCATAAAAATACATTTTAAAAGGAAAAACTAGAGAGAAAAATCTCTCTTTTTTTTCTTTTTATTTTTACATTTTCGTAATTGTAATTTTTTTTTTGTTTTGTCATTTTTTATTACGCCTTACCAACAAGCACTTTGATCTCAAGCTTCGAAAATTACTTTCAATTTAAGGGAAACACCTCACACGAAAGCGTTCAATAAATTTTTTTGTCAACGACCGTCGTGATGTAAAATTTTTATGACATCACGCGTATAACGTCATTCTTTTTTTCTTTATGTAAGCGCACAAAAATATTGCTAGTACATAAAATCTCGTATAATAAAATTATCAAGATCTGATTTAAAGACCTGATCGGTTGGTCGTAAAATCGCTGCTTTATATCGATTTCTGTCGTTCACAATCTGGTAATAAAAATTTAGTTTGAAGTAAATTGAAAAAAAAAATATTGTTCATCTAAAAATGAAAATTACTTACTCGATAGTTTCGGTTATAAGGAAGAGGTAAACTCTATATATAAATTTATTAACTCGTTATATTATTTACTTTTTATTTCTTACTAGATTTATTTTTAAGGAAAAGAAAAATGGGGGAAAAAAAATTTACTCGTAAAATAAAATTTTTTAAAAAAATGGAATAGAAATTTGTGATTGTATTTTAAAAAGTTTTATTGACCCAAACATTCCATGGTGCTATTAAACGATTGAAAAGTCAAATTTCTTTTGAAATTTTTTTGCGAATCAAACTTAAGAATAGAAAATGTGATTTTCATTTTTATTAGGAAAAAGCTTTTTAAAATCCTCTTGGTAATAGCGTTTCAAGTCGTTCACTTGAATATGCAATTTGCTTTTAGAATCGGCTTCTTCTCAGGCCAATCAATATTTTATAGAAAACGGCTCTATTCAATTTGCAATCGTCTTCTTCTTATTTTTCGAATTTTTTTTTTAAACCTAGAGGATAAAAAAAATGGAAGAAACAATTATTGTCAATATTCTAAAACAGTTACCTATTTTCATATTTTTCAGAAAATTTTATTCAAATCAATAAAAAATAAGTAATTAAATTTTTAATTATCTTGTCGAATGAAAAATGAGCAAAATTTGATTTATAGAAAATGGATCATGAGAAATAATAAATAGTTTCCCCCTTCCTCATATGGCAAAAGAAATAATTTGTTTCACACAAAAAAAATTTTTTTTTCCATTCCATTCAAACTGATAATTGCACGAAATCGCGCGTAACAAAATTGAACAATAAGCTTTTGCTGCACAATTGAATATCCACGCGACAGGGAAATAGAAATGGGAATTATTCACGCAGCATGCAATTTACTTAGACTCGATTATAAGAAATGTACAACAATTGACCACTGGTCGAAATTGCCAAACAATACGATTAAATAGGATTCATTTTTCTTTTTTTTTTCTAATGTTACAGGTGGGTCTCCCTCAGGCAATGCAGTCTGGCAACTCTGCAACCAACTCAGTTCCCCGTTGACGGGCTGTCGTCCCTGCGGGTGGGCCACAATCCCCTGGTGTGCAATTGTTCCGTGCACTGGTTATGGAACGTTCTTCGTGCCGAGGAAAGACGCAACGAGACCCGTCTCGATTTGGACGTTCAGGATATTGTTTGCGTCGACGAGGAATTCATCGGCAAATCACTAATTTCCCTGCCGGAGGGTTCACTTCGATGTCGATTGAGTCCTCTTTATCTTTCGCTGTCAGCTGCCGGATGCCTCGCGGCAACCGCCACTATTCTGGCGCTGATAGTTCACGTGACTCGGTCAAAAAGAAGAAAACGACCGGCCTACACGGCACCAAATCGACCTGAACTTCTTGTCTATGTGGGACGTGGCAACGATGAACTCGACAAAAATCCCGAATCCTATAGTCGACGATTAATTGCCACGCGTAATGAAGAGATTCTTTACGAGACACCAAGACGAAAAACGAGTCAAGAATCACTCGATCCAACGACAAATGTCTACGAAACGCCAAGATACTCGCGACCAAATCGTCGTGATCGTGATAATCTATACGAGAGACGACAAATTGAGGAGGGCGTTTACGCGGTGGCGGATGTCACTGGTTTAGCTAGGGACGAACCACCGGAAGTACTTTCACTATATCGGATGCGTACACCATCCTCATTACCGAGACCTAGCGCACCTTCTGTTCGCGACTATGATTACGACTATGAGCCGCCGATCCCTCAGAAACCGCACGTGGTTTTCGTGTGAACGCATTTTTTTTTTCTTTCTTTCATCTAATATTCTCTGAAAGAGAATTTTTTGTGTATAGCTTTTTTTGTGTGAGAATTCACAAGGGAAGGTGTGAGGATATTTTTTTTTTTCAAAAGGGTCCAGTGTGAAGGCTGCGTACTTCTTTTTTTTTTTTGTAAAAACAATTCGTTTGCGGTGAATGAACTTGACACGAGAATAGATTCTTGCATAGAAAAGATGTGTATTCATGTTGGATGACAATCGATCTTTTGCGGGAACATTTTTATTGAACGATATTTTTTTTCACTCGGATTTTTGATAAAAATAATAATTTTATTTATACTTTTTCATTAAAATTAAATTATTAATGAAAAATCTAAAATTATAAAATTTTTATCGAAAAGAAAATATTGTCCAATATTGTCTTGGGCTAATTTTTCCAAACTGCTATTATTAATGCAACTGCATTGGAAATTCAAAATTCGTGTAATTTATTTCCTAACAAAAACTTTGTAGCAGGGTATAATGAAGCACTTATGGAAAATTGGATGAAGATAGAAATTCCAAGATTGTTGAGCGAGCGATAATCCATTTTCACTCTCTTGGAATTCCAAGAATTCCCCCTTTCGAGAATGCTCACATTTTGTTATATATATATAAGTTTATTAACTATTTGAATTGTAAATATGATTTTTTAAATTCGATTTCTTAAATCTGAATTAGAAGAGATTCTAACGAAAAAATGTTAATTAATTTAAAATTAGTTATTTTTAACTCAATGAAAAATATCTCTACTGATTCAGATTTGTGAAAAAAAATATAGATTTGCGAAAATTTTCTCTCAAAAAATAAAAGGGTGAATGACATCATTCTTTCCCCCTAGTCGATATTCTTTTTAAAGCTGTGGTTAATATTAAGTATATTTTTTATCGGTGAATGAGGATCGACCACGAAGGCAGGAAGTAGGGTTGAAGAAAGATACAAATGAAATGTCTTCCGAGAAATTGCGCCGCCCGGAGCAGAAATCGTTTCAGGGCGAACGTTCGTTCTACATTCTAGGTAGCGATAAATCAAATCAAAGCAGCATCTCGTTAGCCACGACCTAGCCTTGTTTAATCCGCTAGGCTAGGCGACTCGGCAAATGTGACTACACGAGTCGTGGCGAGTCTGAGATAGAGAGAAAAAAAGAGGGATAATAAAAGGACGCTTAAAGCACCACAGAGAGTAAAAGAATTTTTTTTTTTTTTTTTGAGAGAGAGTGAAAGAGTCAAGTGTGAATGAGAAGAGTGAAAAAGCGAGTGACTTGTACACATTGAATAATAAGAAGAGAGTGCTTGAGAAATTTTCACGGTCCTTTTGGTGCCACATGCAAATCATCAGAGCATTAACGAAATAAAATAATAATATAGGCACACACAGACTTATATTATACACGCGCATTTATAAATAATATAATATAATTATACATAATTTTACTTTTAAGATTATAGTGCGTACGTGATACGGTAATACAAATATATATTATATACATATATTTATTTATTAATTTACGATGTTACGTTTTGAGAGAAGCTGTTATGTTTTTGAATATGAAAAAAGAGGAACTAAAGAAGAAACGAATTTTCATTTTAGAAAAAAAAAAAAAAAAATACTCGACTATCAAAGAATATTTTTCATTCTCTCTGTAGATGGAGCAAAACTCATGAGCTTAAATTTTTCTTCTCTTTTCCGAAAGACGGGAAAAAACTCTTTTTCATGAAAATTAACTTTCTCTGAGCGACAAAAACGATTTCGATAATTGGAAGATGTAAATTGTATCTTGAAAAAATTAATCAGGTTTGTAGAAATGATCTACTTCTGTAAATTTTATTCTTAAAAAATTGACTAATTTCTTTATTTATTTTTTTAAAGTAAAGTTTGTCTTCCAGTAAATTAGTCGAATCGTTTTTGTGTGCTGGAAAATGAAATAGAATGTATCGTTTATTGTAAAGAGTGAATTTCTCATTATTGACTGTTAAATCATATTCATATCTATTACGGAAATGACAAAACTCAATAGAACTCCTCTTCATTCTCTATGAAGATTTTAGTCGAGAGTGAGAGAGAAAGAGAGAAAGAGAGAGAGCCATGAGTTTTATGCTCCACACTTGCAAATGACTGACTGAAAACAAATTCTGCGCTTTATTTTTGTAAATAAGTTCTGAGTCAGTACATTTTTACTCGGTACAAAACCTAATAATCTGTTCTCATTTAACTGCGGGAGCAAAAAAAAGAGTAACTTTAAAAAAAAAATTTTTTTTAACAAATGCGAGAGATATTTTTTCCTCATGATCCTCATCTGGCTAACCCTCGTTCTACTTGAGATTCTTCGGTGGCACTTAACTCAGCTCGTTAGTCATGCTGTACATCTTGTACAGGGTTTCTTTCTTTTTCTTTTTTTTTAGCAAAAATACTGTGAAAATTTATTTTATGTATCCAAAGTTTTCGAAATTATAAAGTAAGAAGCTCTTCAATTTCCAACTATTGTTTCTCAATCAATTCCTCGAGAACTTTCGTGCCAAATAATAAGGCAAATATAAAAATACTTTTTCTATTTTATCTAAAATGAAGAGAACATTTATCGACAATAATAATAATTTGAAAGAAAAAATCTCTTCTATACTGTAATCGGGGAATATTTTCATTGATAAAAATATTAATTAATTGAAAATGTATCATAAAACCATGTTGAAAATGTAAAAGATTTTAAAAAATTGAAATTAAAATAACATTTTTTTCTTCAATATATAAACAGAAAAATCTGTGATCAAAAAATGGAGTATATCATGACTAAAAAACGAGAGGCCAGCACATTTTTGCAATTTAAAATAAAAATTTTAAAACGAGACATAGAAGACGATAGAAACAGCTCTTTATAACCAGTGGGGAAATTGAGATCATTTATAGGCAAATGTTAACAGAATATAATATATTAAATGAAAAGTATTTGAATGAATTCGAGCCTGCCTCATTTTAAAATATTAATTCAAAATTTTGTGAAAAATATTAAAAAATAAAAAAAACTTATAAAAAAAATTTTTTTTGTTCATTTATTTACCAATTTAATTCCTATAAAAAAAAGATTTATTAAATATACAATAAACAACAAATGCTGATTTTGTGACAGCACGTGTCACCATTTCAGGGGATTCCAATCTTACACAAGTTTTCTTCGGTCGAAGCGTGCTCCAAGTTATTTTTATAATCTACCATTGAAACGCCCAAATAATGTTGTGCGTTTGTCACATCCTTCCTGCGTTCGTCCAAATATCTGTTCACGCTTTGACACCTCGTGTATCTTGTCATTCTTGTCTCTCATTGTCATGTCACATTGTCATCAAAGCTTTCTTGACCTTTAAATATATATTTTTTTAAAACAATTTTCCATTTATTTTTTGTACTATTTATTAATATTTATTATCTTAACTATTGCAACAATTTTTATTTGTTTAAATTGTGAATCTTTTGTTTTTCTACGGTATTATTTTATTTAAAATTAATTTTTAAGTCAATCAAATTTTAAAGGAAAAGAAAAAATAAAAATTCTGTTTTTTTTTGTCATTCTAAAAATAAAATGAGAATTACCCTGGTAAATATTATTTTCGCCTTTGTAATATTCTCACTGTGACTCTAAAAATCTGAAAAAGCTATAATGAAAGCCACGCTGCATCATCATTTATTGTATATATTCAATTTCGAAATACGTATATACTCGTATTTGAAACAAAAAGCAAAAAAAAAAAAATAATTTCTAAACTATGAGAATATGAAAAGAGCTTTTAGATATAAAAATCTTTCGAATCTAAATATCAGTAATTTAAAAGACTCTAAATTTAAATGCTTTCAATTTCGAAATATAATAGATATCTAAATTGCTTCTGATTTCTAAGCCTTGAAATTTAAAAGCTTTCTGTCTAAAAAGCATGACGTGATTGATTTTTTTAAAAAGAAAATTTAGTTTCAATTTAAAGTATTTTCAAATACTGCTTTAATTAATAGCAATTTTTTTCTAGACATATATATTACAGGGTTTGACCTAAAATTCCCGGTTTTCAATTAAATTTTCATTTTCTAGTAGTTTTTCATAATATCTTGAGACTTGGAGTTTTTAATACTAATTAAATTGAACGATTATTAATTTTATTTGTAAAATAGTAATTCAGTTGTAATTATTAGTCTGACACTTGGAAATTATTTGACTTTTGAACGTTGGCGAATAGTAGTTTAATTTCAGTGAAAGCATTTGCAGAAAGAGAAACTTATTTAGCGTTTTTCTAGTTCCAATAGGATCTAGTTAGCGCCTTGCAAGTTAAAATGGAGCATTCCTTTTAGCGCGTCGACTTTCTTTGAAAAACTAAAAAAAAAAAAAAATTGTAATTACAATCATTACTCTTTATCGTCACTCTTTCTCTTTCTTTCTGTCAATAGTGCTTTCTCAAAGTCAAAATAAAAAAAATATACACAAAACGGAAAATTAATTAAGACGTTAATAATGTAACTTAATTTATTTAATTTTCAGATAGAGGCTCATTATTTATCTTAATTGTGTGTTAGTCCCGTTTTTTCCCCTAACTTGTCTTCCGCTTCACCCCACCCACAACTACTTGACCTTTTTCCTCCCCCTATTTTTTTTTTTTTTTTTTTTTTTGAATCCACCCTTTTTACAGTCCTGTATGTCGTTCTGTGAAGGTCCATAATTTATGTGGACCCCTTTTGTTTCAGTTGTATGCGTCTAAATATGTGAAGATGTATTTCACGTGTTGGAAGATTCATCCTGTCAAAATATATGTCCCTGCTAGCCCCAAAATTTAGTAAACCCAGGTGCAGAATTTTCGGCAGTTCACAGAATAATTTGTTCATTTCGAAACCGCTAGAGATAAAATAAAAAAAAAATGATTGGTGGTATCGAACAATACACGAGGGACTTTAACGGTTACCATATTTTTTTTTTTAAATCCATTTGAGCAGTTATTAATAAAAAATCAGTTTTTCGAAACTGATTCTGAATTTAAACGAAAAAAATTCATAACGTCCATTAATTAATACAACTAATAATTAAAACTAACTTTATCTGAAATTGACACTAATTAACTAAAAGAGGATTGTAATTGCTACCACCTTTAATTAGAATTGTTCTTTTAATAATAAAAAAAAAAAAACAATTTAGTGGCAGTTTTAATAATAATCTTTCTTAATGGAAAAGTTTAATTCCCGATCAATATTCAATTTGACAAATTTATAAGCTTATCTTTTAAGACAAAGAAGTTTTAAAACTTGAAATATCTTCCTTCTAAAGTTATCTATTCAAAGCTCCAAAGAGTTTAGGAAAATTGATAAGTTCAGGCGTCTTCTTTAGTCGTACACAAAGCATCGTTTTAATTTAAAAAAAAAAAAATAATTATTAAGCAAATGACATCGAATTAAAAAATAAAGAAGTAAATTTAATTTGTCAATTATTTCAATTAAATATTCAGAAATTTATATTATTTTTTTTTCGAATCGAGATAAAAAAAAAATTGTAATCGATACTTTAAGAAAGTGAGTCTTGTCACATTATACATTGAAGGAATCTTTAATGAAAATTATTTTTCTTTTTACTACGACAACTTTTCCATTGATTATTTATGAGGCTAACGAGTTGAAAAGTTATGCAAATAATTTTTTTCAAAGCTCCATTTTCAAAAGTTCAGTAATGATTTTGTAGAAAAAAAAAACGGAAAAATAATATGCAAAAAAAATATTTTAAAATTGAGAAAAAAAATGTAAGGATACCATTAAAAAGTAACGATTAAAATGAAACAATGTAAAAAAAATAAAATAAATTAATCGTTCTGCTCTTAATAAACTGTAGTTAATACATGAAATAATTTTGTTTCTTAAGAAATTCTATATAAAATAAACATCAAAGTAATTTCTTAATAATTTAGAGCTTTCAATTAAAATCTGCATGACTCTATTAGTAATCTCTGACTAATTACTCTAGTAATTATGCGAAACTTTCATGAAATTGCAATTCATTTTCATTTTTAATCCTAAACTCGAAATATCACATGTACAAAGTGATATTTCAAATGACGTTTCAGAAAATCAGCAGCGCAGATATAACTTTATCCAATTACACTTGACATAAAAATCGTTTCAAAGAATCAAAAGTACTGGCATTTAAAGTAAAAGAAATTAAATTGCAAGAGACATATTTTTTTATGTTACGCATATATGCCGTAACTACTTTCATGAAAGTCAAGATAAAAAATAATCTCGAATTTTATTTTTATTAATTAATTTCAACGGAATTAAAGATAAGAAAGAAAATTAAAAAAATGAAATTCTATAAATTATTCTTAATTTATTACTAAATTATTAACTCAATTTTTTTAAATAAATCAATTTTTGAAAAATTAATTTTAAAAATAATTAAAATTAAAAAAAAAAATTCCCTAAAAATTGAATTTCAACAATTAACAAAATAAACTCAATTAAATTGAAAGAGTAAGTTGATCTTTCGATTCGAATAAAAACAATGAGCAACGTTTGTAAAAAGATGTCACGTTTTGACTGCAGAGAAAGCTTTAGTTTGCACAAATTGTTCTCACCTGCGACCATTGAGGTGTGTGTATATTTCTCTCTCTCCCTCGCTGTTCACACATATATATATATAACAATATCGCACAATCCATTCCGGTTCCAAAACGAATCTTCACTTTCTTCCGGAAGCTCGTGCAATGTCGGTGACAGTGAATCGTCGGCGAGTTTTGATTTTCCTGGTTGTCTCGATGATTTGCATGATGGCTGCGGATCCTATTCAAACGTCACAACTCGCCAATAACAATGACATCGATGACAATGAATCAAACGGAAATGGACTGCAATCTCGCAAACACAAATATCATCATCTCCTTCGTAAGTTCTTCTGATCATCTAAAAAAGAAATGTAGCCAAATTTTTATCACATTTCAAAAAAAATATTTTTTAAAATTAGTTAAAAAAATTTTTTTTTTTAATTTGACATATGAAAAATGTAGAATTTACAAAATTGGATTTTTTAATTTTGAAAATTTGGCTATATATTCGAGAATTATTTTCAAGTGACGTAAAAAACTTGAAGTAAACATTGACGTTTTTTACAGCGAGGCACTGTGGATTCAGCAGCGCTTATCTTTATCCGTCTTTCCTCTCGCGTAATTACATATTCACTTTTATCATTACAACTCGACTTACACCAATGTTTTAGCTCAACGAACGAACTGGGGAAGCTATTTTACATACATGATTTACATAATTACATTTGCATACCTCCGTTTTCTATATTATACCACTTTACACTCTTGTCCTCGTCTATGCGGGGCCGGGTGTGAATCCTAAAGCGATTCGAATGCATAGTGAAATAATAGACTTCCATCTCTATATATATCTCTCTCTTTCTCTTTCCTTCGTTCACAGTTTTGGGTGGTCTCAAGGGTTGGATAGCTCTACTTCTAATAAAATTCAAAATCGTCCTCGTGTCCTTTGCCGTTGCTGCAATTGTCATCGTTACTCTCAAATTCGTCGAAATCTTCAAATACAGGACGCCATACGCGAGTCCATATTCCATCGCTCATGAACCTGCATACGATTTTGGTATGAAACTTTTTATTCTTAAATTAAGCTCAACAATATAATAAACCTTTTTTTCTACATTCCATTTTTACAAATTATCACAATTTTTTTTAAATTACAAAAAATTACATTTTTTTATTATTAAAATTCAGATATTTACCATCTCGTGATTTGTTTAACCTCCTTATATACACACAGAGAAAAGAATAATTCTTTTTCCTTTTTGGTGTTGACCTTTTAAAAAATAAAACTCCCCTCATCACTTCACTCGGGCAACATCAAAGTTAAAAGTCAGAAGACTTTTAAAGTTAAGTAGACTGCTACAAAGAGGTAAACGTCCAAAGGCAAATTTACGTTTTCAAGGATTCTTGAAAATTTTGGATTTCTGAAAGAAAAAAAGATTATATAATTATTAATCTAATTAATATACTAAATTACATTTAATTAAATGTCATTCATTTCTAAAATAATAATAATTTATAGGATCACCTATTCATTTGGATCATTCGTCGCACCATGATAGATATGGAAACGATTGGTCGTCTAACTCCTATGCGCAAAGAATTTCACACAATACTAAGCCGTACAAGCAGATGAAATTCACTGGCGGAAAACGAAGTTTAACTCAACGATGAAAATGAAAAAAAAAAAATGAAAATTCTAATTTATTTGTAAATAAACCTTATTTATTCCATTTAATTGAAATATTAGTCTTAAGAATAAAAATTTGAAAATAAAAAAAAAAAGATTAATTTCTACTTGTTGGGCACGTATTTTATGTCTACTAATTAAATAAATCTATTCTTTTTATTAAAATAATTAATTTACTTGGAAAGTATATTTATGTATATTCTTTCCCTGTACATTATTAACATACATTCATCATTGATGTTGAAGATAAAATATAGATTTAATTTTACACAAAAAGTGGCATATTTTTTTTTCTCAAATAAATGCCACGTGTATGTTTAAAATATTTTTTAAACATTAAATTCGTAAATTAAAGATATAAATCGAAATCAATTCGAGCAGCACTGTAAAATTCACCAGTCTGTCCAGTTTTACGAACCCAAGCGCCCTTTTTAAAGTAACCTTCTTTCGACCATGACAGCATTTTTTCCGTCTTATGAGGTCCGCTAACTTCTGCATTATCGTTTTGTGACCATTTTAATTCCCAGGTAACTGACTCTACATCATCTACATTTTGCTCTTCATTTTCTTGTTCTGTTAACAAATTTGTTAAAAAACAAAAATTAAACCACCACAAAAAAATAGGAAATTTTCAAGAAAAAATTAAATATAAAAATTTATTATAAATTAAAAAATTATTATTATTACGAAAAATTATACAAATAAATGAATTTCATTCAATTTTTATTTTTTGAAAAAAATCTAGAAAATAAATTTATTTAAAAATTCTAACCTGCAGGAGTGTTTGTATCCAGTTTTTCTTTTTCCTTTTCATCAAAATCATCTGCGTACATATCAAGTTCAGCTTCCGCTTTCGATTTTGGTGGCGTAACCTGTAAGTTTCGATTATTATAAAAAATTAAATATTATTTATTAATCAAATTTGTTTAAAAAAAACACGCATGAAAAAAACAATAGTTTATGTATAATTAATGAATATTTTCATTGAATAAAATTAAATTTTACCTTCTTTTTAATTTGCTCGTAGCTTTCCTCATAAATATCCATATTTCCAGTTCGCGTAAGCAATTCGTTAGCAAATTCCGTAAGTTTAGTGATTTGAGCGGATTTTTCCTCGTCCTCCTTGGCCAAAGATGGATCCTTCTTCCTTTTCCATCTCTCAGCTGTCGTTAATTGTTTCTTTCCTTTTCCCAATCGACAGAGAGCTTTTTTAACAGTCTCACCAGGTTGTAGGAATTCCAAAATTTTTTTGTACAATGGAACTGGATCAAACATTCGATCAGGATCTTCATCACTATCACTGTCACTGTCTGCAATTCCTTTTGACATTTTTTCCTTACTTTTTCGATTCTTTGCAAGTTCAGGCTTCACCTATTATTTAAAATAAAAAAAAAAAATTATTTTATGTCACCAGTTGCATTTATAATTAATTGAAATAAAATTTAATTTTATACCTTAACCCAATCAATATTATCCAACCAGTTATCTCGTATTTGTTTCTCTTTTTTCAAAAGATAATGACCATCTTTATCAAAATGACCTTCCTCAAGTTCCTCTTTCATATTGAATGCTGTGAAACCAATATTTGCTTCAGCACCTGGACCTTCTTCGAGACCTGATGAGAAAAATGATACAAATTAAATTAAATTCAATGTATTTAATTACAATTAAATTTATTTTTAAATTATCATTGTCAATGACAAACTATTTTTTTAAAATACATTAAAACAGAAATTAAATTGAATTTATTACCTTCAAAATCATCGTCATTCATCACATTGTAGGCCTCATCCTCGACTTCATCGTCGTCTTCGTCTGAATCCAGTGAGTTTTTAAATGATACTCCAGCCACTTCAGTTAAAGGCTCAACATCATTTGACTCATCAAATTTTCGTTTAGGCATTTTAAAAATTATTTAAAACGTATATTTTAAAATAGAACTCTTTTTAATGTAATATATCCCAGAGAGTATTTGCTCCAAAATGTCACCTTATCTGAAATTAAATATTTGTTTATCATCACAACTATATATTGCAAGTTTTCAAATTTGTCTTCTAATATTTAATACTTTACAAAAAAAAACAATAAGTAATTTACATTTAAAATATATAAACAATTATTTATAAACACACAATCATTATATCGACATTTTAGGTTAGGTTTCAACCACTTGTGTTTGACAGCTTGTGAAATTGTTAGATATTACCTTTAAATTGTAATGAGTAGAGAAGAAAAAATACTTACTCAATTAATAATTGTTAACTTGATTAATTACGCGTCACAACTTTATTTGTATTACAGAGAAAAAAATTTGATATCTGTTCAAGTTATCAAGTACACATAAACAATCGACGTAATAACGTAAGTTTCACTGTCGATAAAAAAAATGTCAAAAGGTAAGTCGTAATTTATCAACTGAGATATTTTTTAATATAATTGTTTTAATACGATAGATATCACTGATAGTACGATTTTAATAAACAACAAATAAAGAAATTATATTTTAAATTTATTAAAAAATTTTTTTTCCAAATTTATGATAACAGCTTCTATCAGTAGGTAACTATTATAGAAACTTGTTCTTTGTACAGACCTGTATGACGTGTTGCATACTTTCTCAAAAATTCTTTAGATTGTTTTTAATTTTGAAAAAAATTAAATACACTAATATAAACAATTTTTAGAAATTTAGAAATCGAATTTAAATATTATTTAACTTCGATGAGTATTTCATCGCTATTTTTAAAATTTACCAATCACGATTATCTTGATAATTTATTATTGGTCAATTTTGAAAATTGCGCCAAAATCTCTCTGTTGATTGTATATTCGAATATTTGCAAGTTTGGACAAATTCTTATTAAATAATTATTAAATGATTAATTAAAAATTAATAACTTAATATCAAAATAAAAGATTTTAAAAAAATAAATCTAGATAGATATTTCAATGAGATGCGCGCGCATACTTCCAACTCTGCCTGCACAGGCGGTCAGTAAGAGCCAATCAGAGAGTCAGTAGATTTAAATTCTCTGTCTCTCTCACTCGTATACATTTTCTACATGGTGTGCGAGCCCTTTAAAATGCGCGCGCATCGAAGTTCAAATCAATGAAACTTGCATTTGACTTGCACTTGCAATTGATGATTAATATATAAATATGAATTATGAAAATATATTTTTTGCATTTTTTACAGTAAAGGGACAAACGACTAACAATCTTGATAATATAACCTCAAGATTGGTGATAAGGAAGTCTCATGAAAGAAACATAACCTCATATTTTGAGGACACATCTTAAGAACATAGGTCAATAGGACGCTGCATTTAAGCAGTTCACGCAAGGTAACATCAAATATCTTTAATTAATTAATTAAAATTTATTAATTTCATAAAATAAATTTTGACTGCTATGTCTAAGATGCGCGCGCACGCACTTCCAGCTGCCTGCATAGGCAACCAGTAAGAGCCAATCAGAGTCAGTAGATTTGAATTTTCTGTCTCTCTCACTCTTATACTTTTTCTTCGTGGTGTGCGAGCCCTTTAAAATGCGCGCGCATCCAAGTTCAAATCAATGGAACTTGCATTTGACTTGCACTTGCAATTTATGTATAATATATATACATATGAATTATGAAAAAATATTTTATGTATTTTTTACAGTGAAGGGACAAACGACTAACTATCCTGATAATATAACCTCAAAATTGGTAATAAGGAAGTCTCATGAAGGAAACATAACCTCATATTTTTAGGTCACATCTTAAGGACATAGGTCAATAGGACGCTGCCTTTAAGCAGTACATGCAAGGTAACATCAAATATCTTTTCTTAATTAATTAAAATTTATTAATTTGATAAAATAAATTTGGACTGCTATGTCTAAGATGCGCGCGCACGCACTTCCAGCTGCCTGCAAAGGCGGCCAATAAGAGCCAATCAAAGTCAGTAGATTTGAATTTGAATTTTATGTCTCTCGTACATCCAATTTCAAATCAATGGAACTTGCATTTGACTTGCACTTGCAATTGATGAATAATATATTTATATGAATTATGAAAATATATTTTTTGTATTTTTTACAGTGGAAGGACAAACTACTAGAAATCAGGAAAACACAACCACAAGATTGCTGATATAAGGAAGTGTCAAGAAGGAAACATAACCTCATATTTTGAAGTCACACGTTAAGGACAATAAGGACATAGTTCAATAGGACGCTGGATTTGAAGATCATATCATTTGCTATGCAATAACTAATAATGAAATTGAAGAGAAAATATCCAATGCATAGCATACAAATTACGATATTTATAATTAACAATTTTTCTTTAACTTTAACTTTTTATTCAAATTTTTTTTATTGTAGTAAATTTTTTGTTTCATTTCGAAGCTGTTCTAAACAGTGTGAAATGTGTTTAGAAATTTTCAAATATTTATATTCGCGAACGAAAAAATTCTTTAATTTTTTTTTTTTCAATTTTTTGTTATTGTAGTAAATTTTTTGTTTCATTTCGGAACTGTTCTAAACAGTGTGAAATGTGTTTAGAAGTGTTCAAATATTTATATTCGCGAACGAAAAAATTCTTTAATTTTTTTTTCCAATTTATTGTTATTTTATGAAAATTTTTTGTTTCATTTCGGGAGTATTCTAAATAATCTGAACATATAGTGATCATTTTAAAGTTTTATGAAAAATAGTGTATTATTAATTACTTAAACTCATAGTGCCGGGAGTGTTCGATTTTTTTAATCGCGCGTGTGTGTGTGTTAGTGTATGTTTTCCAACATCAGATGTCATCAATTGCATAAAGCTAAAGGTTAAAGGTATTTATTTTTTTATATATAATTAATAATAATTGCATGCGGTTGATTTTACTACTTAAAAAAATATTATTTTTTTTTAATTACTATGAAAGTAAATTTATTTCAAAAAACATTTTCAAAAATTTTAATCTAAATGTAAATTCTCCTAAATGAAAATTTTTCTAAAACAATATAAAAAAATCATTGATAATTGAGAAAAAACAAAATTTAAAGAATATTAAAAAATAAATTTAATATTTTTATAAAATATTTTAATAAATATTTCAAAATAAATTTGAAAAAATATTAAAAAATAAATTTGAAAAAATATAAAACAAATTAAAAAAAAAAAAGAATATTAAAATATTTGTTAGAATTTTTTTTTAATAACTAAAAAAAATTGATAAAATTAAGTGAGAAAAAACTGTAAAATCAACCGACTTCTTTATTAAGTTGCGAGTTTCCGCATTGTATCCAATTTTCATGAGGAAAAATTTGTCATCGTCATCGTTATCGTCAACGTTATAGTCATCGTCATTGTCATCAATGTCATCGTCGTCTTTGTTGTTGTTGTGTTTTCTTTGTTCTTTTCATTCTACTTTTGTCTTTGAATTTAATTTTTTGTTTAAAAATTTAATTATTATATAATTTTATATTTAAAATATAAAAGTTTAAATATTTATTACATAAAAAATATTAAACAAACATTGCACGCGAAAATAAACATTTAAACCAAATTTCAGTTCTCTCGGTCAAAATGTCTTAGTTTTTGTTGTAGAACGTACATTAAAACAGACAAAAAGTTTTTTGTGTGTTATAGTAATCAAGTAATCAAAATCCGTAATTATAATTCCATTTATTGAATTAAAAACAAATTCTTTTTAAATCTTTTGAAATTTCAACATGGTCACTCTATATCAACCTGTACCACTCGTAAATTTATTAATTTGGAACTAATATTACTTTAAATTGCAAACTGCCATAATTCTTTTTTTTTTGATAATAATAATTAAAAAAATTGTAATTTTTTATTTTTATATTTGAAAAATCTCAAAGATAATTATTAAAAAAATATTTTTAAATCATTATAATTTACAAATGTATCTGAAACGATTTTTGAATTTTATCACTTTTTATACTTGCATCACGATAGCTCTATGATTACATTAAAATACAAAAGCCTACGCCTTAAAATAAAATAAAATCATGGAATATAATATATTATATTTTTAATTATATTATAAAATATAATAATTAAATTAAATCAGTTACAATTAGTTTATATTGACCTTTTTTTAGACGTAATCATCGTGAATGTATTGCAAATTTATAAAAGAAAAATTTTTCAGTCAACTAAATTCTCAATTTTTTTTTATTAAATATTTTCATATTTAATAAATATAGTTTCGAGTTGTTTCAATAAAATTTTAATCCCGGATCTGTTAGAAATACTTAAAATCGCGATCCCTTAAGTATAAAAAAAATAATTATTAAAGTGAAGCTACAAATATCAGATTTGTATTATAAATTGAAACTACTTTTCTAATTGAAACTATCATAACTAATGAAGATATTGACTAAAACTACTAAGAACTACTACTAACTATCATTGACAGAAACTGCAATTAGATTTTAAAGCCTTTTTTAGCAAACAGTTGAAGGTATCATGACTTAATACAGACTGTGACTATGAGCAATTGAGACTTCTGAGATTTCTATAGCAACTGTACGCTATCAATTGACTGAAAGAGCAGCTTGGAGTAATTATTGACTGCAATTACCAGGTTGAAGCTCTCAGGCTGATTGATTGATTACCAGTCCTGAATGAGAGCTAGAATGCCATATATCATGACTCGAAACCATCAATAATCTGAAGCTATCACACGACTGGAAAACCAGCTTGGTGCTGCCAATGTCTGCGTCGATCAGCATATTGGTACTTTTTACTGTAGTAATAGAAGTTCTCATTGCTTAAGACTTCAGCAAATGATGTTTAATACGTTTACGTTTATCATCCTTTTGTCTGAAAATACCAACAACTGTAGCTATATATATCATTGACTGAAACTGATAACAAATGACGGTACTGTTTTATCTGTATATTTGTAGCTTCAATTTTAATTTAAAAAAAAGTCTATCCCGAAAGTGTTTGAAACATGACGGTATTTTATCCATATATTTGTAGCTTCAATTTTAGTTTAATAAATTCTGTCCCGAAAGTTTTTGAAACTCCTAAACTTCTTTAAAATTTTAGAAGAAGTAATTTGGTTATTAATAATATTATAATTATAATAATTATTAATAATTTTATTTATTTTACATAATGTAATTAAAGGCGCATTGCCTCCTTTACATGAGGGTTATGTCCTTAAAAAACTATTCACATAAACAGAAAGCCCTAATCTTAACTAAAATAATTATTAATAATAATAATTAATAACAATAATTAATAATAAGAGGTAATAATACATAATAGGTAATAAATACAAATAGTTGTAAACATAGCTTCAAAAAGATTCAAACAAATATAATTTATTATCAATTAAATAATTGTAACTTTTATTAAAAAAGAAATGGAATTAAAGCTGTAAGATAATATTTCTGAAAATTAATTTAAACTACTGTAGCTATTAAATCAATCATTGACTGAAAATATCACTGACAGAAACTAAATTTAAAGTTATTTTTTAATAAACAGTATTACTATGACTTAAAACAGACTGTAACTAATAGGGACAATTAGAACTTGAGAGATTTCTAGTAACTGAAGCTATCAATTGACTGAAAGAACAGCTTGGTTTAATCAGATTAATTGATAATCAGTGCTAGATGTGCTTTATGCTTAAGAAATCGCAACTCGAAATCATTTTACAATCTGAAGCTATAACATGACTGGAAAACCAGTTTTGTGCTGCCAATGTCTGTGTCGAACAGCATTTTGAGATCCTTCAATTACTAGTAATTAAAGTTCTTATTGCCAAAGACATCAACAGTAAAATCTATCATTGATAGAAACTACTATTAAATTTTTAAGTTATTTTTTAGCAATCAGTTGAAGGTATTCATCATACTTAATACAGACTGTGACTATAAGCAATTGAGACTTCATAGATTTCTATAGAGAACTGTACGCTATCAATTGACTAAAAAGAACAGCTTGGAGTAATTATTGACTGCAATTACCAGGTTGAAGTTCTCAGGTTGATTGATTGATTACCAGTACTTGATGAGAATTATACACGAAAAAAGTAAGTTCGTCAATCATTAAGAGACTTTTCTGTCTCTTTGATACGGGACACTTTTTCCATAGAAGTTGAATTATAACTTTGAAATATTTTTAACTGAATTCTTTAAAAGTAAAGAGTTTATCGATATACGAGTGTGCGCAACTTTATTAAACGTTTACGAATCTGTGAAACGTTAATTGACTTTATAATTTTCTGAATAATTAAAAAGTGATGTTCAAGGCAAAATTTTTTTCTCGAAAGTGATGAAAAATCTCGTCATGTAGTATATAAGAACAGTGACTATCAGTGTTATAAGCGTGCGTTTGTATATGTAAATGTGTGTTAGTTTAAAGTGTAAAAAATATCGAAGTGTATTATTATTATTATTATTATTATTTATAAAGAGAAAGTGTATTATCATTCTGTGCCAATCAATGTTTAAAATTACTAATAATTGTGAAAAAAAATAAATTTTTTTTTATTATTTATCAGAAAGTTAAGTGCCAATCAGTGTTTGAAATTAGTAATAATTGTGAAAAAAATAAATTTTTTTTTATTATTTATCAGAAAGTTATGTGCCAATCAGTGTTTAAAATTACTAATAATTGTGATGTCTAACCATTTTTTGAGAGACGATTTTATGTTCCGTCTCAAAGTGACAGACTATTCTGTTAATGTTTGACGAACTTATTTTTTCCATGTAGAATTCCATATATCATGACTCGAAACCATCAATAATCTGAAGCTATCACACGACTGGAAAACCAGCTTGGTGCTGCCAATGTCTGCGTCGAACAGCAAATTGGTAGGTCTTTCCTGTAGTTATAGAAGTTCTCATTGCTTATTAAGACTTCAGCAAATGATGTTTAATACGTTTACGTTTATCATCCTTTTGTCTGCAAATACCAACAACTGAAGCTATACATAATTGACTGAAACTTTACATCATTGACTGAAACCTCATATCATTGACTGAAACTATATTAAGTAAATTTGAAGCTACCATTAATTGAAACTACCGACTTTTGAAGCTATTGTTTATATTTGTTAATTGAAACTATGAACATTTGAAGTTAGTGTCAGTTTTTTAGCTTTAAGTTGAATCTACAAATCTGATGTAAATTGAAAATAAAAATAATATTTTAAAAACACTAATAGAAAATATAGTTAGGCGTTAGAAAAATATTATATTAATTTGTTGCAACTATTTTAAAGATAATTAAATTATCTTTTAAAAGCGTTATAATTACTGTTTAGACTTTCAATTTATTTGTAATTAAAAAAAAAAAATAGAAAAATATTCACAAGAATCGCTCTTGATATTTTTTGTAACTGTACATTGGAGACCTGTGTGTTGAATTGAAATTCTATTTAATGAATATTCTTTTAAGGGACCTTTTGTATTTTAAATGTTATTATGGAGCACGTTAGTTTTTAATTTGTGAAATATTAATTACAAAATGTTAAAATTTGTTATTTACTGCAAATAGAAAAAAAATAGAAATAAAAAAAAAATCTTACGAGAAAAGTCCGACATAAGTGAACACAAACTATAATACACAAAGAATTTTTTTTCTTCTTAACCGGAAATGAGAGTATGCAAAAGTTAGGGTTGAAAAAAACTGCAGAAAAATAGTTTACTCTATCATAACTAACATTTACTATATCGAGGAAATGAAAATAATAGTTTACAACTGCTATACCAATTATTAAAGTAATCATTATTTATACCTACACCGAAAAAAAATTTATTTGATTAAAATAATCGGTTTACTTGACTATTATCAAATCAATATTTTCTTGGACCAAATAACTTTTATTTGAATTAAATAATTGTAATTGAAACAATAATTTCTGCATTTGAAACAAATACCATTTAATTGACTCAAATAATAATTATTTGATATAAATAAATATTTATTTTCATTGTATGTTAAATAAATAAATAAATAAAAGAAATGTTTGAAAAGAAGTGGAGATTAAGATCCACATATGCAGGTGCATATATGCACTTTACAAATTTTTACATTCTATTTATCTCATACATTTATTACTTGTAATTTAATTGTAATTTAATTGTAATTTAATTGTAATTTAATTTTATTTGTATTTTATTTGTATATTATTTGTATATTATTTGCATATTATTTGTATATTATTTGTATATTATTTGTATATTATTTGTAATTTATTTGTATATTATTTGTATATTATTTTTATATTATTTTTATATTATTTGTAATTTATTTGTAATTTATTTGTATTTTATTTATATTTTATTTAATTGTAATTAATTTGTATTTTCTTTGTACTTTATTTGTATTATATTTGCATTTTACTTGTATTTTAGTAGTATAAGGAATTAGATTGTACAAAATATGTAATACTATACAAAGGAAACAAAAAATTCTATATTCTTTTTTTTTATAAATTTTTGATAATAGTCAAGTAACCGATTATTGGAATCAAATAATAATTTTTTTCAGTGTATTATTAATTATAATTACCATTGCAATTAATCTTTATAAATTTGCGAATAACCTGACCTTTTCATGCTCTCCTAATTCTTAAAATTAAAAATTTCTTTATTTTAACAGATACTTTGGAATTTCTATTATATTTGTAATTTAAAAATTGGCGGGAATTGAATTATGAGAATATTCCGACCTCTTCATGTTCTTCTAATTAATTAATTCCTATTTAAAAATAGTCGGGAATTGAATTTTGAGAATACCCCAACCACTTCATGTTCTCCTATTACTTAAAATTAAAAAAATCTTCAAAATTTTATTGAAAAAGTATCAAAACAATGAATATTTGAAATAAGCGCATGCGCAATCATTATATAAATAGAATCCGACCAATTTTTAATTCTCCTATGATAAAAATTACAGTTTTTAATCATAATTCATAGATTTTTATAATAATTTATCGTAGACAGTTTTCGGGTTAAATAATAATTTAAAATTTAATATAAATTTTAATCTAAATAAATAATTTAATATAAAATATTATTAATAAAACATTTATTTTAAATTGTCATTTAAATTGTTATGTTGAATGAAAATTGGTTTAGTTATATAAAAATTCTGTAATATTAAAAATCGGTTTAATGGATATTCTGCCGAAATTCTACCAAAAAAATTATGTGGATAGAAATTTTTAATTGCTGATACAAGTAATAATTAGCTTTCACAGCTAACGCATATTTGCTATGATATAAAAATTGAAATAAGTAACATTATAATTTTTACATTATTTATTTGATTTTAAGAGTTAAACATTTTTCTCCTATTTTTCAATAAATCGTGTCTATTATATATTAAAACAATTTTTTTCTAATCAAATTTTCAAGTAACATGAGAAACACGGAAAGAGCTGAGCCAGTAGATATTAAAAATATCAATGGAAAAAAGTCTGCTAAAACCACTGGTGTTGGATTAGAACTAAAACTTTCTGGACATGTTGGTTTTTTATATTGCCAGATGCGTTTCAATTTTTCTGAATTTCCATGTTCAACTATTTGCCTCAGTCTACGAAAATTACAAAAGAATTGTCAATTATTTTCACTGATTTTTCTCTTTCCTTTCTTTAATTATTTTTTAATTTTTGTCACTTTAAAAAAATACTTGCCCATAAGTAACCATTTTTTTGAAAGGCGAATTTTTTGCAGTTGCAGTTGCAAGATGTTCCGTTGGTACCATCAGAATTACCACCAATTCACATATTTCTTCTTCCGTGAATGTGTCCTGTAAATATAGAAATTTTTTTTTATAGCGCTTTAAAAAAATCGAGTTGAAACAAACTTAAAATTAAAAAAAATCTACGTCTATTATTTTATATGCAGTTCCTGATTCTATTTGAAAAGCAAATCCGCCATGTTTAACTCTTCGAAGACCCTCGTGAGCTTTCAAATAATTGGCTGTCTTTCGTTTTTCGTTTGGTGCTATTTTTTTGTTATATAATTTGATAACATGTGGATCATTGGTCGTCTGTAATTTTTTTAAAAAAATTTTTATCATTTCGAATGGCGCTATATAATTAAGAAAAAAGAAACATACTGCAAAAAAATTACGAATATAACCAACGTCTTCGACTCCAACTTCTAAATCACTGTTGGCAAGATCCTCTATTGTATTAATGAATTTTGTAGGTTCGGCTAGCAAAGAACCCACTATGGACGCGGAATAATATTGAGACATTAAAAAACCCCAAACAAATAAAGTAATGTAAACAATGCGACCTGAATAAAAACGTGGTATCTCGAAGCAATCTGTAATTCAATTTTTAATGATACACTAGAACGTCAATCGAGAACACGTCAGTCGAGAACAGAGCAAGGGAACACTTGAAGGGAAGTGGGGAAGCGGGTAGAATTTAGGTTATGACTGACGCCAAAGTCGTACTTGTGATTTTTAAATTTAAGGTGGATTCAGTGCCCCACTAGTGAAAATCCCCTAGATAGAATTCACATTGTTGCGTAAGGCCCTTCATACGGCCCTGAGTGTTTTTATTTTCGAGCGATAAAAATCGCGTCAATCGAGAACAGCACTGCACATTCGTCTGTTCTCGATTGACGTTTTAGTGTAATCATTTTTTTTTAATCATCCAATAGCTATGGTAACGGTTACCATATAGCAACAATTCCCAAGATATAAGATGCCAACGACCATCACCAAAACATAACTGCGCTTGCGTAAAAGCAACTCTCTTAATGGTAGAAAAAAGCGTTTTTTTTAAATGCGCCTTTTTTACCAATAAGAGAGCATGTAACAGCGCAAGCGCAGTTGCGTTTGATGACAATCGTTGGTATCTTTGTATGATAATGGTTACTAGTTTAACAGCCAAAAAATCCTTTTTATTGCTCATCTTTCACTAATTTCTTTTCTTTCTTAAAATTGAAAATTCACCCTGTAAACAAGTCGATCCCATAACATCAAGTGCACTATCTAAAGTAATTAATGGTTTCTTCATTTTAAAATCTTCACTATATTTCTGTTCCACTTTTGCAGTGACAATAATTAAAATCCAAAATAAAATCATTGTCAAAATCATTAACCACCATACTTTTTCTTCAAATGGTTTTAAAAAAGAGTTCTTTATAGCATTTTTCTTTGGATGACGAAACATTAATCCGCCTCTAAAATGTAATTTTTCTTATATTTCTTTATTAAATTAAAATTAATGTGAAAAAAAACCTCAAATGGTATTTCAATAGTCAAGAATTAATACATAAATTATTTTTTTTAAATTACTAATGAAAACAAAACTATTGTAAAATTATTATTTTATAAAATATTAAAAATTTTGTGAAATTAAAATTCAGTTAAGAGAAAATGATTACTTAGCTATATAGGTTTGAACAGTAAATTCACAAATATCTAATCGATCTTTCAGAAACATAAATGGAGTGGCTCCAATGTCTACTATTCCCTTTGCCATGTCTCCCATTATTCCAGTATATGTACCATTCACAAGATAACCCCAATTCGTGCCCTGAGTTAAATGTATTCTATAAAAATACAGATTTATCTTTTTTTTTTTAATAAGAATAAAAAATTATTGAAGAAATCACAAAAAAAAATTTCGAAATTTAAAAATTTTGAAAAAAATCCATTTCTAAACTAAAGCTTCTATTAAATTATGTATTTTTCTACATACGTGAAATTATACATGTCTTTTAGTTGACGAATTAAATTAAAATGATAACGATGCATTGAATCTAAATGTGTATTTACTGGAACTGATAGATAGGTCATTAAATCTGGTTTTGGTTCCTGACTAAGCTGTTAAAAAAGGAAATTCTTGAATTAGAAATATTCTACTTATCTATTCCTCTAAATTAGTACTATAGCCTAAAATGAAAGCAAATAGTGTTACGTATTCAATTTACAAATATTGAAAAATTTAATTGAAGACCATTTAAATTTCTACGACGTTCATATTTGTATTGATCAAATTCCATTTTCAGTCCATCGTTTGGTTCCCATGAACCCATAAAAGTGACATTTAATTTTCCACCATGACGAAAACTAGGATTGTAGACATCATAGAGATGGAAATTTTCCATTTTTTGTAAAGCTAGTGTCATTTCTGTATTTACAGCCAAATTTAATTTTTCAAGAAGAACTATAGGTGCTTCTTCTTTTGTAATCAAAAGCCAGTAATACGATTCATTGTACAAAAGTTTATTACGAGTAAACTGTTTTAAAATACATTTGTATTATTTCAGACATAATTTCCACTCTTTTCTTAAATTTTTTAGAATTCAATTAAATAAAAAGTTTTTCATTGTATCAGTAGTAAACCACTGTTTTAGTCAGACATAATTTTATCAAAAATAAGTAATTTTGCCGAACATTTTAAAAAATAAATTACCTCATGTAAAATAACATCATGATTAGAACAATCCATGTCCAAAAATACTCCAAGTTTGTAGTAATCAACTCTTAAAATTTTTTTCAAATTTAGCTTATTGGCAATTGGAATATAAGAAACTTCTGATTGAAGATTTCGAATATACGACACTTTTTCTAATTAAAAAGTGATAAAAAAAATAATTTCAAATAAAATTAACACTTTTTTTTTATAAATAAATTATATTCTTACCATCTTTGTCGAAACATCCAAAACTAACAATTTGCCGTACACTCTTTTTTTGAAAATAATCTTTTGCAAATTTTGCTCTCATTTCAGTTTCCGTTGTAGTTGCCAATGCAAATAAAATTATAAAGAAGAAACATTTTTTATATTCAAAAGTAATTAAATTGATCTTTGTCATTTTACATGTATATATATCTAATATAAATAACTTATTTTTTTTCAATTAAATTTTTTCACGTATTTTTTTATGCCACAAATAGAATGAACTCTTTTGAGACAATGTAAAGGTAAAAAAATGAAGACTAGTATCTAAAAGAATAGGGGACATAAGAAAAGTATATATGAAATTTTATTTTCTGGATATAATTTACTACAACCCTTAATTTCATTTTTTTTACCTTAATTATAGATCTAGATTTTTTATCGACATTTTTCATATGAAAAAAATTACAGAATAGAAAGATTATGAATTTGAAAATAAATGTCAAAATAAGCGTTTTATACAATTAGAGATTTAAAAATTTAGGTAAAACACTTAAGAATTTGTTTTTTTTTTGCTGAAAAAATGAGGTGAATTGTAGCTTTAAAGACCTTACAAAGTAATAATTGTATAAGACGTTTATTTTGTGAAGCTATTGATTTACAAATCGATAGGTTTTCTATTCACATACCCAGTAATCTTTTTTATAAAAAAAAATGTCAATGAAAAAAAAAATTTAGATCTGTATTTAAGAAAAAAAATTACCGGGTTATTATATCAGAAAGAATGAATTCATGTAGTTTTCTTATATCCCTAATTCTTTGAATCCACGTATTCTGTCACATTTTCTTTTAAGAATTTATTTTTATTATGAACTTTTATATTGAAAAATACATTTAAGAGGAAAAATTTCTTATGATTTATTACTTTTAATTTATTTAAAATTTACATTTATTAAATTTTTCGCTTTTTAATTAGACTTTAATTTTATTTTTTAATCTTTACTTTAGAATATTTTCTGTTTATTATATTTAAAATATTTTATGTATCATTTTAAGCTTTATTATTATACTTTTTGTTATGTATGTATCATTTTTTTTATTTTAGTTTATATTTATCGATTTATTACACAGTGTTTTTAAAAATTAAAAATATAAAAAATTTTAATGTTAGTTTTGGAAGTTTTAAAAAATATGGTAAGAACTTTTATTACAATTATAATAATTATTTATTTTAAATATTTGGTTGAATAAAAATGTCTTTTATTACTAAAAAAAAATAAATAAGAATTTAGAACTTTGTTTTCTCACTCAAATTTCCTTTAATTACTAATAATAAAAATTAAAAGACTTTGGAAAAGGTATTGTCTGACTTAAATAGTGTTTTACTCCTGATACACTGAAAAAAACAATATTCTCTTTGGCAGAATTCTTATTTAACAGAATTTCTCTATAACCAACTTTTTATTTTTTTAAATTTCGGTTTATCTCTCCACTTTCCTGTTTTACCATCAGTCGGTAAGGTAGATTTCTGTGTTGATAATTTTTTATATTTTAATTTTTCTGTTTTGCCATCATTCGGTAAGGTATATTCCTATGTCGGTAATTTTTATATTTTTATTTTTCTGTTGTATTATCCCAAGAAGCACGTAATATATCCTCAATATCAAGGTAATATTACACGTGAGATTCGTAATATAACGCTGTAATATTACAGTAATCTTACAGTGATCTTAAAATGTCCACCTCAAGGTAATATTACGGTATAATATGACTGCAATATTACTGTAATATTACCTTAATATTAGCGCGTAATATTACAGTAACATTACCGGTAATATTACCTTGAGGCGGACATTTTAAGATCACTGTAAGATTACTGTAATATTACAACGTTATATTACGAATCTTACATGTAATATCACCTTGATATTGAGGTTATATTACGTGCTTCTTGGGATCAGTCGGTAAGGTATATTCCTATGTCGGTAATTTTTATATTTTCATTTTTCTGTTGTATTATCAGTCGGTAAGATAGATTTCTATGTTGTTAATTTTATATTAATAATAATTATACTAGTATAATTGAAAAGATGTGGCAAAATATAGATATAAATGTGTTTAAGGTTTGAATTTTGTAAACCAAGTCCACTTCTAGGCCAATAGACTGAAGTCAAATAAAAGTATTATTATAATAGTATAATTAAATTAAATAAATAATTATTATTATTTATTTCTGCATTGTAAACGTGGGTTTTATCCCTAGTCACCCATATTTATTTACGCAGAATATAACCACAATGCTAGGAATTCAAAAATAAACAAAGTACCAATAAAATAAAGGAATAAAAAGTTTTTTTCAAAATTTTATTAAATATATAAATAAATAGTCTGAATAAATAGTGATTGTAATAATTGAACCGCCGGCGACCAAAAGGGCTTAGGCGAGGTTTTCATTGGCCCCTGGAATAGCCGAAAACTCGCTGAACGCGGGGCCAACGAAAGTCACGCGTTAACCCTTTTGGTGACCGGCGCGGCGGTTCAATTTAATAATAAAAATATTAATAATAATCAGGAATAATTTTTTATAACAAATATTTATTAATAACTCACTATATTAAATATGTATATCGGTCGTCACTCCTTCTTATTATTATTCCAAGTATCGTACAGGACAAGACGCTTATTCGCGATTAATACTACCATTTTTCTTGCCATGAGACTCAATAATAGAGAATTTTATGACCGCAAAGGTCCTTCTTCTCCTAAATGCTAATTTGAAAAATGAAAATTCGTGTACAAAATAATTATTTCTAATAAAATTCTTTAAAATGAAAATTCTAATCAATGATTTTTTTTTGTTTTTAAACATAGAAAAAGTAAATTTAGAAAAAAAAATTTTTTTGTATATAAATTGTTACATTATTTCAAGAAAGATTTTATATTTTTGTTTTATATCTGTTTCCCATTTTTATAATATTGAATATTGTAATTTTCAAAATAATCGAACATGAAATTTTACGTTCCATGGAATAATTATTTATTATTTACTGAGTCTGACTAGTAATTTCTAGTTCCCTAAAATATCTAGTATTAATATGTTTAGGAAACCCGCTAGTTTCCTAAATTATCAGTTAGATGTTACCACACGAATAGTAATCGCATTAATATTTAATTTACTTTTCGATCCAGATTCGAATAACCGTATATGTCATTGTTCCCGTTTCGAAATATATTATTTCTCAAAATTTTGTATATAATGTTCGCGAAATAATTTTTAAGCAAGTCTTTTACAAATAAATGAAAAAAATCTATACGTTAAATAACATAAATTATTAGTTACTTTCATATAATTTAGTACAATGAATAAAATAAAAATATTTATTTCTATCATAATATTTTCACTAGTCACAAGTAATGAACTTAATTCTCATTTTGCCAGAGATTATTTTTTAAATAAAAATGTTAATCAAGTTGTGACATTTGCTTGTTGGAGCCCAAGTGGTAAATTTATGTAATTTAATAAGTTATTATTATTATATAATTATTCTCTTATTTTTTATTTTCTTCTGTTTATGTTTTATTTCATTTATTTTTTTTATATTTATTAATAATACAGCTAAAAAAATTTGATATGAATGTAGAAATAAATCCATTTGTCCGATTACTATCTGAATCAAAAATTAAAGCTTCATACATTGATGATAATGAAAAACAAAACATGAAATTAGTAATGAGAGTCAATTATTATAAATTGGGTGTTTTTTTGGATCTTGATTGTCCAGGGAAAGAAGATATTTTAACTAAGGTGTAATTTTACTAATTTAAAATTGATGTTAACATTATATTAACATTACATTATATTAAAATTAATTAAAATAAAAATAATTTGAGTACAAAAATAGTACATTATGCAACGAGAGCGGAAAGAAGCCGTTTTTCGACGAGTTTGTAAGTTGATGCAATTAAATTCGTCGGAAAATGCTACTTTCCGCTCGAGTTCACAGAAAAAATTCTTAGTTCATTTTTTTTCTGCGTAGCACCCAGTGCTTTGTGCACAAAAATATTTATTTGATAATAGTCAAGTAACCGATTATTTGCATTAAATAAATTTTTTTCAGTTTTGTGCTAAACAGAATTTTTTTTTGTGTATTATTTAAAGAAATATTATTTTATTAAAAATTTATTTCTAAATAGAAGAAATGTTATATTATAAAATATAAATTATAATACAAATGTATATATTTAAAACAGTTCACTAGTAATAAACTTTTGTACAATGAATCGTATTACTGGCTCTTGATTACAAAAGAAGAAGCACCTATAGTTCTTCTTGAAAAATTAAATTTGGCTGTAAATACAGAAATGACATTAGCTTTACAAAAAATGGAAAATTTCCATCTCTATGATGTCTACAATCCTAGTTTTCGTCATGGTGGAAAATTAAATGTCACTTATATGGGTTCATGGGAACCAAACGATGGACTAAAAATGGAATTTGATCAATACAAATATGAACGTCGTAGAAATTTAAATGGTCTTCAATTAAATTTTTCAATATTTGTAAATTGAATACGTAACACTATTTGCTTTTATTTTAGGCTATAGTACTAAATTAGAGGAATAGAAGTAGAATATTTCTAATTCAAGTATTTGCATTTTTAACAGGTTAATCATGAACCTAAGCCAGATTTAATGACTTATTTATCCATACCAGTGAATACACATTTGGATTCAATGCATCGTTATCATTTTAATTTAATTCGTCAACTAAAAGACATGTTTAATTTTACGTAAGTACCCTCTAAATTTAAATCAGGGCGCATGAATTTCCCATATATAGTTATATAATTTTCATATTAAAGAATTTTATTTAGATATATATAACTATATTTTATACGACTTTTCTTTTTTCGAATTGACATTCGACCGAATTTCTTTTTAAACGAATTTCAACATAACATACTTATTAGCTACTTCTGTTGTACAGAATTTCTCTTTATCCAACTTTTTATTTAAAAGAATTCTAATTTAACCGAATCTTAATTTAGCAAAATTCTCATTTGACATAGGAATTTGCCTTATCGACCGGTGGCAAAACAGGAAAATGAAGATGTAAAAAATTACCGACATAGAAATCTACCTTACCGACTAATGGGGGAAACAGTTTTTTTGGAAAAATGAAAATACAGACGCAGAAATCTACCTTACCGACACAGAAAAAAGCTAGTGTTATTTTTGTTGCGGGTAATTTTCTCCAATGCTAAAACCCATAAGATTTAACCCAGATTTAGGGTAAAATTTGTTGCATGTTATTTTAACACTAATTCTGGTGTTAAAATAACACTTTGTTTTCCCTGTGGACTGATGGCAAGATAGATTCCCATGTAGGTAATTTTTTATACTTTCATTTTTTCAAAAACCTATTTTACCATTAGTCGGTAAGGTAGATTCCTATGTCGGTAATTTTTTATATTTTCATTTTCCTGCAAAATTTAACTTATGATTTTCATGGGTAATTCATCGAAATTTGTAATTTGAAAGAAAAGAATGTTATATTTTTCATTTTAATAGAATACATCTAACTCAGGGCACAAATTGGGGTTATCTTGTGAATGGTACATATACTGGGATAATGGGTGACATGGCAAAGGGAATTGTAGACATTGGAGCCACTCCATTTATGTTCATAAAAGATCGATTGGATATTTGTGAATTTACTGTTCAATCCTATGTTGCAAAGTAATATTAATAATTAATTAAAGTATACATATATAAATAAATTATAATTATTTTATATAATAATGTAAAATATATATATAATTTTACATAAATCATCATTATTTTTGAAATTAAATGAAGAAATAATTGTATTTTTAGAAGTGGTTTAATTTTTCGTCATCCAAAAACAAGTAGAATTAGAAATACATTCCTAAAACCATTTGAGGAAAAGGTATGGTGGATTATGATTTTAACAATGATTATAATTTGGTTTCTCATTATTATCACTGCAAAAATGGAGCAGAAATATAATGAAGATTATAAAATGAAAAAACCATTAATTGCCCAAGATAGTGCGCTCGATGTAATGGCATCAACTTGCCTACAGGGTGAACTTCATATTTAGAAATTTATCAAAATTTTACAATTTAAAAAAAAATTACAAAATAGAAATTAACATTTATTGCAGATTGCTTCGATATACCACGTTTTTATTCAGGTCGCATTGTCTTTATTACTCTATTTGTTTGGGGATTTTTAATGTCCCAATTTTATTCTGCGTCCATAGTGGGTTCTCTACTTTCTGCTCCTACTCGATTTATAAATACACTAGACGATCTTGCGAATAGTGATTTGGAAATTGGAGTCGAAGATATGGGTTATAATCGTAATTTTTTCGAGGTATGACTGTTTAATTATTTTCCGATTGATCTCTTAACAAAATAAAATTACAGACAACTACTGATCCACATGTGATTAATTTGTATAATAAAAAAATTGGACCCAATAAGAAAGGAAAAAAGGCCAATTATTTGAAAGCTCACGATGGTCTTCAAAGAGTTAAAAGAGGCGGATTTGCTTTTCAAATAGAATCAGCAACTGCATATAAAATAATAGACGTAATATTTCCTGATAATTTTATTTTGCTGCATTTTTTTTTTTTATAAATTTTAAATGATCAGTAAAATTTTCTATATTTAAAGGACACATTCACAGAAGAAGAAATTTGTGAATTAATGGAAATTCCATTATTTCCAGCAAGACATCTTGCAACTGCTACTGCAAAATATTCACCATTCAAAAAAATGATTACTTATGGGTGAATATCTTCACTTTTATTATTGATTAATAAATAAATTAACATATTTCTTTCTCAATATTATAGTTTGAGACATGTGGTTGAACATGGTAATGCAGAAAAATTAAAAAGCATTTGGCAATATAAAAAACCAACTTGTCCAGAAAGTTTCAGTTCAACACCAACACCAGTGATTTTGGCAGATTTTTTTCCATTAATATTTTTAATATCTAGTGGCTCAGCTCTTTCTGTGATTATTATGTTACTTGAGAAATTTATTGTAAATAATTTTACGTTCAACATATAAATTATTTACCAACAAAATAGAGTTTAAAAAAATAAACAATTTAATTAAAGTAAAAATTGTTTTTATAGTATTGCTTAAAAAATACTACACGGAAAAGAATACATAAAATAACTTTTACTATATTTACATTATAAAATCTAAACTGTCCGAAACTTCGGCTTTGGAAATAGAAAAAATTACTAAAAATTGTCATTAATTCCGAACAGTTTAGGATTTATTTTGAAAGTAGTAAAAATAATTTTTGTTTTCCATTACTTTTTTTTAAATTAAGATTTTAATGTTTATTCCTCTAACAATAAAACATAGTATAAAATATCCTTACGATGTTTTACTGACGAAGGTAAAGTTTGAAGTGACTAAATCAATATTAGTTCTAAGGGTATTCTATCGTTCTTTGAATATTCTTCGCGAGGAAATATAAATGACAATTCACATGAATTTAAAATTATTACAAACTGTAAAAGTTGTGTGTTTCTATATTACTTTTGAACTATGGTACAAGAATATTTAATTTTCTTGATAACACCATAAATAATAAATCTTTCATTCGTAGTAACACAACTTCTATATATTTATTTCATTCTAAAGAATTGGATACTTTTGATTCAGTTAAAATTCAACTATCGAGATATGGATTTCTTTGACAATCGTTGCTTTAGATTAAATAAAATTTTAACATCTATTATTGGGCAATGGCCTTATCAAACGAAAAAGCAAACAATTATTATATCATCAATTTATTTATTTATGAACACATCTCTCGTTATTGTCACGGTAGTGAAATCAAGTAAATTTCACGATTCAAGATTTTGCATTTTTTCGAAGGGGGAATTTAAAAAAAAAAAATTTAGATTTCCATACTAAAAAGATATAACAATTTTAAGAAAATTTTTAGTCATTTCATTTTTAGTTTCAGAGCTAAATAACTATTTATTTGTTTCACAAATCAAATTTATTACCAATAAAAAGTAAATCTATATTTAGCTCTGAGATAATATTTTTTCTTTCTCCGAATGTTTTATGAATTAATTTATCAGATAAATGGTCTAATAACATTGGAGTTAAATTTTGATGAAATTCTTAATAACGTGACTATTATTATGACCAACATAGGAATATTGGTAAAAATGATCAATTGCATAATTAACAAAAAAAAGGTGTGTATAGTTGAAATTAAATTTAAAAAAGGATTTTCAATAAATACCTGTTCTTTTTTTCGTTCTTTATTAAAAATAGATGAAATATCTTCTCAATTGTTTCAAATCAAATTGGATGGAGATGTCCGAGACAGAAATTGAGATTCTGCAACAATGCTCTGATAAAGGAAAATTTATAATTATAGCATATTTAAGTAATTTTTCTTTTCAAAAATTACATTCAAATTCATTTCAATTTTGTGGAAAATAAAATTTTATATAATTAAATAAATTAATTTACAGTTCTTGTATATTCAACTTTGTCTATTTTTCTAATGACTTCATACACGCCACAAATTCTTGACATTATTAAACCGTTAAATGAATCGCGTCCAAGAAGAAGGGTTTATAGATCAAATTATTTATTAGATGACAAAGAATACTTTTATACTCTTTTAATGCATGAGCAAATTACTGTTTTTCTAAATATGACAACATTAATTTGTGTGGATACAATGTATGTGAAGTATGTTGAACACATTTGTGGAATATTCGCCATTTTACGGTACAATTTTATTTTTAAAAAAAATGACGCTCCACGAGAAAAGGGACTTTACGTGAAAAAAATTTTTAGGTTACGTTTAATTATAGTTTTACCTTGATAAAAAGTTTCTAATTAGGTAAAATCAAAATTAGTTCTTTTTTTAAATGTAACCTAACAATTTTTATAACGTGGTCCCTTTTCTCGTGCAGCGTCACAATTTAATATGAATTTTTAATTAATTAATTAATTCAATATTAATAGAATCAATTAATTAATTAATAAATTAATAAAATTCACGTCTAGATATCGAATAGAAAGTATTATGAAAAATTCAGATTTTTCCAAAAATCGTACTTCCAAACAAGACGAACAAATTACAAAACAAGTTTCTCATTGCATTGCTTATCATCGAAATGCAATCAAGTAATTATTGGTGACAATTAAATAAAAAGAAAAATAACAATTGAGCTGTTCGGAAGAAGAACTCGCTCTTCGCTCGGAAGGGACAATTTCATAGCAGTTGTAGGCATAAAAATAGGAAAAAAAAAATTTCAAAATTTTTATTTTTAAAAAGTACTACCTTGTATAAAATATTAAAGCGCATCTTTTTTTTCTTTGAAATTTTTTTGTGGAGCGAATATTTTAGTTAATAATAACAAAAAACTGACAAATTTTAATTCTTAAATTTCATTCAATTTTAAAACATAAATTGTCATATCTTCGACAATTATTAATAAAATTACTTTAGAATTGATATCCTAACACATTGAAGTATAGAGAAAAGGATAACATAATAAGAATGTTCGAAATCATCATTTGTTTAATAATTTTTAATTGTTATTTAAGGGCATATTGATAATCATGTTTTCTTACCTTTGCCGACAAAAAGTCTGCGGGGAAGTTCCGAGTTTCAAGAACTTCCAGTGAGACATTTGTTTATCAATGTGTAATAAAGTTTTTTGTAAAGTTACAAAACGATTTATTAAATAGTTTAAAAAATATTGAAGTTTTAAAGAAACGCGTGCAGCCGCATATCACATCGCCACGTAGAGTAGAGTCTTATTACGCTCTCAGGGCGTGAAAACATCATCTTCCCATTACTTTTCAATAATATTATTTGTTATTTTCATAATATTGTTAATTAAATTGTTTAAAATTATGAACAATTAATAAAAAATTAATTAACAACATTATTAAAAATAATTAAAAATTTTTTTAAATATGTATATATTGTATCTAAATTTTTGTTAAATATATTATATTATTAAATAATTTTAAATTTTATTACAATTAAATAACAAATTTATTAGTAATAGTTATTAAAGATGAGGGATAAAGAGCGTAAAAACCTTGAGAAGGTGTACGCAGAAAATCAAAATAAAATAAAATAGTAATAGTAATAATTTTACGCTCTTTATCCCTCATCTTTAATAACTATTACTAATAAATTTGTTATTTAATTGTAATAAAATTTAAAATTATTTAATAATATAATATATTTAACAAAAATTTAGATACAATATATACATATTTAAAAAAATTTTTAATTATTTTTAATAATGTTGTTAATTAATTTTTTATTAATTGTTCATAATTTTAAACAATTTAATTAACAATATTATGAAAATAACAAATAATATTATTGAAAAGTAATGGGAAGATGATGTTTTCACGCCCTGAGAGCGTAATAAGACTCTACTCTACGTGGCGATGTGATATGCGGCTGCACGCGTTTCTTTAAAACTTCAATATTTTTTAAACTATTTAATAAATCGTTTTGTAACTTTACAAAAAACTTTATTACACATTGATAAACAAATGTCTCACTGGAAGTTCTTGAAACTCGGAACTTCCCCGCAGACTTTTTGTCGGCAAAGGTAAGAAAACATGATTATCAATATGCCCTTAAATAACAATTAAAAATTATTAAACAAATGATGATTTCGAACATTCTTATTATGTTATCCTTTTCTCTATACTTCAATGTGTTAGGATATCAATTCTAAAGTAATTTTATTAATAATTGTCGAAGATATGACAATTTATGTTTTAAAATTGAATGAAATTTAAGAATTAAAATTTGTCAGTTTTTTGTTATTATTAACTAAAATATTCGCTCCACAAAAAAATTTCAAAGAAAAAAAAGATGCGCTTTAATATTTTATACAAGGTAGTACTTTTTAAAAATAAAAATTTTGAAATTTTTTTTTTCCTATTTTTATGCCTACAACTGCTATGAAATTGTCCCTTCCGAGCGAAGAGCGAGTTCTTCTTCCGAACAGCTCAATTGTATTTATCTTTTTTATATTTTTTTTTAGATATGCTGAATGTGTCGAATCTATTTATGGGCTTGCATTATTTATGCAATTATCAGCAAGTTTGGCATTGATGAGCGCAACCGGATATGTGGTAATTAAACTAATTTTTTATGTGATCAAAAAAAAAAAAAAAAAAAAAAAATGAAAGTAAAAAAAAATCCGAAGTTTGATTACCCTTAATACAATTATGTTTTTCTAAAAATAGGCCGCGGTAAAATTAGGAACATTTAATGAATTTATGCAAATTATTCCCTTTTTTATGGGACAAGTGACACATTTGTTTTACAATTCCCTTCCAGGACAACAATTAATTAATTTCAGTGAAGCAATTGGGGATTCAGTGTAAGTTTAAATTTTTTGTAAATCTAAAAAAAAACATTAACAATTGATGAATAAAGACTCAATGAATATTAAATTATAAAAATCTAACAATATACAGAAGCAGTGCACAATGGTACAGAATGCCTATAAAAGCGCAAAAGCTTCTAATATTATTAATGATTCGAAGTTTTCGTCGACCTTGCACAATTCAAGCATTTGGTGGAATTTTTACACTTTCCGTGGAAACATTTAGTACGGTAAATTATTTTTTTTTTTTTATTATATTATTACGTGCTATCTAAAAATTGCAAATTAAAATTTGTTAAATTTTTTTAGGGCATGAAAACGTCATTCTCATATTTTACGGTTTTATTAACCATGAGTGAATAAACATACGACAAAAGATTTTTCTTTTTTTTTTCTGCAAATGTACAAAATATTAATGAAAATTCATTTATTGAAAATGATTAATTGATTAAATGTATAAATAATATATATACACAAAATTTATACGATTGTCATTAATTTAATAAAACAAATATTAATTAAATTTTTCTACTATATTAATATATCAATAATGTTTCTTTAAATTTGAAAAGAAAAAATTTTGTATTTACAATATAATGAAAATAAATTTAATCAAATATTTATTGAATTTAATAAATCTCTTTATTGGTGGAAAAAAAAATACATTACCGAGATTTATTTTCAAAAAAATAATTATAATAAATCAAAAGTTACTTTGAAAAAGGCAATTTGCAGTAAAATATAATTTTGGCAAACTTTTTCATTTTTGCCCAATATATTTTTTTAATTTAATAAAACTTTAAAAATAAGAAGGGGCATCTTTTTTTCTATCACAGATAATTCAACAATATTTATAATTGTCTACTTATAAATATACATCACAGTTCGCTGCGGATATTATTCAATTATAATTATAACAATGAACGTTTCATTGATTCAATTATAATCACAATACTAGTTTCCGCATTATTTTTCTAATTCTATTAAAAATAGAATCTATTGATGAAAAAAATAAATAAATAAATAATGAATCACAATCCGTTTCTTTAGTGTACAAATTATAAAAATAAATAATTATATAAATGTCGTTTTCAAATATGTACACATTGTAAAATATATACAAATAAGACTTTCGATTGTCTTTTATATTTAGTAACTATAAATTTAAGTTCTTTGTAAAATTTTCTTAATAGTTTTTTTTTTTTTTTTTTTAAATCACAATCACCGTTTTGTTGATTTTTCAGTGCACTTTACAAAAATTTATAATTTTTTTTTTCTATGATCTTAAATCTATTTTTCTTAAATGCTAGTATTTAACAAAAAAACATTTTTTTTTAGAAGACCCGAATGTTAAGACTATAAATTTAAAAAATATGGATTTTTTTTTCTTTAATACTAGTTATTAATTATTCTTCTCAACAAATTGTAAATTTTCAAATCATGAATTTTTCTCTCTCAACAATTTTTGGAAAAAATTTTAAATACTATAAAATTGTAAAATAATAATAAATTGGATATTATATCAAATTACAGTCTTTTAGTTATATAAAAATGTAAGAGCAAAAAAAAAATAATCTCGAAAATAACCCAGATATAACATCAGTTTACGATAAGCTAGCAGTGTAAGCTTGCCGCAAGTTAGATAACATTTTATTGCCATCGGAAAGCTTATGGCAAACTTGCACTTCAAGCTTGTTGCAAGCTGATGTGTTATCTAGGAATCTGTCTCTTATATTTTCATTCCAACAAATTACGTTCGACCTTGCAATCTATAATAATACTTGAAATTATCTCAAAAAATAAAATTAATTTTTTTTAAAGTCACACCTCCATAACAAGATAATTTTTTTTTTTTTTTGCAAAAAATATGAGACCTCATTATTACTTCACAAAAAATAATTGTCAGTCTTTACATTCTTGTGAAATTTACAATTTCATTTTTTTTTTTCAATTACAATTGATGTCGTTATTTACAATTGTTAATATTAATCACCTATTTTTATTATTATACAATTAAATAATACATTTCATTTTTTTTTTAATTGTAATTCAGTCTCATATTTTTTTTTTAGTTAAAATCATTATTTTTTTCTAATTACTGTACAATAACTACAATTGTATGATACCTCATTTAATATTGTATATAAGATTTAAAAAAAACACATACAACAATAAAAACAAGTCAATAAATAAATGAACAAACAAGCAAAAACAAAAAAAAAAGTGAGTGAATCTTATAAAAACAATAAAGAACACTCACATTAAAAATAAAAAAACACAGTCTCAGTGGTGTAAAATTATAAAAAGTCAAAAACGCATATTCAATCCACACGAAATATAGTCAGACGCTCTGGGTGTTTTTTTTTTCTTTTTCATTTTAAGCACAAATTTTTTTTTTTTTTTATATATAATTGACAATATAAAAAATGTGGTATCATTAAACTTGTCAATAAGAAATTCACACTAATAAAAATATTGGTGATCAAGAGTATAGCTGCATAGCATTTTTACACTTACCCTGTAAGTCGCTTTTACGCCCAGGACAAATAACAATTGTCGCTGCAGCATTAGAGCCAAGTAAAAATGAAATTCATTTTTAAATTAACAAAAAAAAAAGTTGCTAAAAATATTGATAAAATTAGCAAATAATAAATGATAAAAATCTCGGCTTAAAGAGTACAAGTAGTCCATCGCAGAATTTCGATCTGTTGAAATTCATTTGTTCTTTATGTACAAACAAATGATGTTCCTTCGCAAATTAGTAAATTAGATCATTAATTTTTTAAATAAAAAAAAAAAAAAAATTTTTCTATTCGTTGCTACTGTCTAATGTGAAGTGCAAATTATTTTCAGTCTTTATCATATTTTCACGTCATATTCCTTTTAATTTTAATTGTTATTAATAATTATAATTTATTAATAATAATAATTATTAATTATTTAATAATGCTACAAAGTCTCATTAAATAAATTTTATCAGAAATATAAAATGTTTTCGTAATTTTTTTTTTAAATATGCAAATCACATTAAAAAATACCAAACGAATGATTATTCTGAAATAAATAATTACATTAATTCATAATCGCGATTTTTTTGTAAAATAGTTTCGCTATTTTGCTTTTTCAAATTAGAAAAAAAAAGATCAACATCTAGTGATATATATATAAAAGCAAAATTTACGAATAACGCTACAATTTGTTTCATAATACAAAGATTTTTTTTTTTTTTTTTTTTTTAAATAAAAATCTATCAATTCAGCCAATTTTCTATTATTTTTAATTTAAAAATCACTTACAATTTTCTGAAGATCCATTCCACAAACTACAATGAGTATTTATTAACTGTGTGTTTATTATTTACATTTGATCGTTAAAGGGCACGTAGTTATTTTGTTTCGAATAGGAAAGCAATAAATAAATAAATAAAGCCCTTCCCACTCAAAGCGAAATAATTTTACCTGTCCTTCTTCGATCCGCACAATTATTTTATTTAATTTAAAAATTTATTATATTTGATTTGATTTTATAAAACTATTTTTTTCTGTATTTAAGAAAATAAGTTTAATTATTTGTCAATTTTGAACACATAATCAGATTTGTTTATAATTTTTTAAAAACCTTGTGAAATCTTGAGAAAAATATAAGTGATTTAATTTCTTTTTCAATTGAAAATTTTCATGTTAATATTATAAAAGATTAATTTACCTCATAATTATGTATAAAGCTAGTGATTTTTTGGTTTTTTTTTCAGTTAAACAAAATTTTTTGTTGAAAGTACAAAAAACAAAAGTTGACAAAATATTCTCGATTTAAATTATTTAATATAAAAAAAAAATAATTTAATTATTTATTTTTGATTATATTAACCTTATATAGTTGTATTTTATTAATATAACTAGCATAATTATATTTGCAACTATAAAAATTATTTTGTTTTTGGTACTTTCAAAATCACATTCAATTATTTAATACCTTCATTAATCACTAGCACCTGATTGTAATTAATCATCGAGCATCATGCATTACTCGATAATCGATTTTAATTAATTAATTAATCAATTAATTAATTGGAAATACGCTTTTTAAATTTGTTTAACGCTTCTCATCGTAGAGATTCTTAAAAATAAATAAATACAGTGACCAAGACATCCGGAAAAAAAAATAAAATTAATAACAGAAAATAAGAAATCGAAAGCGATTCGCTTTATCAATTTTTTTTTTTTGCGCTACCTTTAGTCAAATTGTCAATTTGTTATCAAGAATTTTTTTTTTAAATATTAATCATTTATGAAATAATTAAATTTCACAACAATTTGTCAATGGGACTATCGGTTGTTTAGAAATGACGAAATATGTTTTTCTTAATTCTAAAAACATGCACATAAATAAAATTAAAAATTTTTGATACAGATTTTTTTTTAAAATTTTGACAAAAGCAAAATACGTTTTTTTTCGATAAAATATTGTCCTCTGTAAAGATCAAATTATATTGTTTAAAAAACCACTTTGTAAAATGTTAAAAAGGACATTTTTTTAAGAATGAATTATGAGAAAAACAAATCGTGATAAATTCGTGAGATGATTGATTCTATGAACTATAAAGAAATAAGGAACTTTATATACTCGCGTTATTTGTTTCTTAAATCTATAGAAAGACAGTTTAACTGTAGTTTTCGCAGGTATTGCCAATATTTCAATTTAATTTACGTTTTTTCCATTGAAAATTTAAATGAAAAAAATTATAAGTTTATTATATATAATCTATTAGATAATTAAGAAAAATTATCCAATATCAACAATTTTGTGCAAATTGTCTTAACAATAATTCAGTCATTGCACAATATCTTTTAAAAATTGTCTACTGAATTAAATTGGCAATACCGTTAATAGTTACAGGTGTTTTATTTATAAAAAAAAAGAAAAAAAAAATTCTTTAAACCCGTTGAACACTTTTCTTCAATTTTATTAATGGAAATAATAAATAAAAGTAATTTTCAAAATCGAAAATATTAGTCAATAGAACATTTTTAAAAAGAAAATATTTTAAAACAGAAAATAAATATTTTTTCATTAAAAAAAAAAGTGTTCAACTGACTTAAACACAATTTTTTTCCTGTAAAAAAAATGATTAACAATGATATTTACAGGAAAAGCGTGGAACGAAAAGGGAATTTCGTTCCGTGCCAAATAGTCGAAGAACAATGTTTGCTTTATGGAAAAGCAAAAAAATAACATTACAGGATTTTGTGTGTACAGATGAATAAAACTGAAGACACGTTTGGCATATATATTTTTTTTTCAAGCGATTATATGTATTATATTAAGATACAATCTGCAACGTCGTGAAGATAGATGATTGTTGCATTTTTGAGAGGAGTTTTTCTTCATTCTTCTTAAAATCTTGATACTTGGGGAAAATCTTCGTCACAGGCTCCACACTCTCGATTAAAAACTACTATATATATTTTTTTTTCTCAATTACGGATAAGATTTCTCTACTTTTTTTTGAAAGGCAATTTGCTTTCAATCTAAAAAAAAAATCCCTTAACTACAATACCATTACATAATAAGTATGTAAAATATGTTAACGTAAAATGCACGTATATATATATATAATTGTGTGCCTGTGTGTATGCGTCACTTAACAGGAAAAAAAAACACTGAATCATTGAGAGAAGAAAAAAATTAATTAAGATCATAGTTAATTTTTAGTTCTGTTGTTTTGTTTTTTTGCTTAGACACTGTCCCGTGAAAAGCAATAAAGAATAATTTTAAAAAAATCTATGTGACTGGGAAAAATCTTGTCAAAATTAGAATCTGTATATAACCCCCCCATTTGAAGATCAAAATTGTTTTGCAACAAAGTTGCATTCTACACATATTGATTTCATTAAATTTGTCGATTTTTTTTTGTTTTTTTGTTTTTGTTCAGTGTCGAGACCGATGTGATGAATCTGCTCTCTCGTCACGGCGATCGCGTTCTCGTTCTCTTTCCCGTTCAGGTTCACGTTCACGTTCTCTTTCCGCTGGTCTTCGAGTTGATTCTCTTTCACGTTCTCTTTCACGATCTCGTTCTCTGTATCTATCGTCGTAATACCTAAATAAAGTATATTTATTTTTTTTTTTTATAATGTTAGAAATTCCTTAATTACAAAAAAAATTAACAATGAAGACCATTAAAATAATAGAAATTATTTTTGCTTCTCATTTTTAAAATTAGATGGAATATTTTTTTCGGAATTTTTAACATTTAATTTTAAAAAAATAAACTTTTCATTTGAAAAGAAAAATAATTACCTAGATGTCTTAGAAGATGAGACGGATGGCGTCTCTGTTGGTTCTTCCTTTACTCTCGGCCTTGTAGTTGCATGTGTTGTACTATTGAAAAATTATTTTTTTTTTATGGTTATTGAAAACAATATTCTCGACAAAATTAAATTAAAATTCAAGTATATTGTAAATTTATAAAGTAAATTACAAGTAAAAAATTTTAATTCAAATTTGTAGAAAATAATTTATAATTGAAACTATTTTAAATATTAGTTGATTAAAAATTTTTGAAAGAAAATTTTGAGCGTTTAATTTAATTACAAAAAAATAGATTTTTAAAAAATATTAATAATAATTAGAATTATTTTGTAAACTGTAAATAATTAAATTTTATCAAACTTACGCATCCTCTCTGCTTCTCTCTCTATATTCCCGTTCACGATCACGTTCACGATCACGTTCTCTGCTACGTGATCTCTCTCTGGGATAAGTTTCATTATAATAACGCTCCCTGTCACGATCTCTATCGCGTTCACGATCACGATCTCTTTCACGATCTCGATCTCGTTCACGACTTCGTTCCCGATATTCTCGATCGCGACTTCTTGTTCGTTCACGACGTCTTCTATGACTTCTTTCACGTTCACGGGATCTTGACCGTTCTATTAAAAAAAAGACAAACGATTAAATTATTAGAAAAATTAGAAATAAAAAAAAAATGTATTATTTTTAAAATGTTTTATAAGTCAAGGTTTTGTCATCAAGTTGAAAGTGATTTACATATTTTCGAGGTAAAAAAAATAAATTCAAGGAGATATCAATATTTTTCTCTATGGCAACTCTGAATAATAATAGTAGAATAAAAATTATGTAATCAATGAAATTAAATTCTCTATTGTGGAAATTAATGAGAAAATAAAAATAAATAATTATTCTAATAAATGAATTCTCTAATCTAAATAATTGAAAAATAAAATTACCTCTTCTGGATGATCCGTAGCCCTTTGTTTCCAATCCTCTTAATGTATCTTGAAGAGAACTGATGAGAATTTTACATCGATCATCAGCAGCGACTTTAGATTGTTTTATCAACGATATGGCAGTGACTAATGTTTCAATCGCACTTGCATATTCTCCTGCAGCAGCATCCGAAACAGCCCTGGCTATTGCCGACGATGAAACTGTTCGATTACGTCCCATAATCTCTTCAAATTCTTGTTCGCTGAGAGGTGGAGCAACATCAGCTCGATGATCAGGAGCCGGCGCACCATATGCTGGCTAAAATACAATAATTGTACTTTATTAATAATCATTTTTCTTCTGAATTTTTTTTTATCAATTTTCTTTTTCTTCAAATGTTTATCTAATTATTCGAATTTATGATTATTTAAATTAAAAATATTGAGATCAAAACTTTTAGGGAAAGAACCAATATATTTTTTAAAACGCTTTTATCAAAATAAATTATTTATAAATATAAATTATTAAAAAGAACTTCCTCTATAAGGAAGAAAAATTACTAATTAAAAAAAAAAATCTACAAATTTGAATTATAAATTTTCATTATGTTTGTAATTGTAAATTTCATGTAAAAATCAATATTTTTTCAATTTTACTTTTCAAAATTAAAAATTATACGTGTTATAAAAATAAACGATTTATTTAATAATCACAAAAATTAAATTAATTTTTTTTTTTTTACAAAGAACTTATGAACACCGAACATATCGATACTTTGACAATTTTTTTTTTTTAATTTCAATTTTAAAACAACAAAAATTTATTTCCTTTCTTCTTCAGTTAGCACGTATTTCTCTTCTTGTTTGAATTTTTAAATATTTCTTCATGCAATTTAACTGAAAAATATATTTAATATCTTAATATGATGAAGAAAAAGAAATTCATCGTAAGATAAAAATGAAAAAAAAAACTTTTTTGCTTACTAAATGGATAATAAATTAAAATTAAATTAATTGAAAAGTGGAGAAAATACATACGACCCGTGAAGAAAAAAGAAAATGAGTTCTCATAATTAATTGAAAATATTTTACCTGAGCTGCAGGTGGACCATAATTGTGAGGAGGTCCATGCGGTGGTCCATGAGGTTGAGGATGTGGAGGACCATGAGGTGGACCGTGTGAGGGTCCGTGAGGAGGCCCATGAATTGGTCCAGGTGGACCTTGTTGATGTGGAGGTCCTTGTTGGAAAAATGCAGGATTAACATGAGGAGCTGGTCCACCAGGTGGTCCTTGTGGTGGTCCTTGCGGTGGTAATCCATGACCAGGTGGAATTCCTCCAGGTCCTGGCATCATTCCTGGTAATTAAAAAGACAAATTTTAATTAAAGTATTTAAAAAAAAAATTATAATTAATAATAATATTTAATTTATTAAGTAGGAAGAAGAAAACTATTTTTTTTCAATTTTAAACGGATCACCTAAAATTTACAAAAAGTAATTAAATGAAAATCCACTATTTAATATTGAAAATTAGATTTGTTAATTTCAGGTGACAGTTAGTAAAAATCTGACCCAATTTACATTTTTCTAAACTCAATTAATTCAGATAAAAATTAATTAATTTTGAGTTTAATTAAATTGTGATTAATTTTAGATAGTTATTTTTTAGGTGCAATTTCTTTTTCCTTCAATATAACGCATGCAAATAGTGATTTCTTGAGGGAGGGGAAAAAAATAAATAAAAATCTGTACTATTAGTGTGATGCTCACCACCCATAGAACCTGGTGGAGGTCCTCTTTGTGGTGGACCTTGCATATGTTGATGTTGAGGGAAACCAGGTGGTCCCTGAGCTCCAGGATGCATTCCTGTATAAATCAATTCAATTTTTTACTAAACTTTTATTTTTCCGTCAACAAGATTTTACTCTCAAAATAGAATTTTTCAAACAATTAAATTTACAGAAATGTTAATGAAAAAAATCAATTTGTTTAAATTAAATTAAACCCAAAATTAATCAAAATAATTATTCAAGTTTAAAAATTTTTTTTAAATAAATGTCCTTAGATAGTAAAATCATTGATCATTAATCGATATTCAAGGAAATTTTTGAAAAATTTATATTTGAAATATTTATCAATATTTAATAAATAAAAATAGTTGCGGATAAATTGCCTTAATAAATATTAATAAAATTCCATTGCTTTTTGAAAAATATTTTTAAAAAAACACTTTGATTAAATTAACTAACCTGGTGGACGATTCCATTCAGGTCCTCGAGGTGGAGCTCCTCTCGGGTCACCTGGAGGAGGTCCTGGATGTCCATGTGGTACACGAGGAGGTCCTTGACCTGGAGGTCCTGGTGGGCCTCCATGGAATGGCTATAAATAAATTAAACACACTTTATATGTAATTCAATATATTCGAAAATTCAATAATTTTCAAAAATCGTCGGAAATTTAATTGTTTCTAAAAATATTAAGTTACTATTTAAAAATATAAGTATTTATTAATTTTTATCTAAAATTCATCTCCAAATCAATAATTTTAATAATTTTTCAAAAACTTAATTATTTAAAAAAATGTTTAAACAAAAATTTTCTAAAATTTGTATTAAAAAAATTCAGGATTATGAATTTACAATAAAAATCAATTTATAATCGCTGGCAATTAAATCTTTTCAAAAAATATAAATATAGTATAAATATATAAAATATAATAAATTCAATCATTTTGATAAAAATTCCAAAATTTTGAACGTATTTGTGTGCTAATACTATTGGTTTTTATATTTTTAAATATTAAATATTAATCGTGCTAGTAATAACAAAAGGTTTAAAACATTTTTTTAAATTCCCTGACTTGTGGCAACGCTAATTAAAAAAAAAAAAAAAAAACAATTATTAGTGAAAAAATTGACTTACCATTCCTGGTGGTGGACGTTGACCATGACCGGGCATTCCTTGTTGCGGTGGTACTCCTGGTCCATTAGGTCCACGAGGAGGTCCATTTGGTCTTGGACCATATCTAGGACCCTGCTGATAACCAGGCGGAGGTGGTCCTTGATTAAGATGACCAGGAATAGGATCATTGACATTGATGTTAATTGTGCATGGTCCCATTGATGGACCATGCATTCTTGGTGGACCCTGTGGTCCCTGAGGACCTGGTGGTCCCATTCCTGGCGGTGGCATTCTTTGGCCTTGTCTTGGACCACCTGGAGGTGGTGGACCCATCATTACACCTCTTGATCCATGATTTTGTTGCGGATGTTGCTGATGTTGTGGATGCTGTTGATGCGGTGGCATTTGTGGTGGATGTTGACTATGTGAACGTTGATTTTGATTTTGTTGAGGTGCAGGCGCTGGTCTTGTTTTACACTGCGATTCAAACTGTAAAATAGAAGAAAAAAAAAACATTAGAAAGAATATTTTTAAAATAAAATAAAAATTTATCAATAGAACAAAAAATTTACCTGGATTAATGCTTGTTTAGTGGGATACGTTACAACTGGACTTTGTCCATGTAATTCTTTCTTTGGCAATCGATCCATACATAATCTTACGCTTTGCTCAGAGCCCAAAGAAACAACACAAAAGCCTTTAGATTGTCCATTAGCTCTGTTTTCAAAGAATTTTACTTCAATGAAATCAGTGACACCAACGCCTTGTATTGAATCTGAGATATCTTGATCACTGGTCCACTTTGAAGGAGAAACAATTCATTTAGTTTTTTTTAATAATAATTGTTTGAATTTTTTTTTTTTTTTTTTTGTTACATACCCAGGTCAAATTTCCGACATATAATTGATGACGCCTTCCACCACCACCGGATTGAACATTGTTTCCATGGTGATAAGCGGAATTACCATTAGCTTCCTCGCCCGGTGAGGCGTTATCTCTATCTCTCTCACTGTTCGGTACGCCGCCATTTCCACCTGGAGGAGCTGCTATCACATCGTCGTATAAATCGACACCATCTCCAGCAAACTCATCCTAAATTGTAAAATTACCATTTTCTTTTATCTAAACTTCAAAAATATTTCCTTTCTTTAAACACTTCATTATAATAAAAAAACAAATATAAAATTTTCAAATAACACATGCAAAATAGAATATTTTTAGTGATATAAGCGACAAAATATCTTTAAATGCCAGGGTCGATTATACGGTGTGATCCTTAAAAAAAATTGAAAAACAAGCGAATGGAAAATTAGTCAGTATTTTTTTTTTAATTAAAAGAAAACAATAAAGGAAGCAAGGGCTACTTTCCGAAGGTTTCTCACCAGTAACTCCATTTTTACCCGCGAGGAAGATTCTACAAAAACTTGTGAAAATAGTAGACCAATTTCCAAGAATTCAGTTTTTTTGTGTCTTGCAAAAAAATCTTATTAAAATTATATATGTAGGATAAATGAAATTGTTTATTGGAGATATCGAAATTAAATTGTACAGCTTCAAAATTCAACAAGCACAGTCACCGAACACTCCATTTTTTTTTTGTAATCGTTCACCAAAAAAAAAAAAAATCTAAGCCACTCCCGACATAGTAAACTTAAATATATCAATAATCGCGAATATAAAAAACATTTTCTTGAATTACCTGTGCAAAATCTTGCTCAAGATCGTCGGCATACAAATCAATGTCACCATCAGCCATTTTATGTTATACACCGACGCTCATTGATGACGCTGGAATACTGTTGAAAGTAGTTAAAAACTTGTAAAGAGAGCAGCACTGTTCTTCTGAAAAATTTCCAAAATTCAATACAAATGAGATAAAACCAGTTTCTATTTTCCATAAAATATAATATAAATAACACTTTAATTTAAAATACTTTGTACCATAGATTCTATGTTTATCAAGCAAAGATATGATAGTATATATTTATTAAACCAATCAATAACTCTTGGGAAACCTAACCTAACATGGTCACGTGTACAATCACGTGATATCACGTGACACGTATATAAGAGAATTTAAAATTTAAATATTTAATCTAGTAAATTGTAAATAATACTTTCATAAATTGGATTTAAAAAAAATTATAATTACCAGGGTTCAACAAATTCGTATTATTTATTTATTAACGCGATTGAAATAAACAAACTGCACTTATACAGGTTATATAAGGAACTGCAGGCAATCCGCTATACACTGAAGTAGAAAGTGAAAACTGATTTCAGGAGTTTTTAGTTACAATAATGAATAACAAATAAAACTAAATAATATAAATAAAATACTAGGGTAAATAAAAAAAAGTGTATTAAAAATTTGTTTAATTTAAAGTTTGTATGGAAAATAAAAAAAAAACCAATTAATAGCCAATGGCAATGATTATAATTTGATAGCAAAAAACAAATATTACTTTGTAATGAATACTTTTTTTTTACTTGCTTTGTTAATTATTATTTACGTTAAATTTTGCATTAATTATAACAAAAGTATTTAGTATGACAAAATTTTAACGCTACATGATATGATTAATTATTGCAATTTTTTTAAATTGTGTAATACTTTTCTTTTTAAATAATGACAGTGCATGTTGTAATATAATTGAAAAATATTGGAAAAAAACTCTATTAGATAACAAAACTGATATTCAGATAAATAAAATACAAAATTAAAAAAAAACAATTCTTTTAATTTAAACTATTATTAATTATATTTTAAAACATTAATAAATTAAAAATTAATTAATAATTACAATATTAAATTTAATATTCATATAAATATTAAATTAAACATATTGGAATAAAATAAAAAATTAAAATTCTCATAAAATTGAAAAACGAATATCGTAACAGTGAACCAGTTGAAAAAAAAGAAAATCAGAAATGTGGATGACCTTCCTTAAATGTATTTTATTTATTCTCTTTTTATTTGTCGAAGCGCATAATATAATCTTTTTAATGTATAAAAAAATAAAATAAACTATAATTTTTGTTGATCGGAATTTTAGTTGAATTTTTGTATCTCAAAAAATAGAGAAACAAAAGAAAAATCAAGTTTAAAAACAAGGAAAATATTATTATTTCGTCATCAAGTTTTCTTTTTCTTTTTTTTTATGGTACACACATATATACAAAATTGTATATATATAATATTCCTAAATTAGTATCTACGAGGTTTTAAATTTTATTTTATGTTTTTTCAAACAATCTTTTTATTATTTGTTAAATTATAACGATGATCCTGTCCTTCGACTGATGTGAGAATTTTATGCTAATGAAGGTCCTTCTGTTATATAAATAGCATTTTATTGCATACGAAGATCAGTTTTTAACAAATATCTCAATCAAACAAAATATCCCATCAATATATATATTTATAATGCATCGAATTTTTGTATTTATATTTGCAATTTCATTTGTAATTGTTTCTATTTTATCGGAAAAAATTGAACTCTACACTGATAAATATGATCATATAAATGTTGATGAAATATTAGCAAATGATCGAATTCGAAATCAATATTATAGATGCTTCCTTGGTACTGCACCTTGTTTTACACCTGATGCTAAATTTTTGAAAGGTAACACATTATAAAATTCATTTATTACACTACATTTCTAAAAATAAAATTCTATACTAAAAAATAAATTTTTTTTTATTAAAAAAAATATATTGATAAATTTTATTTTAAATAATTAATTAAAATAATTGAAGTTGTAATTGACAATTATTTTGCTTCTATAGAAAAATTTCCAGAAGCACTTGTGACAAAATGCAGAAAATGTACTGAAGCTCAAAAAATTGGATTTGAAAAACTTGTTTTATATTACACGGAAAAAGAACCGGAAGCTTGGAATATTGTATTAAGAAAAGCTGTTGATGACTACAGAAGTTCAAAAAAGTAATTTTTTTAAAATGACAAAAAAATTTTATTTTTAATAAAAACATCTTCTTTTAATAAATGATTTAATTATTATATAATTTATAGATTGTATATTAATATAAAAAAAAATAATAATATATATATAATAAAAACACATAATTGATGAAAAAAGTCCTTTTTTTTTGTTTTGTTTGAGAAATAATTTTTTAGATTTTTATTCATGGAATTAGATTATGATTAATTTGCTTGTCATCAAACAAAAAGTGAAAAGCTAATTATACTATTGTTCATTAATCGACTCTTCATTTTTCAAAGAAGTTTATTTCAATGAAACGATTGGTTTCGTAATATTTTATTATATAATTAAATGTAAGATGATTTTTAATTATTTTTTATTTCTTCTCTTTTTCCTTTTATGCGCGTATTTTTCCAATTTTTATTATAATTTAATTTAAAAATTTATTTCTTTTGTTTTTCTTTTTAGAAATATTTTTTTTCATTATAAAAAAAAATTTTATAGAAAAACATTTTTATGGAGAGAAATGAAAAATGTATAAATCTATAAATTAAAAAATTTCTGTTTAAAATTTAATGAATTTGTATTTCCTCACTTTTTATATTAAAAATTCATTTTAAAAAGAAAATAATTTCATATAGTGAAGAAGGAAATGACCTTAACATTTTTTCACATTCTCCATTATCTGAATATCAAAACTCGCTAAAAGAATTTAAAATCAGCCTTCAACTATATCTCATTCAATGACAAATTGAATGAATGGAGATTAAAAATTGTGATGTCATAGTGTATCTAGTAACTACTTTTACACACATGAAGGACCACCAAAAAATATAAATACGACGACATAAAAAATAATTTCCACAATATTGAGTTATCGTCTCTACTAGAAGTTAAATGAAAAAATTGATCTCAAAAAAAAAAAATTTTTTTTAAATAAAAAAAATGGCTCGATTTTTTATTTTTGCCATATTGTCAATTTGCATAACAATTAATTATGTTATAGCTTTAGATTTATATACTGATAAATATGATAACATTAATATTGAGGATATTCTCAACAATCCCAGAATACGAAAACAATATTCAATGTGTTATTTAGGCACTGGATCTTGTTTAACAGCGGATTCTAAATTTTTCAAAGGTAATATTTCTATTATTATTTTAATAATAATAATTACGAGTTTTTTAATTAATATATTTTTTAAATTAAAAATTCGCTTAAAAATAATTATTTTTCTCTTTTCGTTATTTGCATTTTTTTTTGTTCAATAAGATTTGTATTTATATTTAAATAATAAATTGTTAGATTTAAAAAAAAATTATTTTTAACTGATTAGAAACTAAGAGAATTACCAAAAAAAGAAGAAACTATTATTTATTGACTGCAAAGATTTCCTTCTCCCATAAGTAAAAGAAAAAAAAAAGTATTTGCTTCTTACGAAATATTGGCCATGAAATTAACAAATTTAAACCAGTTTCAATATATACAATGTCAAGACATCGGTTGTCGACCTTTCAAGCGAGAAAAAAATTTTTTTAAGGCGAAAATTTACAAACCGACAAAACTATCAATCTTACTGTTTTTTTTTCTTCTTAAATTAACAATTTTTCAATGCAATAACCTTGTCATTGATCTTTCAAAAAAATATCACTCAGGTATTAATTATATTATAAAATCAATAATTGATAATATTTATAATTTATTAATTTTATTTAATAAATGTTAATGAAAAATAATTAATAATTTATTATAATGTATTTTTTTTAGAAATCTTCTCAGATGCAATAGCCACAAGATGTAAAAGATGTACAGAAAAACAAAAGGAAATTTTTGAAAAAATTGTCGTTTTTTATATGAAGGAAGAGCCAGTTGCATGGAGAATGATATTGGAAAAAATACTTAAAGGACATAATTAATTGTAGATACAAATTACTTTATAAATTATATATAATTGTTAATTTTAACACTAATTTGGAAAATCTTTTGGTTTTTTAAATTTGTATAAAATAATTTTAACGACAATTTTTTATAGATAGACTTTTTTTCAATAGCGCGAATTATTAGACAATAATTAGGCAATTTATTTAATTTATATGACCACAAAAATTATATTTAAATAGAGATTCAAAGAAATTGATAACTTTTTAGCATAAGATAAAACTGTAATTAATTATCAACTCTTGAATTATTCATGAATTAATTCAATGACACAAGATGTACAAAAAAAATATATATATTCAAACTATTCCCGCTAATTGCGAAAATATAATTTATATATTTATATTATAGTAATTGTTTTAAATAATGTATATAAAAAATTTCACTCATTCTGCATTTTTTGTTTGCAAATTTGAAACTTATGCAACTAAATAAAGATTTTGTTGCTTACTTTCATAATTAAAATGTTTCTTTAAATCATTTATTTACCAATATTAAATTATTTCATTAGCACATGGTTGTAAATGAAAAACTTAATATTCTTTATAAAGAAAAATCAACTTTTTGTTTTAAAAGTTTAGAGTATACAAAAAATGATTGAATTAATTTTCAAGTTTCATAAAATAAACTAGAAATAATAGCAGTATTAAACTATTTTATACGAAAATACACAAAAAAAAATAAGATTAAATTGTTACATTCATGATTTAAATTGTATATTTTTCAATAAATTTTCATTGCAAAAAATATTCATGGAAACTCGTGACACACGCGAACTTATTAACTAAGAAGAAGATGAGAAATGTTTACCAACTAATATAAAATTTAATTATTTTTCATATTTTAATAATAAAAATCATATTTACTAATAAATATTAAAATAATTTGTTTTTTTTTTAATGCAAATTTTTAAATTTTCATTAATATATTTTTTGTTTTCTTGAAAATTACTTTATTATATTATAAATAAAAGAAATTCTTTTACTTTTTGAGAGGAAGAACACTTTTTTTGCACTTCTGAAGAACAAGTTGACCTCTTCGGCAAACCACGTGAATGACAATAATTTATATCTGACGTCATTCAGGATTCTTGAAAAGGGGGATTTGTATAAATGCAGAGAAGCATCTACCTTCTTTTGCAATCATCCTTCGTCAATTCAGCAATTAATTATAAATACTTTAAATTATTATTTAATAAATTATTTTTATCAGTATTGTTATTATTTTATAACAAATAACAATACAGAAAAAAGCTCAAAATGGCTCATGTGTCAATTTTTTTTGGTTTACTATTAACTTCGGCTGTTATTCTTTTAACAAGAAGTGAAGAAATAAAACATTATACGGATAAATACGATCATGTTAATTACGATGAAATTTTAAGCAATGATCGACTTCGAAATCAGTATTACAATTGCGCTATGGGAACTTCTCGTTGTTTAAGTGATGATGCTATGTTTTTTAGAGGTAAGATCAATTTTTCTATACAAAATAATAATTTTTTCCTTTCTTTAATTTTTATCGATATTTTTTTAAATATCTGTATAAATATATTAATTAATTATATTATTAATAAAATTTTATTTTAACTTACAATTAGTTTATTTATTAATTATTTATCATTTACATATTAAATGTTTTAAAATAGTTAATAAATAAAAATTTTATAACTAAAATAAAATTATTCTAAATAAAAATTATGGACAGAACATTTTTTTAATTAATATATTTTATAATTATATTATTTATTTATTTATTATAATTTATTTAAATTTTTATTATAGTTCTATTTATGTGCAGTGAGAAAAAAGTTAATTTATTTATTTATGAATAGAAAATATATTTTTAAATAAATAATAAAATGATTTATTTTAATAGATAAATTTCCGGAAGCATTGGTAACTAAATGCAAGTATTGCACTGAGCCACAGAAAATAGGTTTCGATAAAATTGTCACTTATTATACGGAGAAAGAACCGGAAAAATGGAAAGCCGTTCTTGAGAAGTCAATCAAAGATATTCAAAATAAGCCAAAGCAATAATTTATAATGTAGTTCATCAATTTTAATTGTATGTAATTTATCAACAAAACTTTATGAAAACAATTTCCATTTGTAATTTAATTACACATTGCATCATGTATATTTAAAATATAGCCGAATTTAAAAAAGAAAAGTGTTTTTTATTTTCTCAACATGGAAATTCTTTACTATACTTTTATTTCATTCGTCTTTATTATAAAATTTAATTATTTTTTATATTATTATTTTATACATTTAAATTATTTGCCTTGTTAATTATATTAATTATTTGTAATTTACATTAAAAATTACAATATTAAAAATTAAAATTTAAATTTATAAATTATTTCTTTCTCACCATTATTGTTTCTATCTTCATTGTCATTGAAATCGAATGCAGAATATTCGAAATTTTTTTGAAGATTCTTGAATGATGAATTTGAGAAAAATTAATTTTTATCCTTATTATTTTGATTGGACAAGTGCTTCAAAAATTTCTCAACATTATCACCAGAAAGATTGTATTTTTTTAAAATTTTATTCCAATTCTTCGAATCATTTTCTTGTAAATAATTAATAAATTTCACTGCATACATTTTTATTTCAATTGGACAATTTTCACAATTTGTTTTTATTACTTCAGGTAACAAATCTGTATAAAATCACAACAAATCATTTTAAAATAAAATAACAACAACTTATTTGAATTACAAAACAAAAATTCAAATTCATTATTTATTCATTTTGAAAATTTAAAATAATTTATTTCTAAGACAGTCAATGTTAATTTGAAAAATAATATAATATTAAAATTTATAAATATTATATAAGTGTATTTATTTTTATTAAATATATTAATATTTTCATTTACTCACTTTTAATGTTTTGCGTAATTACATTACATTTCCCTTCATCCAAAAGGCAAGATATTAACTCACTTCGACGATCAGAATCAATTAAAATTTTATTAATATCAATTTGTCTAGGTAGTGGATTAATGTACATTTGTGCAAAAATTGTGCACAATCCAATGAAACATGTTAATAAAATGAGTGTAGTCTTCATTTTTTCTATTAAAAAGGGGAAAAAAACAAAAATTAATATATTGTCATAATTATAAATAATTAAAATTTTATATATCTACCTGTGTTGCGAGGAATAAATTTTAACTGAATTTTTTTTATTTCTTGCAATCAATATATAGATTTCTCTCAACACGAAAGATTGTTTTTTTTTTTATAAACATACAAATTATCAATTTTCTGTATTAAACAAATTTTTAAAAAAGCGATATAAGAAAATATTTTCTTTATAAATTAGTAATTATCAGTTGTGTGACTTTTTAATAATTTGAATTGATAATTAAAGAAATTTTTACGTGCTTTCGATTAAAAATTAATTTTTTTCATTGTAAAAGTATATATAAATTAAATATCTGTAAATTTTACAATAACACGTGTAAAAATTTTCTTTTTTCCCTGAAATTAATGTCATTCATTTGTTGGAATTCATAAAACTATCAATTTAATATCAAAGTTATTCATCACTTTTTTTTTATAATTATGGAAATTAAAAACTTCCATCAAATATTATATACTTTTTATTGACCTGATTTCTTTTTCATATTATGACCTGCAATGAAGGCTAAATAGAGCAAAAATTGAAAGGAAGAGGATCTAAAAATAAGTTGATTGCAAGAATTTTTTTTTAACAGAAAATATAAGTGATACTTGCATATTATTTTCTGTACAATAATTTTTATTATTCTACAGAAATTTGTATATATATATAATATATATTTTTATATATAAAATATACATAAATTTGTGCCACTACTTTGTAATATATCTTTTTTTTTTAGTTTTCATTTACTCTATAAAAAACAAAAAACAAAAAAAAAACATTTAAAATATATTCATTAATCACAGATATTCATATTTATGAATTAAAAAATTTACAAAACTAAAAAATATTGCTTTTTAAAAAATTACTTTATAAGTGTTATAAAAAGCTACCCTCGTAAAAATTTGCAAGGCACATTAATATTTTGTAATATATCGGAAAAATTATGAGACACACTAAAATTACAAATCCTCGATATTAATTATCTCGATATAATAACAAATCCCTCGGTGAGGAAATAATTTCCCAAAAAAAATTCCTTTAAAAAAAAAAAAATGTTCCACATTTGATATTCAAAAAAATGCACGTTTTTTTATCGATTCTCTTCCTTATTGACTCTCAACCTCTTGGCCATATTCCTGTAAAAATATTATACTTTCTTTTAATAAAATTGATCTTAAAAATTGTCAAATTTATTATAAATTTTTTAAATAAATGATTTTATCATTTATCTTTATTATTCCATTCCACTTTGTGTTTTATTTTAATAAAAGTTACATTACTTTTTGTACTTTTGAAAAAAAACTAACTATAAAATAGTTTGAATTAATAAAAAATGTTTTAATTTTTATACACAAGTGAAGGGAATTTCAGTGAAAGCGTGTGCAAATTAAATAAACTTTATTGATCTAAATTTTACAAAAAGAACTTAATTGTGCATTAATTAATTTGTATAAAAAATATTATACAAACATTAAAATAGTTGTAAAGATTTTGTGCATTGAGATGAAAAAGAAAATTATTTTTTCTTTTTCTATAATTTTTTTTTATCATTTTTAGACTTCTAAATGATAAATTTTTATAAAATCTTTAATTTCTTTTTTTCTCTAATAATCAATTTTTCTTATTATATAATTTTAATACAAAGTAATAAAGAAAAATAAAAAAAGCGTATGAAAAAAGTTCAACTAAATAAAATGTGAATTGTAAAATTTTATGAATTGTGCGTTTCTTTATGAGGAAAAAAAAAAAGAGAAAACTCTAAATACACGGCGACATGATTTTTTTTACGCATGTGATGCCTTTTGTACCTTGACGATAGCTTTGACAGCAAATGTGACTGCAACACCAAGACCAAACATAACAAGATGTGGTAAATATTTAATTCCAGGAATATCTGGTCTCTTTCCCATTAAAAGACGTAAAGCAGATAATTTCTTATCCGTATAAGGTGGATATCGAACACTAAAACGAAAAAAAAAATCATTTTTTGTTCACAAAAAATGTATTAAAAAAAATAGAATAAATTTTATCTTACGCTGCCAAAGATTCTCCAAGTTTATTAAAACTTTTCACGAGACATCCTTTTTTATGTACAAATGTATCAAATGTCAATTGTCCATGATAAGCGCCCATTCCAGAATTTCCAACCCCTCCAAATGGAATCGAGTCAACTACACGTGAAATATTTAAAAAATTCGATATAATAAAATTAAAACAAAATTCAATTTTCAAATTATATTCAACAATTTTGTCGAAAAGTTGTTTATGATTTCAAAATTTTTCTTCTAAAACAACTACCAAATAAGCAATATTTACAAGCAAAAATTAATTAATTACAATTAAGAAAGAAAGCGTATTAAAGTTACAATAATAATTATACTAATCATCAGGGTATATTTATTTGTAATTTAATAAAATTACTACTTAAAAATTATTTGTATTGAAAATTCGTATTAGAAAGAAAAATAATTATTAAAATAAATAAAAATAAATAAATATATAAATAAATAAAAAAATAAATAATTGAAAATAAGAAAAATGTTTACGAAACAATTTTAAAAAAAGGTTTGTAATATACCTGCCATATGTAGAACAGTTTCATTAACACATAAATTTCCAGATGATGTATTTTGAGCAAACAATTTAGCGTCGTCCATATTTTTGCTAAATACATAGAGTACTAAAGGCTTCTCCCTGCACCATTGAAAATAAATAAATCGAAAATCATGCATTAATTCATGCATTAATTTAACAGGAAGGTAATATGGATTAAAAAAAAGATCATAAATGCAAACAGAAAAGAGTCCCGTAGTCCTAAAATTGAGAGAAAGAAAGAGAATCCAGACAGCAATTTTTCAAGCACACCACCTAAATATTTCTATTTTATTATAATATTCATCTTTAATTTAAAGAAATACCTTGCAAGAAAGGTGAGTGGAGCATTTTACCAATATTATTTAAAAATAATAAATTTTTTTTTTTACAACATATACAGATTTGTTAAAACCTTCACCGTTCTTTAACCCTAACTCACCAGCGTATTGCATTACAGTATCGTTGACACAAACAGCACCGCTTCTCGTTTGATTTATTATCAATTCTCCTACTCCTTTATCCTTTGTAAATATATACATTGTAAGGGGAGTATCTCTATGTACGATAACAAAAAGATAAGTTCAATCAATTTTCCATTTCTAAATTAATTTTTTTAACCCGTTAATCCTAATTTAATTTTTATAATAAAAAGCATTAAATAATACAATACTAGAAACTAAGATTTTATTATTAAATCATAATAGAAAATTAGTTTTAAATTCTTTCTAAAATACCCCATTAATTATTGTTTTTCATTTTAAATATATCCATTCACACAACTCATTTGGAAAAAAAATGATAATTGAAAGAATTCATTTGCATACAAATATTACAAACGGTAGAAAGCATTGAAATGTAAAATAGGTGAATGAGATAACTGACAATGTAAATATGAAAATGAAATATTTTTCTTATAATAATGTTTGAAAACTGATAAAAAAAAATGACACATTTTTTAATTTCTGTAAATAATTAAATTAGAAAAGAAAATTCTTTTTCTCGATTATTATTATCATCAACTTACCGATCGTTTATGAATTTGATTGCTTCATAAGCATTGTTGATATTTACAATTGGCAAAATTGGACCGAAAATTTCTTCCTGCATTACTGGATCCGTTGGTTTAACATCAATAAGAATTGTCGGTTCAATAAATTTTTCCGAAGGATCTGTTTTTCCTCCAATGGCAATTGTTCCATTTGTCAAGAATTTTGATAAACGTCTGTAAGAAAAAAAAAGTAAAAACATAAGAAGAAAAAATAATTAAAATTACAAGAATTATTTTGTTTTTTAATTTATTATACTTACTGAAAATGATTATCGCTAATAATGCGACACAAATCGGGACTATTTTGTGGATTTTCACTGTACCATTCTTTTAAAACTTGCTTTATTTCCTTAACAAGTCGATTTTGTACTTCAAGTGTGCATAAAATATAATCGGGTGCAATGCAAGTTTGTCCATTGTTTATAAATTTTCCCCATAAAATTCGTTTGGCAGTGATATTCATGTCAACTGTATTGTCAACATAAACAGGACTAACAAAGAAAAAACATATAATTTTCAAAATTATAATTTTCCGATACACATAAAAAAATATATATAATTACCTTTTGCCACCAAGTTCCAAAGTCACTGGTGTTAAAAATTTATTTGCAGCATCTCGAACAATTTTTCCAACAGATGTTGAGCCTGTGTAGAAAATATAATCAAACCTGTGTTTCAAAAGTTCTGTAGTCTCTGATACGCCTCCACAAACAACGTGAAAGCAGTCCTATTAAAAGAAAAATGCCTTTTTTTTATTTTAACATCTAAAACGATCAAAATTAATAAAAAAAAAAAATTAAACATTTTTAATTATAATTTTTGTTGTCAACAAATTTAAAACTCACGTTGTCTAAATATTTCGGAACCATTTCTGCGATAAGTTTAGATGTGGCCTGAGATACTTCTGAAGGTTTAAGAATAACACAATTTCCAGCGGCGAGTGCTCCCATCATTGGTAAAAGAGCCAATTGTAAAGGATAATTCCATGCTCCAATTACGAGAACAACTCCATAAGGGTCCTTGTAAATTTCAATGCCATCCAAAATGTTTACCATTGGTTTCGGAGGCTAAAAGAAAATTCACAATTATCAAATAGTCAACAACAACAGGCCTCGTATTTTGTTTAAAAATTTTGTAAAAAATGTAAAAAAAAATTTGATAAAGTCGTATCTTATTAAAATAAATCGAAATTAGTTTAATACAAGGCCTGTATTATTAATATTTCTAAATAAATATATTTTTTTATTTATATTAATTTATATAAATACCTTTTCAACAGCTGCCCATTCCTTGATATTCATTAACATATCCTTTATTTCATTAACAGTATAATCTATTTCTAGAGCGTAGCTTTCAAATTTGCTCTGAAAAAATTAAAAATTCAATTAAATTTTCCATAAAATAACAAAAATTTTTTTTTTAACATAGTGTGTAAATGAAAACAAAATACTAACTTTTCGTAAATCACTAGCAAGTGCTGCTTGAATTTCAGGTGATTTTTCTTCCAACATTCTTAAAAATTGTTTTAACTGCTTGATCCTCCATTCTAAGGGACGAGTTTTTCCACTGTAAAAAGCATCTCTTGTTTTTTGAACTAGCTGCAAAAAAAAAATAATTCTCTTTATGTATTTGGAAGCTGAGAAAATTTTCAATCATTAAAATCATTATAGAGTTAATATAATCAATTTTTTATCCTATAAGAAAAAAAAATGTTTAAGAATAAATTAATACTTACATCTGCGTAGTTTACAATTTCCATTTTTCCATTCATTTCAGCTGAAATAAAATCACAAAATTATTTTCCTCTCAAGTATTTCTTATTTATTATAACCTTATATTAGGTTTTCACATAAATGTAGCCCAGAAGTAATAAGTGATAAGTGATAAAATGAAAGATATAAACTTAAAATTAACTTTTCTTATCACAAATATATTTTAATTACTATTTTTAGAAAAATATTAAAAGAAATCACTTTCTAATTTAAAAGGTCATTTTATCTTATCTGTCAACACACAATAAAATGAAAATGTTTTGTTCTATAAATACACGAAAACTAGGAAAAAAAAACTAGTTGCGAGAACATTCCCGTTTCTAATTTTTTTGCGCAATGAAAGTCAATATTTTTTTCTATGATAAGAAAAAAAAAAACATTAAAAACTTCGACTTGAGTTTTTTTTTATCTCATAACTTCAAATTATATTTCACGTGATATTGCAAAATTTTTATTGATAAAATGAATTATTAAAATAGTAAAATAGAAAAGTCAGATATAAATTACATACAAATTGTAGGAGATTTTGTATAAACTGCACGATGTAAGTTTTAAATACAGTAATTAAATTCAATACGTGTAATGAGTACAATTTATTTTTCACTAATAATTAAAATTAAAAGTATATATCGTAATGCAAAAAAAAAGAAATGATACTTTAGTCGCGAAAATATATATAAAAAAAGTGATCTTTGACCCATGTACCAAATTTGACAGATAAAATCTAACCTCTTTTAATCAAACGATATCACAATTGTTTAATCAAGCAAAAATACCTGGATTATTTTCTCTTTGTTAATTTTCTTACACACCAGAAACAATACTCTTATAATACTTGTGCTATTTAAAAGAAGCAAGTATATATTCTTTATCGCTTTGTTTTTTATTATCTCTTTTTATTAAAATATCATCTCTTTTAATTGCCGCGTCAATATTGATATTAAATTTTGCCACCAGGGGGCACTGAACTCAGCTGTCAAATTTAAAGGGATTTGTTTACATTTAAATAACAGTTTATAAAAAAAATAATAAATATTTTACATGCTCTGTTAATAGCAATTATTATCTATTAAAATAATTATTATACATTAAATTTATTAATGTTACAAAAATATTATTATTGGATTTATTTTTCCCTTTTAATAAAAAAAATCAATTTTTTTAATTTAATATACAAAATTTAAATCTATTTTCCTTTAAATATATTTTTTATACCATTTACTGAGTGGTTAATTAAAAAAATTTTTTGTTGCAAATTTTAATGCCTTCAAAGTCCATCGAAATAGAGTGAACTCCAAACGAAGGTATTGATGAAGGTGATCAAGTATGAAAATAATATATGTAAAGTTGTCCATAATAAGTATAAAAATGTGTCACTTTCATCAATATGCAATTTGTTAAAATTAATATATCATTGTTAAAAAAAATTAATTTCCTTTAAATTTCCTTTTATTTCATTATATTTTCATTATATTTTTATTAATTGATAAAATTTTTTTAAATTTACAGAAATTAAATTAAATTTTTCAATTAAAAATAATTACATGTACAAATCAATTATTATTTATAAATTTTATGATTACGAAATTTTTATATGCAGATAATAATTATTAATTCTTCAATTCATTGACACAAATTTAATGTTTTTTTCAAGAAATATTCTCATTAGAGCATTTAACATAATTTAATGATAATTAGTATAATAAATTATCATTTAAACATTAATGTTTTTAAATAAATTAAAAAAAAAAAAAAACTAATATTTCAAAAGAATTTTAAAAGCAATATAATAAAAATAATGCAATAATAATTATTTCAATTATAATTAATAATTTAAAAAACAATTGTTTTGTAAATAAATATTTTTTTCTCTACCTTCAGAAAATTAAAAAGCGATGAATGAATTTTTTTTTTATACGAATCACTGAATAGAACAGAAATCACTATTATGATATATGTCACACAATGTTGAGCACAGTTTTTCTTTTAATAATCACTTGCACTCTGTTGTATAATCTTCAAGGAAATGAATGATATACGAAAGAACTCATACCTTCTTCTCAGAGAGTTCAACTTATTCTGAACTCGAGAGAATCTTAAGACGTTAAAAGAGAAAAAAAAATGTTTCACAGAGAAAAAAATATTCTTAAAGATAAAGTTACAAAAAAAAAAACCAGAAAACTACTTCTATTAATACTATATATTAATAATTAATATTATTGTTAATTTTATTTAAAATAATTTATAATTTTTTTCGAAAATATAATTTTCAATTTAATTATTCTAAACTTTTTCTAATAATGGTAATAATAATAACAATAATAATTATCAACTATTAAGTAAAATATAAACTTACTTGGATCTGGTACTGCTAAAATTGGTGGTGAAATTTCTATCCTGCAAATTTCAGATTCAACAGCCTCTTTAGGTCCATCATTTTCGTCCTTGGATTCCATTTCCACTATATTTAACACCACTTCCGCCTGTAAAATGATTAATCATTTTAGCTAATATTATTTTCTAAATCACGTTGTATTATTTGCTTTAAAGAGCAAATGTCGACAATTTTCATTATTTTTCTATCACAAACACTGCAATTTACTTATTTTGTTCCTTGAGAAGGAAAAAAAAATTGAGGAATAAATTTTCTGTGTAAAAAAAACGTATCAGTACATTAATTATAATCAAGGTGATCCAAAGGATCATTGCTAATTAATTTTCTATTGAGACGTTTTATGAATATAATAATATCTCCACAATAGAAAAATCAAAGATATAAGTTAATTACTATATTGTGGTCTAATACAAATAATTACAAAAAAAAAGTTATTTAAATCTTACCAAATAAAATCAAAAACTAATATTTTACGAAAATAATTCAAATAACTTGAATTTTTTTTTATTAAATACAAAAATATAAATTGGAAAATAATTATAGAAATTTGTATAAATTTTATTATGAATAAGAGCACTTTAGAATCTAGTTAAAGACTGAGTGAAAAGTTATGTGAAATTTTTATTGTACTAGCAAAGATATGAAGTTGTCAAAAGAAAGTAAATTACCACAAATTATGTAAGGGTGGAAATTGCAAATAATTTATTTATATTAAAAAAAAAAAAAAAATTCCACCTGTTTTGAGTTAACTAATCAACTAGATGTTTATTATCTAATAATAATTATTTAAAAATCCATTAAACTTGTTAATTAGAAATTAAATAATTAAAAACTGAATAAACGTTTGAATTTTTTTTAACTTCTTAAAATATTCAATTAACTTTATTTTTCAGTTAAATTTTTAAAAATTTAACAAAATTTGTTGAAATTATGCAAAACTAGCAAAAAAAATAATAAATTATCAAGTTACAAAAAAAAAATGCTTACGTTGAATAAAACATTTGAGATTATAACAAAGTATGAAAAATGTTTATTGCCGATTAAAAATTTGCAAATTCAATTTTTTTAAATAAGTGAAAAACAATTTTAATTTTTATTATGACAATTCTGTCTTTAAATTAGTTGCATTAAAAAATTTTTTTTCTCAAAAAAAACTGATTTGTTAATAAAATTTTCTTCTTTATTTGATTATTCACCGAAAGATTTACTTCTTTTTCAAAAACACTACACATTAATTAATTATATTTATAATTATCATTTTTGAAAAAAACTATAATTAATTTTTAAAAAATGCAATAATTTTTACATGTTTTTTTTTAAATTGAATAAATAAGAAATTGCAAAATCTCTTAGTAAAATCTATTTTACCAAAATATATAACATAAACAAATTTGTTTTAATTATAGTAATAATATAATAAAGTTTCTTTATTTTAAAAATTCGAATTACTTTTTTTCAATTAGAATAAAAAAAATTTGAATTGAACTTTATCATTATCGACAGAACGTATTGATTTGAAGTCGAGGAAATAGAAACTGGATTTCAATCTATAAGTCAACAGATTCTAACAAAGTCTTGACGAAAACCAGTTTTATTCATGGTTAACAAATAAACAACTTACCATGTTTTTAGAGTTGCTGTCTATCCAGACCGGTTATAGAGTCTTCAACGTCACAACACTTCCAATTTAAACGAATATTATTTGCAAAGTTTTCAGACAATCTTCCGAATCACCGGAACTTGATGCTTGCCAAGATCATCGATCTGTTGCTTTGCTTTCTGAATTAAAATGGCAAGTTCATCGTCGTAAAAGCATTTTACGTAACAACAATGACTTCCGCTCTACATTTCCTCAGTAAAAAAAAAAAGAAAAAACAAAACATCCAAACCCATTCATCAATCAATTGCGCCTTATTGTCTAAATTATCAATGGTTCAGTAAATTTTTCAAATTCGAATTTCCGCTTCCCACTGATCTCAATTTTGTGTAACTTTATATGGAATAAAAATTATTATTCAAATAGAAATTGGAAAAAAATTTAGAAAAATTATTTTTCTTTCATCACAATCACTTAGCAAAATTTTTTTTTTGAAAAGAAAAGAAAACTTTCGATATGTTACAATTGAACTTCTTTTTCTGACTCTAATAGTTTCATCACAAAGATGGCTCTTCGATGAAGTTATTTAAATCGTTGACTTTTGACCCAAGTTCCTGAATTATTGATGAATAAACATTAAATGCTAAAATATTTTCGATACGAATTGAAAATTTTACATATTGGAAATTCTATTGTATTATTTTTATTTTATCTTTAAAAAAGAAGTTTATAAATTTAATTTATTTATATAATTTAAAAAATTATAAATTTTTTTAAAAATAGTTTTATAAACCTTTTTGGCATTTGAAAGATTTATTTTTAATGAGAATTTTAATATAAAAATAAATGTTATCTTGTATTCTAAAAAAAATAAATTTTTTTTTAATACCAATTTCTAAATCTATCAACAGCCTTTTTCCAATTTCTAAAAATTGTTTGATATATTAAATATCTTTCATTATTTGGTTTGAAAATATCGACTTTTCGCAAATGCAGTAAATCCTCTTTCGTTTTCCAAATTCCTGAAAAATTAGTTTTTTTCATAACTTTCCAGAAGAATTTTATTTATTTTATTAGGGTTTTTTAAAATAATAATTGAGAAAAATTACTTTTTTTCATTTGCAAATTTATGAATAAATTTTTATCTAATGAAAGTGGATTTTGAAAAAGGATAATTTAAAAATAATAATAATAATAATTATTATTATTATTTTAATTATTAATTAGATAATTTGACAAAAAATTTACCGGCTTGTAATCCTGCGACGAGAGCAACTCCAAAAATTGACATTTCAGTGTCTCTGGACCTTTCGATGTCTAAACCGGTTAAATCAGCCAGCAGTTGCATTACAAAATCATTTTGAGATACACCACCGTCGATCCTTAATTAAAAATTAAAAAAAAATGATTTGCAAATATTTAAAAATCAAAATAATAGCGTTATGTAGATTAAAATTGTTTTTTTTTCAAAAAATTTTACCTTATTCTTTGGTAGGTAAATTGTGTTTCAGAAACCATTGTATCATATAAAATAACTATTCTAAAAACAATACTTTCAAGTAAAGAACGTATCAGATGTGATTTTCCAGAAGTTGGTTTCAATCCTAAAAATCCTGTTGCTGCTAATTGATCATTGATCGGTGCCTATCAAAAGAATTATAATAAAAAAAATATAAATTATAAATTCTTTTTAAATAGATTTTAAAATAATAGTAAATAATAAATATAATAATAGTTAAATAATAATACCTGTAAACCACTGAAAGCGGGAACAAAATAAACACCATCTGAATCGTCAACTGAATTTGCCAAATCAGAGGTTTCCGAAGGTTTATTGATAATACCTGAGAATTAATTTTTTTTTATTATAATATAATAAATTCTAGAATCCACTTAAAAGGAGTTAATACATAAAATAAATTTTAATAATACAATACCTAAAAATTGTGCCCATTCGATTATTGATCCAGTATCATTAGAAGCTCCCTCAGCGACATAAATTAATTCAGAACCTATTCGCCATCCAACCAATGGGTACAGACCTAAAAAATTGTTTCTTTTACAATTATTTCATCTTTAAACAAATTTTTTCATTTGAATTTTTTTTTAAAACAAATTAATTGCAATTTTTCAAAAGTATTTACCAGTTATTGAGGCATGAGGTTCTTTGCCAGTATTAACATTCATAAAAGAACCCGTTCCCATTGTCACTTTTAAATCTCCCGGTTTAAAGCATCCTGATCCAAATAAAGACGCAGCTTGATCAGCCATCTGTTAAAAAAAAGAATTTCAAAATATTCATTTATAAATAAATAATAAGCAAGTCAATTAATTGAATTCAGGAAATTTTTTTATCTACTGAAATAAACAAATAAATAATAATAATAATATTAATAATTTATAAATGTATAATAAAGTAATTTATTATTAAAAAAAAATGCTTTCATAAAACTTACTGAGCAAAAAATGGGAATTTCAGCACCAAATAACTTTTCCGATACGTGACCAAAATTTCCTGAAGAGTCTAATACTTCTGGAAACAATGTTCGAGGTAATTTAAAAATATTTAAACCCCAATCGGCCCATTTCATAGTAAAGGGATCGAATAATCCAGTTGCTGACGCACTCGAGACATCAGTTACATGTTTTCCTGAAATTATCATTTTTTCATGTGATATTGATTTATTTTAAGATATTAAATTTTTTAGAACAAATTATATATTACCAGTGAATTTATATAGAAGCCAACTATCAACACCTCCATAGACCGCTGTCCCTTTACTTGCAGCTTCTTGAAGACCTGGTACATTTTGAAGAGCCCATAATAATCTCAAAGTTGTCTAAAAAAAACATGTTCATTAAATTTTATGATAAAATTCAAAATAAAAACTAATACAAAAACCAGAAATAAATAGTATTCAATTCAAATAGAACAGAAAAAAAAGAAAATACAATACCTGAGTATTCATTAGCTTCAAAACACTGCCAGCTAAAAATCTTTTATTTCTGGAAAAAGTATAAAGAATATTTGCTCCCGTTCGAAGAGCTTTTAAAGTTAGAGATGAGTTCCATTCCTTTACCATTGAATCTGCTCTCAAATCTTTCCATGTTATAAAACTGAAATATTATACAAATTAGAATTTTTAAATATATTTAAAATTTTTATTTATATATAAAAATTTAGGTCAAATAATTCGAGTATTTTTTAGTTAATAGTTAATTAACAAAAACTAATTCATAATTTTTAAATTTACTAGTTGTAAGTTACTGACAAACTTATTAAAGTTACAAATTGACTTTAATAATATTGACAAAAAAAATTACAGATTAAAGTGTAATTTATTATCAATTGTGCCGAAGGCAAGTAAAATACCACAAAAAAACTAATTTATTGTTCATACTTGTGATAGTGATTTCCAGTTTCTAAATTCCAAGTAACAAATGTACTACGTTGAGTTGATATTCCGATACAGGATATCGATTTTGGATCGATTCCACTCTCTGTAGATTAAAAAGAAATTAATTTACATGTATTAGAAATATAATTTCACGAGAATTATGACTGCGAAAAATATTTTTTCTCAAAGCACATAAGACAATTCATTATTATTGATGCGGACTATAAATTTCATAAGAATTTACCTTGAATTGTTTTTTTAATTACTTCGCATATAATATTCCATAAGTCATCGGGATCAATTTCAACGTATCCAGGCTTGGGATACAAAAGTGCTACCTATAATTTTTCAACAAAAAAAAAGTTTTTTTTCAAAATAATGATTTAAAAAATTGTTTATATCATTATAATAAATTACATAAATGTATTTTTCATTTTTTTTACTATAATAATAGTGTTAAAAGAAACAATGTAAAAATTAAAACAAGACAGAATAAATTTCTAAAAGAAAAAAATCAAGAACAAAAATTTTAAGAAAGAAAAAAAGCTTTCTCTTTTTATTACATAAATCATTTCTTTAGTATGTGTGTTTTTTTTTAATGTAGATAATGATTAATGTTATTTACTGTTTCCAAGAAATTATCTAACATTCTATCTGCTTAGAATTGAGAATGTTTTTTGGGGGGCGAAGGTCCTTTCTTAATTTTAATTTCGTCATCATAATCACGAGGTCATTTAACCAATTTAATAATTTGCACACAAAAAGTAATTTAAAATCCAAATATCAAGGTTTTATCAATAAATTTTAGTATAGTTAAAATATTTCGAAATTGTTTTTAAATAAAAATATTATAAATAAACGATACAATTATCTTTCACATATTCAAAACAATGCGATAATTTTTTTTTTTGCAAAAATATAAATAAGTGTAATTAAAATAATTTTAATTATCCATTATAATTATATTAATTCGAATTTTAATATTAATTTTTAGAAAATCATTTTAAATTATAAATAATGTGATAAAATATTATAAAACTTGTATACAAAAGAAAAAAACTGTATCAAAAAGTAATAATTAAAAATTAAATTTTCAATAACTAAAAAAAAAGTTTAGATTACAATATAAAAAATGTAAAAGTAAACATATTACAGTAATGAAAAAAATAAAAATAAACTAACCTTTTCAGCAGAAGAAGCGATGGTAACAGCATTTTCGTCCAAAAGATGAAAACGCACAGTAGTTGTGCCAACGTCAAGAGCAGCAATATATCTCATTCTTTGAAAAAAGAATAATAAACAAAATCACTTCCTTCCTTTGGCAACGAAAATTCAAGTTCAAGTATAGCTCTGTTTCCCGCCACTGACACTTGGTGAAAATGGTGCGCGCATTAATTTTTTTTTTTTTTGTGCAAAAAACACAAAAATAAAAACAACTTACAAATTATTTATCTGGAAAATCAAGTGAAAAAAAATTAATTAAAACTTGTTTTCTTTAAAAAAAAATATTTACATATTTAACTTGTTTAATATAGTTTGACTATTGCTTTAGGAATGATATCCAAGCTATTCATTCTCTGTCATACCACTTAACTTATATCTCAATCGGTGATCAAGAGAATATAGAATACAGTGTCACGCTATGCACATGCGCATTTTAAACAATAGAGAAAATAAATGACAATAATAAAAGTTTTTTATAGGGCATTTCCATTAAAATGACACAATCCTCCTCCTCTTCCTCTTCTGTTTCAAAATAACTTAATTCACATTTTCCTGAAAGACTTCATATTTCCATAATAAAAATAAGAAAAAAAACAAACAAAATACAAAGTTCATATTTAAAAAATGTTAATAATTAAAAATAATAAAACCTTTTTTTTTTAAGAAAAAAATATATTCTAGAGAGAAACATTAACTTCTCTATTATTATCACCTTTGAGACTTAATTATTACTGTAATGTATTTTTAATACAAAATTAAAAAAAAAAATACTTAGTTTTGTATTATAGTCACAATTCGTATTTTTGGCGAAGTCTGTCAATTTCTTTTTCTGATTTATCTTCCACTGTTTTACAATGTTCGAGTAACTCTTTTAAAGCTGAAAAATAATATATGTAAAATAATAATAATAATTCAATATATTATATAAAAATATGAAAAATATTAATAAAAATTGATTTTAAATTATTATAAAAAGAAACAAAACAAACCTTCTTTAGTTTTTCTATCAATAAACATGATAAGCGTTCTGAATCTTTTAATATTGCTTAATTCATCCAAATAATCGAATATAAAAAAAATATTCATTTCATTACGAGTGAATTCTTCTCTAATAATCATAATAATATCTTCAAGAACACTGGATTCCATTGAGTCTTTAAACAATGTTGGTATCGTATTTGGTCGAATTTGCTATAAGATAATTTAAGTTTATTAAGGGGCGCATGATTATCCCATAAAAATAATTAATTAGAATTTTCATTTTAAAGAATTTTATTAGAAATAATTATTTTTTGAAACTAATTTTCAATTTACGAATTAAAATTTGACATAATTCCTTTTTATAAGAATTTTTAATTAACAAAATTTTTAGCTACCAAATTTTTGTTTGGCAAAAATTTTAATTTATAGTTATTTAATTTACATGAATTTTTATTTAAGAAAATTTTAATTTAACAGAATTCTTATTCAATTGAATTTTGCGTGATTCGAATTTTAAAATGACAGAAATTCCAATTCACCGAATTTTAATTTGTCCAAATTTTTAATGATTTTTATGGTAAATTCACAATAATTTTAAAATAGAAAATTATATTTTTTAATAACTATAAATATTTTTTAAACTGAAAATTAAATATAGTTATTAACTTAGTTTTAAAGATTAATTCATTAAACTTAGTTTTTAATTTATTAAAATTAATAAATTATAGGTAAATGAATTTAAATCTGTAAAAAAGTAATATTTAAGTAATCAAACTTACTTTTAGATAAAAGGCTCTAAATTTCTGAGATTTATTTCTCTTCCATTCTGTGAGAAATTGTACCGCTGTTTTTGGAGCTGATGGAATATCTTGAGAATTAATAACTTCAATAAATGGTGTCTTTTGTTTTTTTATTACATCATTATTCTTCTCTTGTTTTGTCTCTATGATATTTTTGTGTAAATTAATTGTATCAATTTTTTCAATTTTATCCTTATTTTCCTCTTTGACTGCGATCTTTTTATTAATATTGGAATTATTTTCATCATGAGGTATTGGTAGAATATTATTTCCAAAATTAACTTTTTTAATAGTCATTTTCTTCATTGTTTCCTGAAATGAAAAATTAAATTTACTATTTAAATATTAATTTAAAAAAAATATATTTTTAAAACTTAATTAATAGAAATAGAAATTAGACCTTCGAACGTTGATGAGGAGGCAATTCGATAGGTTCAACGATACTGTAATTTTCATCAATTTTTGGTAACCAATCGGGTAACTTCTTTTCAGATTCATTTGAACTTTCCTTAATTATTGATTTAGTTGATTTGTTGTTTCGAGAACTTTTTTCATTTTCAGATTCACTGGAAACTTCGGTTATTGTTAATTTACTTGATTTCTGTAATTTTTCAACTTCTTCTATTTGTGGTTTTTGAATTTTTTCTTGTTCATTTATTTTGGTATTACAAATTTTTTCACCAATTTTCTTCTCGATTGGTGTATCGTCAAAAACTTCTGTGATCTTGAGAGGCTACAAACAAGTCAATTACAAAAAATTAAAGTCGATAAATAATCAATACAATGGGGAAACGACGAATGTTTTTTATTTTACTTACTTGATATTTCTCAAATTTCTTATTAATTTTCGAGAGCATTGATTTGGCTTCTTTATTGGAGGGTTCTAAATTTAATACACGTTTAATGTCCTCTTTAGCTCCATTGTAATCCTCTAATTCTATTCGAGCTGTAGCTCGTCTATGATAAGCTTTAACGTAACTATCATTTATTTGTAAAGCTGCTGTACAGTCCGCTTCGGCCGAATATAAACTACAATTTGTTCAATTTTACAATATAGAAAATTATAAGTATTGGATAGAAAATTCTTTTTTTTTTAATATAAAATCTATATGAAAAGAATTTAAACTTACTTGTCTTGTTTCAAATAACACAAAGCACGATTGGCATAGAAAACTTCATCGTAAGGGAAAATTTTAATTGCTTGTGAATAACTATTAATTGCCAAATCATATTGTTTCTTTTGAAAAAAATTATTTCCATCTACTTTAAATTTTACAGCTTCGGAGTGCTTTTTTTCTGCACTATTAATCACATCATCTTCCTCTTCGTCACTTTCATTTTCTTCGTCCAGTTTTCTGCAGGCTGCATCCTTTAAAAAATATACGGATTAATTAAAGTCTAGATTATTTTAAAATACGCCTCGAATCGATTTTAAGGTCAGAATAATTTAAGTAAATGTATTTAAAAACACCTTCGGCATTTGGTGCCTTTTAAGAATGTAATTCAAATTATTTTTGAGATATTTATAAATAATAAATTTAAAAAAAAGCATACCACATCATATTGACTCCAGGAAGAATAATCATATGATTTAATTCGTTCAGGAATGGATTCTTTACTTGTACTTGGAATTGGAGGTGAAGTTTCAATTATTTTCTTCTTTTTATTTCTAATAGGAGGCAGAATTTTTATCTAAAAATAGTTTATTCAAATATTAATTGTATTTTTAGTACAATAAAATTAAATAAAAGTTGTAGTAAGAAAAGTTCAAAAATAAATTGACAAAAAAACACGTGCTCAACTTAAAAACAAATGAAAATTACCTCCTCGGTAGAATTTAAAAGTTCCTCTTCTTTGCGCTTCATTTCTTGTTCCCAAATTTTTAAATCCAATAATTCTTTTTGTAAATCTTCAGAATTATCACGAACTTGTTTTTGTAATAATAATGATGTTTTTTCGTCCATTATTTATTTGATGATTTCACAATTTTTATAGGTTATGTTACACTGCAATGTGACTGTAATCAATTCAAAAAAATAATAGAATTTACTTAAAATCAAACAACAATTGAAGAACACTTTAAAGAATTATTATACACAAAATTATTAACGAAAATCAATAAAGAAATCACTTAAATATTGTAATGAAATGCGACTCACAATAATCTGTTTAATCATTAAAAGCCGGTAGCAACCTGCATTCAACCAATGAACTTTCAGAATTTACGAGAATTTACAAATATGCAATTTTATTGGCTAGTGTGTAATTCAAATTTTGGCGGCAAGCAGTTGGTCAACCTGAACCGCGAAAAATTAAATTAATTTAAATAATACGTTTTTATTCTTATTGTTAGTGAATTTTTTAAATTGTTTTTATTTAATTTAACAAATGTAATAATATATAAGAATGTAATTAATATACAAGAATGTAATAATATAAATGAAAATTTGGTTAAATAGAACTTATGCTAAATAAAAATTATAAAAAATGGAAATTTGTTAAATATTCAATTATAAATGAATATTCGGCTAAATAAAAAAAAATAAATTAAATTAATTAAATAAATAAAAAAAAATTAGTGAAATAAAAATTCTGTTGGATTAAAAATCGTTGAAAAAAAGTCGTCTAAAAATTTGATCAGTACTGAAAATTGAAATTAATCGATTTCAGGTAATAATCACACACGCGTCTCTTAATTGATGCTATCATTTAATTAAGGGAGACAGACTGTTAGATATAAATTTTCAAAGTCAGATAATGCTCGTGAGCTTGACATTCAACCCCTTTAAAGATTTTGGGAAGTTTGCCATCGAATCAAGATCGTTCTGTTTCCAATGTTAATATTCTAGCTGAGTGCATACTTGTCGAGCAGTTCGTCGTCGATGAGCGACTGGCGCGCACCTGTCGAATTTACTATTTTATCATCGCCTACAAACAAGTGCCTTAATTAATATTCTCATATATTTTTCTTTATAATTTTTTTTTAAAATATTTTCACCATTTTTTTTTAAATTTGTTATTAAAAAAAAAAAATCAATCTCATGCCATTTTTTCCTTTTTTTTTCTCAAATAACCCAAAAAAAATTTAAATTTCAAATTCTTCTGCACAAAAAAAAAAACGTTCATCAAAAGCATTTTTCTTGCTGTTTTCAACAAAATCTTTCCTCTTAAATAAATAACATATTTTTCACATCGTTATACCAAAAGTTTATAAATAAAATAAACTATACACAAAATAATCGAAAGTGTGACGAAATGTTATTACAAATTTTTCCTTGCTTGGCAAGGACAATTTTTTATAGTTTTTTGATATAAATTTTTAACTTGAAAATAAAAAAAAAAAAAAAAATATTCATTACTGAATATTGTGAAATGAAATTGATGGAATTATGTGAGTCACATTAGCTACGAAATGTTGGAAGGTAAACGAATATTATTTATTGCAAAAGGAAATAAGTGTCTTTTGCATATTTTGTTTTCATATTACTATAAATAATGAAAATTATAATTACATTATTTTTATTATTATTATTATAAATGTTTTTTTATATATTTATTTTTTTTACAAATAACGTATATTTTTTTATGCAATATATTAATAATATATTGTAATAGGAAAATTAAAAATGAAATTGTTTATAAATTTTTTTTGTAAAAATAAAAACATTTACTAAATGTAGAAATTATTTCTCAAAAATTTGTTATTTATTTAGAATTAAATACTGAAATAAGGTTTTTTTTATTTCTTATCACTCAATAAAATTAGAACGAATTATGTAAATTATAAAATGAGTTCAATGACATTTTGTAATCTTAAAATATTATTATAATTTCTAGTTTCTTATTCTAAATATCTGGTTTTTATTTATTTTCTCCATCCATGTGATCAGTAAAAAATTTGTTAATAGATAAGGTATTTTTTTTTTTTAAGAAAAGTCTTGAAGTTTAAAATTTATGACCTAAATTATATATTAAAAGCGCATAATAATAGACTTTTATATTATAATTTAAAAATCATTAAAAATCAGAAATTTTTCTTCAAATAATATTAAAAAAAAATAATTTAATAATATTCAAATTATTATTTTTATTATTTTATTCATTTTCACGCCGATTAGAGTGAAATGAATGCCAATTAGAGAAGACGTAATCTAATAAAATAGGATTAACTGATAACATTAATCAGCATGAAGATTAAAAAAAGCTATTTGCATTTATAATTTAAATTTTATGCGAAAGAAAAAAAAAAATTTCACAAAAATTTATTGAGAAAAAAATTACAATCCTCGTGACCATTGTAATTATCGATTGTATTGATTTTTTACAAGTAATAAATTTCCATTTTTGTTTAGTGCAAGAAGGACCTTCATTCTATACTCATCGAATAGAACTAGATTAATGTACTCTCTTTTTTAGAAAAAAAAAAGAAAAAAAAAGAACTGACATAAAAGTCATTTATGGTTACAAGACTGTTCATTAAAATATATAAAAAAAAATATTAAGTCATTTCAATCAGATCAAGGAAAAAGTTTTCAGTTCATTTTTTTCGTATCAATAGATTTTTAAAAAAAAGTTTTTAAGAGATTTAATGAAATTATTTGTTTAAAAAAATTAAAATTCTCGGATTTTAATTATTATTATTCAGTAATATATTGTAATTATTGGTTTCGATAAGTTTTGACAGAAATCTGTAAATTATTATCACATCTTTATCAACACAAAATTTTGAAATGTTTACTTACGGAAATGCAAAATCCACTTAACCGCGCTCAAGTTGCAAATATTTATCAAATTCATTCAAAACATGCTTTTCGATTGCTTATTTATTCACGTGAAATTCATATTGAACTATTTTCAAATTTTAGAATTATCCGAGAAAAAATGTTCTCTATATAATTTTACAAATAAAATAATAATATTAACAAAATATCAATTTTATTTTATGGAATTAAACAAATAATTTACATTACAATTCACGTACGATTAGGTTAATAAACTTTATAATATTTTTGTCTCTCAATAATATTTTTGAATCAAATGAATATTTTTAGTCTCTATAGTATTATTATTTCTTTTTCTAAAAAGTTATAATTATAAAAAAAATATTCTACTCTATCACATAATTTAAAATTATAATAATATTTATTATTATTATTATTATTATTATTATTATTAATTTAACTTGTTATAAAGAGTTAAATAGAACTCGTTTTCTTATTTTTTAAACATATTTTTTGAAATTAAAATATTATTATTAAGATTATAAAATATTCAAAAAAAGAAAAGAAATATAAGTTAAATTTTTATTTTGTATTTACATTAATTTAAGAATTTTTATATTTACTTTTTTATTAATTAAAATAATAATCTTTTTAATTAAAATTTAAATATTAAATAAAAAATTTTTTTTTAAATAAATTGGGATGTCAAAATAAAGTTAGTGATTGTTAATGAAAAACTTTAGAGACTTTCTATTATGTCCATTTTCGCAGATTTCTGTAATATACCAGTTTTATTCAGAGTGATATATAGTGTCGTAGAGATAATCATGTGACGTGTAGTCGTTACCCTCGTGAGAATTTTGCAATGTCTAGGCTCCTTGTAATCGACAAATTCGCGAAGGTTTAAGTTATGCACTTAAAAATATATTTAACTCGAAGGTTTTCGATAGTACTTGTGTCTAACCAAATTGTCACATCTATTTTTTTTTTATTATTTTTATTACTATTAATTATTATTATTATTATTTTTTTTATTATTTTTATTATTATTATTATTATTATTATTATTATTATTATTATTATTATTATTATTATATAGTTGTTATACAATGTTACACTAACGAAGCTTCTTCTTTACACTTTTCCGTGAGATTATAAATTAAGACCTTCTTTTTGAAAGAAAAAAAAATGCACCTAATTGATCAAAGTCAATCAAGCACTAGTGAGAAAGATTGCAGAGAAATTTTCACATCCTCTGCAATCTGGATGCTTTTATATATATTCTCTTCAAAAGAAAAATTTTCATTGAAAAAAATAAATCACCAACGCCAATTTTAGACAATTTGTTTTTTCTTTCTAAATTTGAAATATCAATAAAAAGCCTCAAAAAAAGTAATGTAATATAAAAAAATGATATTTTTTAAAAAATATAATTTAAAAAATATAGACATAAAATAAAAAAAAATATATATAATAAAATAAAAATAATATTAATTATAATAAAAATTTATCAATTTAATTTGAAAAATAGTAATTAAATTTTAAGACATATTGTATAATAATAATTAGCATTATTTACAAATTGGTAATTAGTAATTTATTTAAATTTTCCATTATTTTAAAGTTTCATTTTTTTTTCTAAACATTATTTAAATATTATCAATAAGTCATATATTTGCATTAGAGCGTGACTAAGAATTTCTATTTTATTCTATTTTTATCATTTCGTTGACTTTTTCAAGCCTCCGTTTTTGTACTCTTCTTTGTTTTTTTTAATATATATATATTGTTAAAAGGTAAAACTATTTTTTATATATATAAAGAAAGTATAATTTTTAATATATTTTTTTTCTAGCGAAATTTATTTTGGCAGAGATTGTAGACACAATTTATTACACCCTTTCCCAATATATGTTTTTCTATTCATAAATCCTAAAAATTGTTTTTCTTTGATAGTTTTTTTTAAATAAAAAAATGTTACATAAGTTGTAAAATAATTTTAATCGATTAATTAATTTGTTAGCAGTATGTATAAAAACATTTAATATACTTTTTTTTATTTTTTTTTTTATTTAATTGTAAAAAAAATCATTATCAATATTATATAAACAAATTAGGTATTTAAATATTTATTTTTTGTTAAAAAATTTAATATTAATGGTAAAAATTAAAAATTTTTGTTAAATAATAGATAATATTTGGATTTTCTCTTATATCAAAAGAGTTCGTATTACATATATACGAAGCTTGGTCTATATTTATCGAAAGTCTATGAACACTGGCGCGATTCCCGAGACTATTATTTACGGGTCGGACGAAAAGTCATTCCTGACCTTTTGCGATTAATGATCCTACTGTAAAGAAAAAAAAAAGAAAAACATTGTTGAAACAGAATTAAAAAATTTTTTTTGTAACTTTTTTTTCATTATTATTCGCAAAATAAATTAGAAAAAAAAAGATTTAATAAAAACCTTTTTTTTATTGTTCAAAGAGATTTAAAGAACAATGTATATTGAGAAAAAAAACGCCATAAAATAATAATCAATAAAAAAATTCAAGTAAAGGTTTTTTCGCAGGATACTTTTTTTCACACTCGCAGGTGCTTTCACCTGACCTAAGAAGTTATTTCAAGCTACCTCAGAAGTTTTCAAAGTTGAGACGAGAGATTAATGATTGTTGAACTCGAGCTGATATTTATCAATGTAGGTCTAGGTTGTAGACCCTTTCGAGATTGGTTTAACAAAAGTTCACTTTGGTCCTTATAATACTTTCTTTTTATATATATAAAAAATAAATTTAATATTGAAAATTAATTTAAAAATATTATTTTATTAATATGCTAAAAAAAAAAGAAATTAAATTGAAATTGTTTTCAAACGATATGTAAATTACTTATAATTTTATTCAAAAATAATTAAATTAAATAATTCTTTGCTTCGGTAATACGTATATTATTATAATCATACATTGATTCTACCTTGAAAATATTATAATAATAAATAAAGAACTAAAACGTGCATAATCTTCAATGTAACAAATGTCTGTTTATTTTGCAAGAGTACGTAAAAGATCAGAACAGATCTGGAAGAAAACCACTAAGTAAATTTTCTCATTATATATTTATTATGTTTATATATTTTTCATAAAATCTGCGAAAAATATTCCATTTTCAATTTGAAAAAAATTCGGTTTTTTTTTGTAATTCAATTTTTCGAAATTTCTTTTTGAAACGAAGAAATAAATTCCAAAATTCCAATTAATTTTTATCAATTATTTTAAAATCATTAATAATAATATATTAATAATAATAATAATAATAGTAATAAAATAATACAAAAGATTATAGAAATAATAATAGAGAAAATAGTTCAAGATTAAATAAAAAAATTAAGATAAAAAATGAAATAAATAAAAATAATGTTAATTGAATTAATTTTGATTTTATGGTATGTTACATGGAGAAGATGGGAACTATGTGCGAGTCCCATGGGATGTAGAAGGGACAGGTAAAAAAAATTTACTTGTAAATTTAATTGTAATATAAAGTGCACATTATAAATAAAAAAATTTGATAAATATTTTTTTTTAAGGTTTCATAGAAAATCCTGCTCCTAGTTTAAGAAAAAGCAATTTTTGATTAGTGGATAAAGAAAAATGACAGTATCTTACCAATATGAAGTGGCCAGTTCAACCAGTGGAGGATTCACCAGGTTGCTCTTTATGTGGCGTGGCTCCTTATACAAACTCATCTACAGAGAACTTCTACTTTATTTGATTCTTTTTGCTGGTCTTTCAGCAATTTATCGACACGTCTTAACACCCTCTCAAAAAAGGTGTGCAGAAAATCACAATCTGAAATACCAAAAAAAAAAGTTAATAAATGCCTTTTTTTTAAATATTTGTTTGAAATTTAAAAAAAATTGGTTTTTAAAATTATAAAAAAATAAAATAAAAATTTAAATATATGTCATAAAAAATTGTTTAATTCAAACAAATAATAAATAGTTTATTTAGCTATGAAAATTTTTATTTTATTTTTATTTCATACAAATTTTGTTTAAATAAAAAAAAATTTCTCTCGTGAAAATTCGATCCGTTTCTAATTATAATTTTGTTTATTTTTATATTGTTTTAATTTAAAAAAAAAATTTTGAAATAACAATAATTTTTTTTTCAGTATTTTTGAGCAAATTGTCATTTACTGTGACAGTTTAATTACATTGATACCACTGAGTTTTGTACTTGGATTTTATGTAGCTCATGTGGCTGCTAGATGGTGGGAACAATACACAGCGATTCCTTGGCCAGATAAGTAAGCTTTTTTTCTAATTATTATTATTATTCATTTTTGTCAATAATTAAGGTTTCTGTCCCATTTAATAATTTAATTAAACTATAATAAATAGCAATTTTTTGGGACTAAAATAAAATAAATATATAAAGCTGTGTATATAAATTTTATTCTAGTCCCAAAAATTTGTCATTTATTAGAATTTTATTATTAAATTAATTTTTTTATATTATCTATTTTATTTGTTTTATATTATCAATTTTTTTTATTATATTTTTTTAATATTATCAATTTTGTTTAATTTATATTAACAAATAATCTATTGATTAATTAATTTAAGAAATTAATTTTTCTCTAGAGTGATGCACCTGGTAGCTTTATACGTAACCGGAAATGATGAATACGGAAGAATGCTACGCAGATCACTTATGCGTTATTTGAATCTCTCATTGATTCTCGTTTTAAGATCAATTAGTTCTGCTGTTAAGAGACGATTTCCAACATTGGATCATGTTGTCGATGCTGGTAATAATATACATATATTTTATAATAAATTAAATTCACAAAAAATTTTTCTTTTAAATAAATTAATTAAATTTTTTTTTAAAATAAATAAATAAATTTTTTTTTAATATAGGTTTTATGACATCATTGGAATTAGGTTTATTTCAATCAGTTCCAAGTCTCGAATTTAACACATATTGGATACCTTGTACCTGGTTTATTAATTTATTGAAAGAAGCTCGTCGCAATCATCGTTTACCTGATGCACAAGGACTAAAAATTATCATGGAGGTAGAAAATCTTTTTTTTATAATAATACTAATAGTAATAATAATAAATTAATAAAATAATAATAAAAAATAAAATAAATAATATGAATGCAATAAAATCTATCTAATCTAATAAAAAAATTAATACTAAAAGTATAATAATAAAAATAATAATAATTTTTTCTCACCTTTATATAGGAGTTTAATCAATTTCGTTCTAAATGTGGACTTCTTTGGAGTTATGATTGGGTCTCAATTCCATTAGTCTATACACAAGTTGTGACACTCGCTACTTATAGTTTCTTTGCTGTTGCTCTCGTTGGACGACAATATATTGACAGTGATCTAAATGGGACCAAAAAAACACAAATGAAAATTGACATTTATTTACCAGTTTTCACAATTCTACAATTTTTTTTCTTCATGGGCTTACTTAAAGTGAGAACAAATAATAATCATTCAATGAACAAAAAAAAAATTAATAATTTAATAATAAATTTATTTTCTTTTCAGGTTGCTGAGCAATTAATTAATCCATTTGGCGATGACGATGAAGATTTTGAATTAAATTGGCTAATCGATCGTCATACAAAGGTTACTTTTTCATTATATTTTTGCCATTGTTATTATAGTTTCATTATTATTAGTAAAAAAAATTGGTAAAAAATAATATTAGTAAAAAATAGTAATAGTAAAAAAAATTATTTAAAAAGGTTAATTATATTAATAATAGTGAATTTAAATTTTTGATATAAATGACAGGTATCGTATCTTGGAGTAGACACATTAATGAGTCGATGTCCACCTTTAGTAAAGGATTATTATTTCGATTCGGAAAATATTACTTTACCCTATACGGAAGCTGCCGCTGCATATAAAAAGAAAACTTATAGAGGAAGTGTCGCAAATATGCCGTAAGTTAAATTAATTTTTTTTTTCGAACCTGCTATTGATACACTGAAAAACAAAATTTATTTGATTCAAATAAGCGATTAGTTGACTGTTATCAAATAAATATTTATTAAATAATTATTATTTCAGTCAATTAAATGGCATTTGTTTCAAATACAGAAATATATTTTATTTGATTAAAAAAAAAAAAAAAATTATTTGGTTCAAGTAAATATTTATTTGATAATAATCAAATAACCGATTATCAAATAATTCTTTTTTTCAGTGTAGATATATTTTCATCTCTCTAAAATTAAATGTGTGAAATTTTTTTTAAAATTTCTTCAGACAAAAAAATTACAAAAATTCTAATTAATCAATTAATTGCACAAAATAAATAATTTTAGAGTACCAGAAGATAAGCAATCTATGTTTCTACCGGAAATTGCTGAAGAAGATGACAACAATAGCAAATTAAGTGCAACACCACGGACATCAAGTGCAAGTTTAGCTAATCACTTGCACGATAGTCCAGATGTTGATAGGCGGTAATAATTTCATTATAAAAGATAAAAAAAAAAAATTTTTCTATGAAAATAAAAAAAGAAAAATATAGAAAAAATACAATTTGAAAATATTTTTTATAATTATTTTTTGTTTTCATTATTATTTTCATTAATTGAAGGACATTTGTTTTAGCCAGATTAGTGGCTCTCCTGCGGACAGTCCAAAGATCATTCAAAAAGGTAGTGAAATTATTGTTCCATTGGAAATTCAAGAAACAATTATTGTCGATCAATCAACCACTGATAGACGACGAACCAGCACCTTGATGGAAGCTGTAAAAAAATTCTCACGAACAAAATTACCAACGCCACGTCTTGATCAAATGCGAAAACCATTTTTTGCCCTCACTAAATCATCAAAAGTCAATATTCAACCATGGCCAAGCGCAACAAATCTCACACATTTTGCAAATTCACAAAAAATTGATTCACGTAAACAATCTGAAGCATCGACGACAGTTCAAAGAGCCGATTCATTTAATATTCCCGTTATTGATATTCGTCATTCGTCTCTGGATGAACCAGGTGATAATAACGATAACGAAACTGATGACGATGATGATGATGATGAAAATATTCCATGTCCACATCGTGGAATAATTAATTCTGCCTTTTCACAAGAGAATATTTCTGATACACAATCAAAAATTATTTGTGATTTTTGCGGTGAAATGTCACATGATATTCATTCTGAATTATTGTGTCATTGTAAATGTCATTATAAAAAAAATTATTGTCAACATATTGAGGAATTATTTATTGATGATAGGAGAAAACGACTTCACAATTATCCAAAAGTATTGGCTTATCGAAGAAAAACAATAGAATGTCCACGATGGAAAAAGGGTGTTCGTTGGAAAACAATGGGCAATAAAATTGTTGTTGAAAAAAAATCACGAAGAAAAACAGTTGACAGTGTACCATCAGCAAAGAAACTTGTTGCATCAACAATGAGAAATTCATTAAATTTCAGTAATTCTGAAAATAATTTATCATATGATGAGAAAAAATGTAGTTGCTCGTATAAAAAAGAAGAATGTACTGATGATGATGATGATTCATCAATTGATGGACAAAATAACACGAAATTATAAAGTTTAAAATCAATTTCTTAAATTGGAAATTTTTTTTATAAAAAAAAATTTGATTTAAAAAATCAATAAACTTTAATTTCATTGTATTTAGATAATTGATTATTGTCAAATTAATTTAATTTTGCATTTAGAAATTATCGAGAATTTCTGTAGATAGGAAATATATATAATTTTGTTTTTGATGTTTTATTGCTTAATTCTTAAATCAATGATAAGTACTTAATAATCAATGTTTGTAATAAATAATTTTCTCATATTTAATTATCTATTCATTATATTTATTAAAAAAAATAAATATTAGAATATGAATAATAATTAAATGTTAAATCTCTGTAAACACCATAAATGTATTTTTTTTTGTAAATGTAAATAATCCTGTAAATATTGTAAATAAAAATAAATTACGATTACCTTTTTCTTTTTATCTTCTTCTTCAAACAAAATATATATTTGGATTAAGTCTAGCCAATTTGATTAACAAACTTTTCTTTTTAATATGTTTATTTGTTTTGTTAAAATGGCCTTTTTTAAATTGTCGAACAGCGCTACTATCGGCGTAATTTACAACTAAAATTAAAGTTCTAATTTTTAGGTTATATCAACAAATAGTCGAATTTGTTTTTCTGAAGAAAAGTTTCTGTTTCTATTATACAATAAAAAAATTACATCTAATTCGTGAATATCATTAAATAGTAATGAATTTTTGAAGTTAATGAACTTAGGTGCGAATGATAATTTTATCTTTCTAAATGCGCTGCTTCTGTTCGGCATTGTTTGTGTTGTTTTGACGTTAATATTGTACGCATTAAACTAAACGAGTTTTAACGAAAAATATGTATTTTTCTTGTGAAATATGCACGGAATTACTCTTGCCTACAGAAGAACTATTTTCTACACTTTGTGGACACATTTTCCACTTTCCATGTCTTACAAAATGGCTTGAAAGGTATTTGGCTTTTTCTAAAAATTGTTCAATAAATAATTTTTCATATGAAAATTAAAATTAAAATTCAATTTAAAAAAAAAATGAGACTAATTTAATAACTATATAAGGACATTTCTGTATTATAACCTATTTTATACCAAAAAAAAAATTCCTTTTTTAGATCCAAAACATGTCCACATTGTCGGGAAAAAGTTTCTCAGGCTAAAATTCACAGACTTTATTTTAACTTTTCTAATAATGATTCTATATCAGAAGACAGTACAACACTTCAGAGTCGTGTTGAAAATCTTGAATTTAAATTGCTAATGAAAGATATGGATATAAAGCAATATATTTCACAAGCAGAAGAATTGAGAAAACAAATTCCTGGTTTTCGCAAAGAAATTGAAAGAATAGAAACTGAATTAACTTTACAAAATGTTGAAAATTTTTCTCTAAAAGAACAAGTTCAATTACTTATGGAAAAGAATAAAAATATAGAAGAACTACAAGCAAGATCAAAGAGACTCGATGAATTACGAAAAAAGTATGTAATTATTAATAAATATTATTTTATTTATCTTATTTTTAATTATCTATTTAAAATTTTTAATTTTTAGAAATCTACAAGAAATGTTAGCAATCAGCGAGAAAAAGCGTTTAGATTTGGAAAAACAATTTGAGATATATAATAAAAATATGGCAATATCTGACACACAAAATGAACCAATTGTGGTAATTTCTTCAGAAGAAAGGGAAAAATCAAAAGTGGAATTAGTGCGCAAATTGAGTGTAAATTCAAATGAAGGTGTTTCAACGGCTAAAATACTAAAACCCACATCGCAAGGACAATATTTACTGGATAATTCAATTGTCATTAATGATGATGATCTAGTGATTCGAAGTTCAAAACCTTCATCGAGAAATACATATTTATTGGGTTCACCAATTGTAATTAGTGAAGATAGCTCAGACGAAGAAACAACATCGGTGAGTAAAAATAAAAATATTTTTTACACAGAATATTTTTTCTTCACTTTATAAATAATTTTCTTTGATTCTTTTTATTAGTTAATGAATTTACTTTAAAAAAAAAAATGTATTCATTTATTTTTTTAGAATGCAACAAGAGGAAACAAAGAAAATGCCCCCAATGTTCGTTTGAGATCGAAAAGAATATTATTACGTAAGGAAAAAAGAAATTAATATAGTCATTCAAAGATCACTTTCCTGTGATGAATCCAAAGTAAAAAAAAAAGGATGCTGTGAAAGTAAATCGTGCAAATTTAGATGATCATATTAAAAAAAAAAAAATTCATGTGATTTAAAATGCAAGATGAAAATTGATACGTGAAAAAAGACTATTTTCATAGGACTAAAAAAAAGTATTTTCTACTTAGTATTATTAATTGTTTTTCTATGTTTATATTATCGTAATAAAAAAAAAAATTCATTTATAATTTTAATAATATCTTTAAAGTAAGGCGTCAAGCTTTAAGATTGTCTAAGAGACTTTATGTTGATCGTATAAAAAAATACCTACGTTGTATTAATATTTGTAGACGAAAATCAATAAAATTATATTCAGAATATAAAATTCGTTTTTACATATTTTAAATAAAAAGATTTCGTATATTTCTTTTTTAAATAATATTTCAACTTGGCGCCAAAAGTGAGCAGCGCCATTATCGACAGAATTTGCAACTAAAATTAAAAGCCAGTGTTTTTTAGGTTACTTACGTCGTGTTTGACAATTGTGTCAAGTAGAATCTTTTTTTATTCCTTTCTCTCCTTAAAAAAAAAACCAAAATGTGGTAAATAAAAAATGTAATTAATTGTCAACCGGTGAATGTCATTAAACAATCGTTAATTGAACATAGACGCGAATTAAATTACATTTTTCTAAATGCGTTGCATCATTGGCATTGTTTATGTTGTTTTGATAGTTAACATTTTCCAACAAAAGTGAATTAATTTCAACGAAAATCATGAATATTGTTTGTGTTATCTGCAGAGAATTACTCTTGCCATCCGAAGATATATTTCATACACCTTGTGGACATATTTTTCATTTCCCGTGTCTAACACAGTGGCTTGAAAGGTATTTAAATTTCTTTTTCCCTTATAAAATTTCATAAATATTAATAAATACTGTTAAATATTTGTCGTATTAGAGAATTTTTAAAATTTTTAATGTTTTTTAATGTAATAAACAATTTTATGTATTTAAAAATTACTGCTAAATGCGAATTAAATGTCACTAGTAAATTCCAGAATTATCAATTTCTTTCAGAGTTCAATGACACTTCTCTGCGTAATAATTTATACACTTTTAAATATTAATTTTCTAGATCGAAAACATGTCCACAATGTCGCGAGAAAGTTTCTCAGGCTAAAATTCACAGGCTTTATTTTAACTTTTCAAATAATGATTCTATATCAGAAGACAGTACAACACTTCAAAGTCGCGTTGAAAGTCTTGAATTTAAATTATTATTAAAGGAAAAGGATATAAAACATTATGTATCCAAAGCAGAAACAGCCGATAAACAAGTTCATGGGCTTCGAAAAGAAATTGGAAAATTAGAAAATGAAATTGCTTTAAAAAATTCGGCAAATTTTGCATTAAACGAACAAGTTATGTTACTTCGAGAAAATCATAAAATAATGAATGAACAAAAACATGAATTGGAAAGATTACGAAAACACGTTGAATTGAGTCGAAAGTACGTAATTCATAATTATATTATAATTAATTATTTTATTTATTATCAACGGAATTTAAAAAAGAAATTCTATTTTTCAGTGTACAAACTTTGTTAAGTTCATCCTATGACAATGTTGATGAAATGATTAAGGAGACAAGAGATCCTCAAACATTTATAACATACATAAAAGTTCTCAAACAGTAAGAAAAATTAAATTCTAAATTTTACATTTTTTGTACAATTGTGTATTTAATTCAATTTTTTTTTCTTTTAGAGAATTGTTGTGTTGTACAAACAAACGAAAAGAGCAGAGAACAATGATTAAAAATTTACATCAAGATATCTCGTCGTTAACTAAAGAAAGAAACATCTTTGCCGATGAACTGGCAAAAAGAAAGTAAGTTTTTATTAATTAAAAATGTGTTTTTAAATATTTAACTATTTTTCTTTTATAGAAATTTAGATGAACAACTTGCCATCAGCGAAAGCAAAAGATTGGATTTAAAAAGAAGACTGAAAATGTACGAAAAAAATGATGAAACATCTGATAAAGAAGATGAATCAAATGTGATAACTAATTCGGAAGAAAATAAAAAATCAAAAGAAGAATTAGTTCGTAAATTAAATGACGATGATTTGGAAGATATTCCCAAAGCTAAAAAATTAAAACCCTCATTGAAGGAAAAATATTCACTAGGTACACCAATTCTCATCAATGACGACGATGTGACTGAAAATCCAAAATCAAGAAATCAATATTTATTAGGTTCACCTATTGTAATAAGCGAAGATAGTTCAGACGAAGGAGCAACATCGGTAAGTAAAAATAAAATTCTGACATTTTATCAATTTTCACTGGTTCCTTTTAATTTTTTTTTTCCGCTTTAATTAATTTATTTAAATAAAGAAGAAGATATATTTTCAGAATTCCACAACTCGTAAGACAAAAGGAAACGAAGAAAATTCTCCCTATCTTCGTTTAAAATCAAAAGGAATATCAGCGCTAAAGGAACTTCATGCACAACGTTCGTCTGTTGGTGTTGGTCATTCAATTTTCAGGAAAAAGAAACTTTCAAATGCATCTACTGTAAGTTAAAAATTTGTCTAAACGAATTTTTTAAAATTATTTTATTTACTTTAGGTTTCGAAGTACTTTTTACTTTTTTGATATTTTTTATGGGCAGAGCTACTTTTTTTTAATACTAATTTTGATCAGAAGCTACTAAATTTTCAAACTGATGAATTAAAATTAAAAAATTCAATTATTATTTTCAAAAATTTCAAGTTTAGCTCATTAAGAAATTAATTATTTTCAAAAGTTCCAATTAAATGTTTTTGATGATTCAATTATTTAAAAATTTTCATTATTTTTTAATTTTCAAGATTCAAAAAGGATTGGGACCTGCTTCATTCGATGGTTTTGGTGGTCATTCAAGACCCGAACTCTTTCCAGTTATGAATTCAAAACAAAAGAAAATAACTCCCCAGGATGCGGTAAAAGCAAAACGTGCCAAATTAGATGATACCAATAAAAAACTCGGCGAATTTCTCATTAATTTAGTGTGAATATGGGAGAAATTTTTTTAAATTTAAATTTGAATTGTTTTTATGATATTTTGAATACCAGATGAAATGAAAATAAGATTGCTTCTATACCAGTAAAAAAATATAGTTTGTATTTAGTAGTATTAATTGTTTTTTGTATGTTTATATCCATAATTAAAATGTCATTAATAATATTTTAATTGTTTTATGACATCATCCTCTTTTTTTAAATTTATAGTTTCTTTTCCAGTTGAATATCTTTTTAATAAAAAAAAAAAATATTTGGAAATAAATGCTTTAAAATTGTCTACGGATAATATATATGTATATATTTAATCTTCTTTATGTTGAGCGTAATAGAAAATTTAAGTTATGTAAATGTCCAAAAAAATCGACTTTTCAATAAAAATTACTTTGAGAATACAATAAGAATTTTTCATTTCTGAAAAATTGATTTCTCAAAGCATGAATAAAAGAAAAAGGTAAGAATATAATTAATATATTTTTTTGTATGTAAATAAAAAAAAAAAATTGAAATAAATTTTATTTTTACAGGTAAAAGAAAATAATGTAGTGGAAAGGATATATAGGAATTTGTTGAAAAAAAAACGAATACTTTAGTCGCATCTTTTCAAGTATCTGACGTTACTTGCTTGGCATTTACAACTAGTGGCAATCGCATTGGCCTTTAAACGTTAACTCCTTTTCGAATTGAGACTATTTTTCAAACTCACTCCCACTTGAGAAATGACCCGAGCTCGCTAAAATGTTCTCTTGACAAACCGATTATTCCAAAATTCCACGAGCTACTTTTTCAACTTCAGGTATCAAATTCTTTCTTTTCTTCAATTTACTGAATTATTTCGTTTTTTTCTCCATTCATTATTGCATTTTTCGATTATTGACAAAAATTATTAGCACAAAAAAATTCACTTCTATATCAATTTTTTTTGTAAAGATCACTTTTGCCAATAAGAAAAATGTTATCATTTATTTTTATACTTTAAAAGAAAATAATTAAATTAACAAAAAAAAGTGTCATTAAATAAATGAAAATTTTATTTAATTCTAATTTCTTATTTAAAAATTAAAGGACATTTTTTCTGTTTAGTTTCAATACTTTTTTATTGACATAATTACAATTATAATAGTTATTCTTTTTTTGTAAATAATTAAATGACTTCTTTTTTGAATAATTATTCTCAACAATTAATTATGGCATAAATTGAAATGTGTGAGAAAAATCAGGCATTCTGGAAATATTGTGAATAAATTCTTGTTGTGATATGCATCCACATTGAACGATATCCAATTCATCAAGTGCCTAATAGAAAATTAAAATTATTTTTTAACTAAAGACAAAAAAATATTTAAAAGATATTTTCTTAAAATTTCGTTTCATTCAATTTTTCAGCGATAAATTTCAACAAGAGTTTCACGATTTTTTTTTTATTGGGAAAAAAAAGTTCGACCCATTAACGGAGTTATATTGAAAGCGAAATGAGCTGTTAGGAATAAATATACCTATATCTATAGTGTGAAATATTTCAAAATGTGAAAAGTGTCGTTAAAACAATAAATATCGCATTGCGGGGAAAATAATAGAATTACTTGCACAAAAGAGGGATATTGAAAATAAATCAAGTGAATAAGTCTATTAAACAACGACACAAAGTGGTTAATATAACTCCACTTAAATTTGATTGTCATTCACTATAATATAAATGCAACAAATTATATTCTTTTAACGCTCAATAATAATATAAATTGTACAAATTATCCAATCAATTGCTGAGATAATGCTAACTAATTGGCTCACAGTATATATATATATATATTACTAGATAATTATTCCGAGTACTGAAACATCCATATTACTAATAATTTGATTCGTCTCTTCACAGTCATCAATTAATGTCCATTTATTACAAGTGCATATATAGATAATGTCAGTAAATTATTTTCAAAGAGATTTCACTACTAAATTGTTTCATTTACAAATGACCCAATTTCATATAAATTAGACTTAATTAAAATAAAAAAAAAAATTGATTTTCCTATTTCAAGAAATAATAATTCTCTGCGGAAAATGGAAACAAATTTTACTGACATTGGAGTTTATACAAGTTTTCTTTTATGTTGGGAATAATTTATCAGACAAAAAAAAAAAAAAACCTCAAAAATTTATTAATATCATGAAATTTTTAACCTTTGCCCAACATGTTTAAAAAATCATAATACATTAAATTTTCAAATTTTCCATGGGACAATATGTGTATATTCTCTTTTTTTGTGAAAGAAAAAAAATATTCACAAATTTAAAAAACATCAGTTCCTTGGGAAATATCTTGAGAATTTTATAAAAGGTTTCTCTCTCATCTGAGAATTAAAAAATATTCTCTGAAGAAAATATTTTTCGTAAAATACAAGAACGCTTCGGAGACAAATGGCATTTTTATAATAATAATATAGTTTTGAAAAGTCATTTTTTCTTTTATTTTCAAAATGGCAATTGTGGGAGAAAACAGAAAATTACTGTTAGAATTATTTTATAATAATAAAAATAACAATAACAATAATAATACAAAATTAATAAAAAAAATAATGAAATGAAATAGAAATTAAATTGAGAAAATAAAATTTTCTTAAGAAGAAGAATCTTTTTTTTCAGTTACTGTTGAAAAAAAATCGCAATTCTCGAATTCTCGACTTCTGCTCTAACAATTTGGATAAAAGTATGTGCGTATAAATATTGTAGAATCTATACCAAAGTCATGAATCGTGTCTGGTTCATGCGGAAGTGCTGTGTCTCGCTCTATGCCTCTATTATGGCACATAAGACAATAGCATTATTGTCCCCATAAGCCATAATAGCCCCTCATATCGAGACTGAGAAAAGTTTTCACAGCATCGCATATCGCATCCAAAGCGTGATAATGCCTTCAATGAATATATATATACCTATGCACTTATTACTTTGCATTCGTAGAAAATTATTTTCTCCTATTATTATCTTTACTATTAATATATAATCAAACTAAAACTCTATTTTCAAAATATTATTGCAAAAAATCTATTTCTTTTCGAATTTTACCATTTTTAATTATTTATTAATTTGTCGATTTTTTAATTTTTTTTCTATTGAATCTTTATTTTTTTTAATAAAAAAATTTTGAAAAATAAAATTAATATTAAGGGGGGAACACCAGTTGTAACTCAAAAAATAATGCTTTTTTCAAGAATATTTTCCAAAAGAACAATGAATCTTTTTAAAGAATACTATTTATTAGTTAAAAGTACATGTAAAAAGCTGTAATTTAAAAGAAAAAAAAATTTTTTTTAACAAAAACTTTTGGAGATATGAGCCATTGAAGTGGCGTCTTAAGAAAAAAGGCGAATTGCGGTGACCAGCATTCTGCAAGTATACTTCGTCTGAAATACAAAAATGAAATTGATTTACATTTATTATAAGATTATCTAGTTCGTGATCGAAGGATTTAAAAAAAAAAAAAAATTTGACAAAATGGCGACCTGTCAAAGTCAAAAGTATGATTTTCGTTAAAAAAATACGGTCGATTTTCAGCTATATAAAAAAAAGTTTTGCATAAAAAAAAAAATCCTTCGATCACGAACTAGACTTATATGTGTAAATGAAGCACACTAAATTTTAAATAAATCGGTTTAATGGTATTCGAGTAATCGTGGTCACCGACTTGGAAAATGTCATTTTGAGAAAAACGCATTCAAAGTTTCAACTTACTTTTTTTTGTTCAGAAGAAATTTTGTTTCCAAGTTACAAAGAGTCATCGATTCTTGGACCATATAATAACTCTTCCGCAGTGGTTGCCGTTTCTAAATCATAGGAAAAGGCCATCTGTCGTTAGGGTCAGTTATGGCTGGCCACCTTGTATGAAGCCACGGGACGCGCCGATGCAGTGTTCTGTATATCTCATTTATTTTTCACCGGATCAACTTTGAAATTTACAGACACATTTCTAAATATGTGTACTTTAAGAAAATGCACAAAAAAAAAAATTGATTTTTCGAAAGTTACAACTGGTGTTCCCCCCTTAATTTTATTTTGTTTTTTTTCAGTGAATAATTAAATTTTTGGATTAAGGAACATTTTTTTTTTAATATAGAGAAAAAATGTGATAAGAATTTTTTTTTTTTTAATTGTCGAATACTAACCAATTGAGCAATAAGTTCAGCGCTATGTCGATCAATTTTAGCCTCTCTATTTTCGAATCCTGTCAGTCTCTCAACAGATTCGATCAAATCATCGAGCGAGATCTGATTGTCGCCGTCAAAGTCTAAAAGTGAAGATTGACATTATATACCCCATCACATACACACACACACATACACACAGTACCAGTTAAGTACCAGCATATTTCACTTCAACGCAAATACAATAAGGGTGAATTCATCGAAATTTACATTTTTCTTATTCTTGAAAAAATTCATCAAATAATAATTATTTTGAATATTTATGTTTACAAAAATTTATATAAAAAAAATATTTTATATTAATATTTATATTTTTATTATATATTATATAAAATATAAAATATAAATAATTAAGATTTGGTTTTTAATTTTCTAATGAACAGTAAAATAATTACAATTAAAATACCTAATGGTAGTAAAGTAGTAACATAAATACTTGGTAATAAGTACACAATGGAAAAAAAATAAATTATAAAAAAATAATTATTTATAAAAATAAATATATATATATATAAAAGAGGGACGATATAACTAATTAAAAAGAAAGTATAAAGATCAGTTTGTTTAAATTTTCAAGAAAAAAAAAAAGAAAAATACAAACGAGAAAAAGAAATTCTATGCTGAAAAGAGAGGATTCTCACAAAAAGAAATATCAACCGATGACCCAGCAACGAACGTCGCAGGTGATTCTAACTTTCTTAATTTTATTTAACGAGCTTTGAGTTCAAGCTGGACTTTTTTTTCTTAATTAATGTCACTCGATATATATACAGATTGAAGCAAAGACACTCAAAAAGCACTAATACACTGTCATCCGAATTTTTTTTTTATTTTTTTGTTGAAAGTAAAAAAAAATATATATACTATATATAAGTATATTATATATACGTTTCTCTTATTTAAAAAGAATTTAATTAAACGGTTATTCTTCTTTTTTATTCTCAATTGATATATATATATATATATATATATTTTAAAATAAATCCTGACCTATTTTATTTTTATTCTTCCTCGTAAATATAATATTTTCAAACAATTAAAATGTAATTTTTCCATATATATAAATATGTAAAAGAAATTTTATTTCTTTAAATTTTCACAAAATATTTCAAAATAATAAAATAAATAAAAATATTAAATAAAATTAAATTTTTTAAACTATATGTACTATTTATTTATGATTATTAAAATATAGAGGTAGTTAATGAATAAGCGTACCAAATATTTGAAATGCCCATGAAGATCGAACAGTTTCGGGACATTTTTCAGATAAGGCCGAACATAAATCCAACAAATCTTCAAAGCCCATTTTTCCATCTTTTCTGGACGAAAACACCCGAAATATTGATTCTCGAAAAGGGTTATGCTACAATTTTTATCACAATATGTAAAATATTTAAAAGTAAGTTATTCAAAAAAAAAGAATAATAATAACAGTAATAATTTTATTTTTAGTCTTACTATTATTAAATAAATATAATAATATGATAATAATAATAAATAAATAAATAATTTATTATAATATGGTAATTAAAATAATATATATGTAATTATAATATTATATAATAATAATAATAATAATAATATTATAATAGAATTTAAAATAAAAAATTAAAATATAATATATTTGAATAATTACACAAAAAAAAAAAATCAAATAAAAATGATATATAATAAAAGATGCAGTTTTGTGTAAAATGTTTTTTGGTTTCAAGTGGTAAAATTCGCGTAGAAAATCGCATATGTGTTCAGTGAGTGGTTTAAATGAATTATTGAAACCGAGTGAATATTGGGTAGACTGGAAAATATTGTTGAAGCTAAATCGTAAATCTCGATAGATATCACGCGGGTTATAAAATGGCATCATCTATTCTCAATTTAAAAATTTTATATATATATATATATTTGAGCTACGAAGGCATAAAAAAAGGAAAAAAAAATTATTTTTTGACCAAATGTATAAAATTTTCTATAAAAAGAAATATTTTATTATACTTTCATGAAAGAAAAAAATGAATAACAAAAAAAATAATAAATAAAGCAAAAAATGACATTTTTAATTTTTTATTAAAAAAATCCGAATTTATTTTCAGATTATAATATAATATTTAAGAAACTTACTCGTAAATGAGGAATAATTTTTAAAACATTTTCCATCGATAATCTATAATTAATATCATTGTTAATATTCTTTGAATCTGCCTGTTTAAAAAGTTTATATATGCTGTAAATAATAAATTTTAAATAAATCAATAATTTTCTTCTTACTTGTTAAAGTAAGAACCAAAAAAAAAAAAATGGAATTTTTTTTTTTATTAAAAATAATCTACTTACTAAACAATTTCTGATTTACTTAAATAAGTAAGTTCCGTGTATTCGTCTAATAATTCAGGTGTAAGTTCTTTAAAGTTAGATTTAGAGTTTCCCATATTCTTTTTTTTTTTTTATTTTCAAAAAAAAAACCAATAATTTTTCTTTAATTTCGTAGGCACGTCAATAATTAAACAAAACAGAAAACATTAAAATGTAGATTAAGAACAATATTTTTTGATTTATATATTTATATTAATTAAAAAAGAAAATTTAGATCGGTATAAAAACTGTCTAACATTCGATGCATTGAAATACAATGATAACTATCAGCTAAGCTATTAATCAGTTACCTAACTTATCTTATCGTCATATACGGATGTACGCTTTTCAAAATAAACTGTGAACAACGTTATTTACTCTTGAAATCCGTTTAAAAAAAAATTATAAAAAACAATACTATTATTATCATCATCATTATTATTATTATTATTATTATTATTATTATTTTTATTTTTATTATTGTTACTATTTTTGTTACTAATAATAATTATTTTATTTTTGATATTTATAATCTATCCAATTTAAATTTTTAATTATTTTGCTTCCTCGTGGAGGAAGCTTTGTAGTCCTTTCGTTTATAAAACTTTTCAAAGTGGCGGAAACAAATTTTTTTCTTTATAGAAACATGTTATATGAGATCCTGATCAATTGTCCGGATGTATGTATGTGTGTGTGTGTGTGTGTGTGGATCCCTTTTTTGTTTAGAAGATAACTTTAACAGGTTTTAATGGATTTAGATAAAATTTGGTAGGCTCATTTATCATATTAATATCTCAAATCTGACCAAAGGATTTTTAAAAATACCTCAAAAAAAAATTTTTATCGTCTTTTTTCCAAAAATTTTTTTTGGCGGTATTCCTGAACAATTATCTCGCGAAATTAATTTTTCGAAAATTTTTCCAAAATATTTTTGAGTGTAGCTCAGCATCCGCTGGACCAATCAAAAAGTGCGCCATACATTTTTTGTTCGAGACTCCCGGGTTAAGACTTTGGCGGTATTCCCGAACAATTTTCTCTCGAAATTAATTTTTCGAAAATTTTTCAAAAATATTTTTGAGTGTAGCTCAGCATCCGCTGGACCAATCAAAAAGTGCGCCATACATTTTTTGTTCGAAACTTTTTCCCTATTTTATTGGAGGTATTCCCGAACGATTATCTCGCGAATTAAGTTTTTCGAAAATTTTTCCAAATTTGTTTTCTAGTTTAGCTCAGCATCCGCTGGACCAATCAAAAAGTGCACCATACATTTTTTGTTCGCTACTTTTTGCTAAAGACTTTGGTGGTATTCCCGAACAATTATCTGGAAAATTTAATTTTTCTAAATTTTTTCAAATTTGTTTTCTAGTGTAGCTCAGCATCCGCTGGACCAATCAAGAAGTGCGCCATACATTTTTTGTTCGCGACTTTTTGCTAAAGAATTTGGCGGTATTCCCGAACGATTATCTCGCGAATTAAGTTTTTCGAAAATTTTTCCAAATTTGTTTTCTAGTTTAGCTCAGCATCCGCTGTACCAAGCAAAAAGTGCGCCATTAATTTTTTGTTCGAGACTCCCGGGTTAAGACTTTGGCGGTATTCCCGAACAATTATCTCGCGAAATTAATTTTTCGAAAATTTTTCCAAAATATTTTTGAGTGTAGCTCAGCATCCGCTGGACCAATCAAAAAGTGCGCCATACATTTTTTGTTCGAGACTCCCGGGTTAAGACTTTGGCGGTATTCCCGAACAATTTTCTCTCGAAATTAATTTTTCGAAAATTTTTCAAAAATATTTTTGAGTGTAGCTCAGCATCCGCTGGACCAATCAAAAAGTGCGCCATACATTTTTTGTTCGAGACTCCCGGGTTAAGACTTTGGCGATATTCCCGATCAATTATCTCGCAAATTTATTTTTTCGAAATTTTTTAAAAAATTTATCTGAGTGTGGCTCAGCATCCGCTGTACCAATCAAAAAGTGCGCCATACATTTTTTGTTCGAAACTTTTTCCCTATTTTATTAGAGGTATTCCCGAACGATTATCTCGCGAATTAAGTTTTTCGAAAATTTTTCCAAATTTGTTTTCTAGTTTAACTCAGCATCCGCTGGACCAATCAAAAAGTGCACCATACATTTTTTGTTCGCTACTTTTTGCTAAAGACTTTGGCGGTATTCCCGAACGATTATCTGGAAAATTTAATTTTTCTAAATTTTTTTCAAATTTGTTTTCTAGTGTAGCTCAGCATCCGCTGGACCAATCAAAAAGTGCGCCATACATTTTTTGTTCGAAACTTTTTCCCTATTTTATTGGAGGTATTCCCGAACGATTATTTGGCAAAAAAAGTTTTTCGAAAATTTTTCCAAAATATTTTTGAGTGTAGCTCAGCATCCGCTGGACCAATCAAAAAGTGCGCCATACATTTTTTGTTCAGAACTTTCTTCTAATCACTATGGCTGTATTCCCGAACAATTATCTCGCGAAATTAATTTTTCGAAAATTTTTCCAAAATATTTTTGAGTGTAGCTCAGCATCCGCTGGACCAATCTAAAAGTGCGCTATACATTTTTTGTTCGAAACTTTTTTAATATTTTATTGGAGGTATTCCCGAACGATTATCTCACGAAATTAATTTTTCGAAAATTTTTCCAAAATATTTTTGAGTGTAGCTCAGCATCCGCTGGACCAATCTAAAAGTGCGCTATACATTTTTTGTTCGAAACTTTTTCAATATTTTATTGGAGGTATTCCCGAACGATTATCTCGCGAAATTAATTTTTCGAAAATTTTTCAAAAATATTTTTGAGTGTAGCTCAGCATCCGCTGGACCAATCAAACAGTGCGCCATACATTTTTTGTTCGAAACTTTTTCCCTATTTTATTGGAGGTATTCCCGAACGATTATCTCGCGAATTAAGTTTTTCGAAAATTTTTCCAAATTTGTTTTCTAGTTTAGCTCAGCATCCGCTGGACCAATCAAAAAGTGCACCATACATTTTTTGTTCGCTACTTTTTGCTAAAGACTTTGGTGGTATTCCCGAACAATTATCTGGAAAATTTAATTTTTCTAAATTTTTTCAAATTTGTTTTCTAGTGTAGCTCAGCATCCGCTGGACCAATCAAGAAGTGCGCCATACATTTTTTGTTCGCGACTTTTTGCTAAAGAATTTGGCGGTATTCCCGAACGATTATCTCGCGAATTAAGTTTTTCGAAAATTTTTCCAAATTTGTTTTCTAGTTTAGCTCAGCATCCGCTGTACCAAGCAAAAAGTGCGCCATTAATTTTTTGTTCGAGACTCCCGGGTTAAGACTTTGGCGGTATTCCCGAACAATTATCTCGCGAAATTAATTTTTCGAAAATTTTTCAAAAATATTTTTGAGTGTAGCTCAGCATCCGCTGGACCAATCAAAAAGTGCGCCATACATTTTTTGTTCGAGACTCCCGGGTTAAGAGTTTGGCGGTATTCCCGGCCAATTATCTCGCAAATTTAATTTTTTTAAATTTTTTAAAAAATTTATCTGATTGTAGCTCCGCATCCGCTGGACCAATCAAAAAGTGCGCCATACATTTTTTGTTCGAAACTTTTTCCCTATTTTATTGGAGGTATTCCCGAACGATTATCTCGCGAATTAAGTTTTTCGAAAATTTTTCCAAATTTGTTTTCTAGTTTAACTCAGCATCCGCTGGACCAATCAAAAAGTGCACCATACATTTTTTGTTCGCTACTTTTTGCTAAAAACTTTGGCGGTATTCCCGAACGATTATCTGGAAAATTTAATTTTTCTAAATTTTTTTCAAATTTGTTTTCTAGTGTAGCTCAGCATTCGCTGGACCAATCAAAAAGTGCGCCATACATTTTTTGTTCGCTACTTTTTGCTAAAGACTTTGGCGGTATTCCCGACCAATTATCTCGCAAATTTAATTTTTTAAAAAATTTATCTGATTGTAGCTTCGCATCCGCTGGACCAATCAAAAAGTGCGCCATACATTTTTTGTTCAGAACTTTCTTCTAATCACTATGGCTGTATTCCCGAACGATTATCTCGCGAAATTAATTTTTCGAAAATTTTTCCAAAATATTTTTGAGTGTAGCTCAGCATCCGCTGGACCAATCTAAAAGTGCGCTATACATTTTTTGTTCGAAACTTTTTCCCTATTTTTTTGGAGGTATTCCCGAACGATTATTTGGCAAATTTTTTTTTTCGAAAATTTTTCCACAGTTTTAGTGAGTGTAGCTCAGCATCCGCTGGACCAATCAAAAAGTGCGCCATACATTTTTTGTTCAGAACTTTCTTCTAATCACTATAGCTGTATTCCCGAACAACTATCTCGCGAAATTAATTTTTCGAAAATTTTTCCAAAATATTTTTGAGTGTAGCTCAGCATCCGCTGGACCAATCAAAAAGTGCGCCATACATTTTTTGTTCAGAACTTTCTTCTAATCACTATGGTTGTATTCCCGAACAATTATCTCGCGAAATTAATTTTTCGAAAATTTTTCCAAAATATTTTTGAGTGTAGCTCAGCATCCGCTGGACCAATCTAAAAGTGCGCTATACATTTTTTGTTCGAAACTTTTTCCCTATTTTATTGGAGGTATTCCCGAACGATTATCTGGCAAATTTCTTTTTTCGAAAATTTTTCCCCAGTTTTAGTGAGTGTAGCTCAGCATCCGCTGGACCAATCAAAAAGTTCGCCATACATTTTTTGTTCGAGACTTTTTGCTCAATTTTTTGGCACACGGAAAAAAAGAAAAAGTAACTTTTACTACTTTAAAAGTAAAATTGGACCTGTCCGAAGTTTCTGCGCATCTCTGGCAACTTTTACTCCAAAAATAGTAAAATTTACTTCAGAAATAGTAAAAATTACTACGGAAACAGTAAATTTTACTACAGAAATAGTCAATTTTACTATTTTTCGAGTAAAAGTTGCCAGAGATGCGCAGAAACTTCGGTCAGGTCCAATTTTACTTTTAAAGTAGTAAAAGTTACTTTATTCGTTTTTCCATTTTTCTCCGTGCATTATTCCCGAGTCATTATCTGGCAAATTTTTTTTTTCGTTAATTTTTCCCCAGTTTTAGTGAGTGTAGCTCAGCATCCGCTGGACCAATCAAAAAGTGCGCCATACATTTTTTGTTCGAGACTTTTTCCCTATTTTATTGGAGGTATTCCCGAACGATTATCTGGCAAATTTTTTTTTTCGAAAATTTTTCCCCAGTTTTAGTGAGTGTAGCTCAGCATCCGCTGGACCAATCAAAAAGTGCGCCATACATTTTTTGTTCAGAAATTTCTTCTAATCAC